TTCTTGATCATATGATTTCTCTACAGAGAGTAAATCTGACCTGTGTAGATCCAGATTATGCAGAAGAAGCTTGACGTTTGTGTTATCATGGTCATAAAATAAACTTGAAAACAACTGGATATTATCAAAAGAAATTAACTTGGTATGAGGAAATCTCATTAGATACTAATAGTAAAGTTAATCATCAATCCTAATAGTTTCTGAGAACGTTACGGATGCCAGAAGATGGTAATATAATGCTGCATGCAGAAAGTGACAATTATCATTTGATATATCATTACTGTTGATGTTTGACACTGTTTTCTTATGGTGGATTTTATATACCTATATTTATGCGAAAAAATGTCTTTCTTCAGGTTCAGTGCGCTGGAGGATGAAGATGACTCTCGACGTGATCTATTGAGGAGGACAACTATTGGAAATGGTTTTTCCTAATTCATTTCGTCACGAACTAATTTGGTCAACTGCAATCCTGAGTGCAATCTGACCACCTCAAACAAACATGCAGGCCCTCCAGAATCTATACTTGACTGGACTAAGGAGTTTGATGCTGAGTTGTCAAACCAGAGTTCCAGCAACCAAGCATTTTCGAGAAAACACTGGCGTCTCCTTCAGTGCCAAAATGGTTAGTAGCTATGCCTGGTGTCTGCAAGCATTATAGTTCTTTTTTTTACCCTGGTAAATTATAAAAATTCACGAGTTATTAGATACCATATGGAAGTTTTTCAATGTCTTTCCCTCCTTAGGCTTGTAAGACATGTGCCTGTAATCAGCTTCAAAATAGAATTTCACTACTATTCAATCTGGAGGATCATACAATCATATAGTATTCAATGATAATGCTTAAATTTGGGAGTAATCATCTCACTTTTAAAAACATTTTGCAGGTTTACGGATTTTTGAAGAGCTACTTGAAGTTGATTATCTTGTATGGAAGTGACTTAGTTTGTCATTTTTATGGCATAATTTCCTCCTGATTACCTAGTAATTTTATTTAGTGAAGCACCATCATTTACGGTGCTAAGCTTGCAGCCAAGAAGCTGCAGCAGGGCTATGAAGGCTGTTGGAGTTGTGGAGGCCACTTGTGAAGAGATATTCGAGCTCGTGATGAGCATGGATGGCACTCGATATGAGTAGGTGTTTCTCCATCTTCTGTATTCTCATTTATAATCTGGTCATAAGCGACCATCTTTTTTTGGTTTTTCTTTGCCTCATTTTCTTATAGTTATATGCTTTGTTATTTGGAAAAGTCTATTGGATACGAATGTTCGGTCTTTATCTCTTCTGTTTCCACATCCTACAGTAATGGCTGGCCCAAACTTTCTATCAATACTATTTTTAGCAAAAGTGATTTTTTTTTCTTTGTTCTGGTCAGTATCTGAGGCTCTTTATTTTCCCTCTTTTCTTATGGCTTGGCAGGTGGGACTGCAGTTTTCAGTATGGGAGATTAGTGGAAGAGGTCGATGGTCACACAGCAATACTCTATCACGGACTTCTGCTCGACTGGTTTCCAATGTAATAATATTGCACCTGAAATATTATCATTTAGTAATAATCACACATTCGCTTTCAATTGCTAACTAAAGTAGATGTTTGATTCAAAATCAACTAAATTTTTTGTCACATCCGTGACGAAATAGACCAGTTATCCTGGAGTGCTCATTGCTCAAGGGTTATGCAGATGTGTTTTTAGATAGGAGTTAGAGGGTCATTATACTACTTACCATTTGTGATCCTCCCGTTTTCAGTCAGAATATTACTTGGTTGTTTCCAAGAACTCTGTTTAGTCAAACTCATGTTATCAAAATGGCTGTAGGGTTGTGTGGCCCCGTGACCTCTGCTATGTACGTTATTGGCGGCGTAATGACGATGGAAGTTATGGTATGTTTCCTTCCCTTTTTACTCATGCTAGAACTGGACAGCCTCTATTTTATCGGATTTTCCCGAAGGGACAGCCTCTATTATATATCTAGTTTTAATTATTTACCTTGCTCTTTCTGTGAAGTGGTATTGTTTCGTTCTAGGGAGCATGAAAATTGTGGTCCACAACCTGGATTTGTTCGGGCTCATCTGGAGAGTGAGTTTAATTCTAAGTCTTTTACCACCAAAATCTTCTAATGTATTATGTATTACAATCTAACTCAGATTATGCTTTCATGTTTAGGTGGAGGATTTAACATCGCCCCACTAAAGCCCCGGAATGGAAGGCCTAGGACACAAGTGCAACATCTAATACAAATCGATCTGAAAGGGTGGGGTGCAGGTTATCTTCCAGCATTTCAACAACATTGTCTTCTTCAAATGCTGAACAGTGTTTCTGGTAAGTTCTTTTGTGCTCATTTTCACTGAGATCCCTGTGGAAAATGACTTCTGCTCTTTTTGAAACTGCACTTGTGCATCTTCTATTCTTCTAAGTCATGGACTCATGTTCATCGCAGGTTTGCGCGAGTGGTTCTCACAGACAGATGATAGAGGTCAACCGATCAGGATCCCTGTTATGGTTAATATGGCATCATCTTCATTAGCATTGGGTAAAGGTGGAAAGCCTCAGCATAAGTCTTCCCTTTCTATTGATCAAACAAATGGTGCCAGCAGAAACTCTGTGCTAATGGATGAAGACTCGGACGACGATGACGAGTTTCAGATACCTGATTCAGAACAAGAGGTTGGTCTATCAAGCATTCTCTTTGAACTTAAGATTTGATCAAGTTGAGTCTTTCTTCACAATTGCTATATTTCAGCCTGAGACGAGTAAGCAGGAGCAGGAGCAGGAGACTGATGCCAAGAAAACAGGTGAACTGATAGTTGTATTTTATCATTAATGCTTACTGAGTTGGTGAAAAAGTATCTAATCTTTATGAATCTCTGGTGCCATTTGAAACCTCAAAAGAGGAACCTGCTCTCAACATTGATCTGTCATGTTTCTCGGGTAATCTGCGACACGATGATAATGAAAATGCCCGTAACTGCTGGAGGATTTCTGATGGGAACAACTTCAAAGTCCGTGGTAAGAGTTTCTGTTCAGATAAAAGGAAGGTTAGTAATCTGTAACCTAATTAGTTTGCAACGCATTATAATGATGCTCATGCTAATTCTTCTACATCAAACTACCTCTTTGATTCTGCTCATTCAACCTTTTTCTGAAGATTCCTGCTGGGAAGCATCTAATGGATCTTGTCGCCGTCGATTGGTTCAAAGACACTAAAAGAATGGATCATGTGGTTAGACGTAAGGGCTGTGCTGCACAAGTAAGAGATACAATCACCTTAATTCTTGTTGCTTAAGTTCCTTGTTAGTGTTAAGGGAGATGTTAGTATCCCTTTCCGTTGCTATTATCTAATCTTTGAGGTCTCTTCTTTGTCACATGGAAATTCCAATTAAAATGCTATTAATCGTTTCAGGTTGCTGCGGAGAAGGGTCTTTTCTCAACGGTAGTAAATGTTCAAGTAAGTTTTGCCTGTGAACTGCAACATAATGACTAACTATAAAAGTGGGTATCATTATCGATATATTAAGCGGTATTGTTGGTAGGTTCCTGGATCAACACACTACAGTATGGTATTTTATTTCGTGACCAAAGAACTCGTACCTGGATCCCTCTTCCAACGTTTTGTTGATGGTGATGACGAATTTCGAAATAGTAGGCTCAAGCTTATACCTACAGTCCCCAAGGTATCTTTCTCTCTCTCTTCCCCTCTCTCTTTCTCTATGTAAAATCTTAGAACAAATAGATTCACATGATACCCAATCTTATTATGCAGGGTTCATGGATAGTAAGGCAAAGCGTGGGAAGCACTCCGTGTCTCCTCGGGAAAGCAGTGGATTGCAACTATATACGCGGTCCAACATACTTAGAAGTGAGTCCTCATTTTGTAACCTTTTTAAAAGCTTGTAGATCAAATAAAGTAACTTAAAAAGAAACATTTTCATTCCCATGCAGATAGATGTAGATATCGGCTCATCCACAGTCGCAAATGGAGTTCTTGGTCTTGTCATAGGCGTAATCACATCTTTGGTTGTCGAAATGGCTTTCCTTGTACAGGTAAAAATCAATCTAACAAAACTAAGACTTTGATCTTTAAGATTGCTTCTCCTCTTGAAATCTTTTGGATGATCCCGAGATTACGTTTTGTAGGCGAATACACCAGAAGAATTGCCAGAGCGGCTTATCGGGGCGGTGAGGGTTTCTCATATAGAGCTATCATCGGCTATAGTTCCTAATCTGGATTCAGATTAGTCCCTAAGCTCTCTCCTAACTCAAAAGCTCTACATCAACTCCATGCTTGGTCTGTCTCTATTTTTTAATTTCCTCTCTCTCTCTCTTTTATTTTATTATAACCTTATAGCCTTATAGGTGTCATTCTCTTAGTTATCTTCACAGATAAAAACTTGGAACAATTTTTGTAAAATAGAACCCATATGCTATTATAGAATGGGGCTTATGTATCCAATTTCTCGGGATTTAAGTGTTTTATAGATTACTCTTGGAAAAAAGTGACAAAATCTCAAGAACATGATGGTTCTACCCATTACCAAACGGGAAGCCACCAACCTTAGAAGAAGCCTATCGTCCTTACATACAGAAGTGGAAACACTCGTTTGGGCAATGAAATGCATGACTTGTGCCGAAAAGCGTGATGTGCTTTTATTACAGACTGTTCTAACCTGTTGAAGATGGGGTCTTCCCTTCCCGAATGGCCAGCCTTCTCAGTTTACTTGGTAGAAATATAGAGTGACAAGGAGGAATTCTCTATATTTTCTTTATCCTTAGTTCCTTGTAGTGCAAATGGCAAAATGGATATATTAGCATGAAATGCTCGTGCCGAATCGCATTATATCACTTATATCAACAATGTACCTCATCGTTTGTTCATCTTTGCTAAATTAATCTAAAGCTTTTGAAAAAAAAAAAAAAAAAAAAACATGAAGCCAATTTGTAACTTTCTATAAGAAATGAAAAGACAAAAAAAAAGAAAAAAAAAAAGAAGGAAAAACTAATTAAAGAAAGTGTCTCTTTGACCTATTGAGGTCTATCTTCAATCACATTTGGCTTCACTTCAATCCCATATTTCCCACAATTCAAGAGATCATACCCACTTTTGGAGTTCAAATCGAAGTGCACAAATCCGGATTCCGGTTTAACACATGCATCTCCGGTTCCTATTTTCTCTTGTTCTCCACATAACCGAAAATCTTCAGAAGAATCAGCATTAAGGTGTGAGATATTGGCAACCAAACCAGCCTTTTCGTTCTTATGATCACTTCCTACAAGTCTTGAAAGTGCGAGATTGAAATCCGAGAATTGACCTTTATCTGTTTCCCCTGCATTACCACAAGGTATGCTCTTCTGTGCTTTCTCTAGTAATGTCAACAAATACTTTCCTTGTGCCTCCATTCTCATCTGAAGTTTTTTCTGCACCTATAACACCGCAAAAAAACTCTATTTAAATTTTTTTCATTATTCTAAGAGAAGAAAGAAGAGATTTGTTTCCATTCTTGTTACCTCGAGTTGTTCTTGAAACCGTTGTTGCGCATCGACCTGATGTCTAATTGCCTCTGCAAATGGTACATTCCCGCTTTGTCTGCGGGTGTTCATTAACATTTAGTTACTAATCCATTGAGGTCGAGAGAGGCATATTGATTCATCTATATAAATACCTTTGATGGCCGCTATCAAATCTTGATTCATTCGAGATTCCTCCTTGAGAACAATTATCGAAATGCACATATGAACTTCCTGTGACAAAAACAATCAATCTTTGGTTTCGCAAATATCACCTACATAAATCTTCCATAAATCCATCATATGTAGATATATCTACTCCAATATCAGCTGAATTATATATAAATATTGTGTTATTGATATGATCATAGATACATACCAGCATTTTCCTTGTTTTGTTCTGTTCTATTTTGTTTTTTCCCTTGTTGTTGACCAAGTCTATACTTCTGAACATACAAACACATCATTAGAGAATATTTAAGTAAAAATCCACAATTGAAGTTATACATTATTGTCATATATTCAAATTTGTATTATTAATTTGGACCTGTAAATGGCTCTTGAGATGGTACAATGTTAAACCTTTTAATCCCATCAGCTTCAGAACCGATTTAGGAGTTGCTTCTGTAGAATCAACCCAATAACAAACAGATAATTACATTTGTAATCTTTTAAATTTGGACCAACCAAACCGGAATAATAATGTGAAACCGGTTATCTCAATTGAAGAATAAGAAAGAAGATGAGCCACTGGTGTAGATTTAACCGGAGTAAACCGGAATGATAATGTGAAACCGATCACAATTGAAGAAGATGAGGAAAGAGGAGCTTACTGTCAGCGCCACCGAGCTTAGCGACGGCGTCCACGAAGCGATCGTGAAGATCGGCGGTCCATCTCAGCCTGGGTTTAGGATCTCTAGTCATCATAACTCCGCCATTATCGTAACCTAAACCTCCCAGATTCACTCTCTCCATTTAATTTTCCGATCAAATAAATAATGGCGGGAAAATCAGCGGAAGAATAAATCTAATAACTTCGAAATTTCCTCTTTCTTCCGGAGGAAGTGATCGGGAAGAGGAAGCGTAACCTTGAAGATGGAAAAATGGCGATCGAACTACGAAGGTCGGAGAAGGAATCTCGGTGGAAGAAGATTCGAATTTGTTAAAGATGAGAATGTGAGTGGAATTAGGGTAAGAGAAAATTGCGGAGATCGACGACAAGAGGACGAGAGAAATAGAAAGAAGTGAGATGATTGATGAAGAAAAAGAGATGAGAAAACTTTTTGAGGAAAATCTGAGAGAGAGAGAAAGGGAGGAGCATAAAAAGTCGTCGCGGTGATGATGATGGAGGAGGAGAAGTGGAGACATTATTTGTCACTTAACGTCAACCTTCGTTTTTTTCCTGTTTTTTTTTATATAAAAGTATAGTATATTATTTAAAATCTATGTATAAACAAAAATTATGGATCCGACACTACAAGTTTGTTTAATATATACAAAAAAAATTGATAATCTATACCAAAAGTTAGTAAAATAATAAAAATAATGATAAGAGAAAACGGTACAAAAATGCTAAATAACGTTTTTTATATCGGGTTTTGTGAATAGTAATTATTAAAGCAAAACATAGCCAAATTTTAGTGCATCTTGACTGATTAGTGATTTATTGCATACAAACGCAATTACCAAACGCATATTACTTGCGTTTTTAATTGTATGTCCATGAGATGTTAGACCGTATATTTTGTCATGTTGTAGAATAAAATATATACATGATTGCGTACTTTTTTTTTTTATTATCAATCAATAGGTGCATTTGTATATTCAGAATCGTAACATGGGAGAGAGGAACATGGCCCGCATCATGGATATTTGTTTACTACTTAGATTATAAATGTCCAAAGAATATATAGTTTCTTTCTTCTAGGAATTATCATTTTGCTCATTACAATAATTATATGTTAGATTTATGTGTTTTTAAATCGAATAACTTATGACTAAAGGTTTTGTCTCATTCTCATACAATCCATGAATCAATATCTCTCTCCATGTTGGTCCTTCATTTAGGTATCATGTAAATTTATCATTCATGTGTTGTCGGATAGTCTCAAATTTTGAGATTAAAAAATAAACATAGAAAATGGTTCAACCAAATTAGTTACTCCTATTACACATTTACACATCCGAATAATCAAACAAAATGAAATTCATTCTTGTATTGTGATTTTTTTTTATTGTTAAAAAAAAAATCGTTGTATTCGGCGACCATCATATCATCAACAAGACAACAATACATGATGAGCGATGCGCGGTGTCAAACTCCGACGAGAGCGACATAAAACCTTTTTTGTATTTGATTTTTTTTTTAAATAAACAATAATAATCCAATAATGGTTTAGAAAAAGAATTATGACGAAAAACAAAATGCATGGGGCGAGCATGTCACGTAGACTGCCAGCGTGGAATATTCGCCGTCGGACAAGGAGAATACAATACTCACATGTTCGACGGTGGGGGTTTAATGGTAATTTTAGGTAGGACACGTGGACGGCTTTGTTACTCTTTTGTCTTATAAAGTTTGTTTGGATGGGACCCACACAATACACGGGTAACCATGGCCGCTTAGACCGCAGTTTTGTATCCTCCGTTTTGTCCGTTCTCTCAATTCACAGCCCGGTTTACACATCCGGTACACGTTTACTTAACCGAAATACCATATAACCGGACCGACTCGAGAAACAAGGTTTTTCTGGTTTAGCTGGAAAAGGTACATTAGAAAGAAAAAAAACAAGCCTGATAAAAAAAAAAGAGAGACTAAAACTTGTTTCTCTTTTCAATTCAACGAAACCGATCAAAGTCCTAATGCCAATTTCACCAGAATTTCAAAACCCTTAGGAAACTAAAACGCCAATTTATTCCTTGGTAATAAGGTTAAAACTGAAACATAAAGATTTTATGGGTACCAGTGAGCAAAATTATCTGGAAGAGACTGGCTTTCATCGTAATCAAATTGTTTCTTTCTCTATCTCTCAATTGCAGAAATTGAGTTTCTTCATGACTTTGGCATATGCTGGTGGTACTAGTCCAGGCTGTCTCAATCTACGCTTCGATTTCTTTGACTGCAACAACAAATTCATTACTCTCAACATTTATCAATCTGACTCGGAAATCTTCCACATTATAGATGTCGAAAACCCGAAGAAAATCAAACAACAGAGATGGTAACGTAGATACAACTGTGGCTACCATTTCTATATTTAGCTAACAAGGAAACACCAGTTCAATCACAGTTTCTATGTTAAAACTTAACATTCACTATCAGCTGATGGTAATTTCTGATCAGTTAGATTCCTAGCTATTATCATACTGTTTTTCCAGAGGAGTTGGCAAAAGAATTAATAAAATCAGAGATTCATATTATAGAATGAGAGAATGAGAGGTGGTGTTACCTTCAAGTGTGCGTTGTGGCGCTTGCCCTCTTTCCAGCGACGGATGGTACCATCATTTAGTGGTTTAAACCTGTCTTTAAATGACCTGAGATATAGATTCAACCAAAAATACTTGTTGAGAGAGAAACACAAACTTTCCACTTTAGAAATATCTAAGAATGGAATCAGAACGTACGAATAAAACTTTATCTTGACTTTCTTGACTTTTGATGTGATTGGAGTCCTAGGTCTCCACTTCTTCTTCCATTTTGCCATTTTTTCCTTGGAAGTGATATTCCGTACTTGAACAAACTGATAAGAAAAGCAATCAGATATAAACTGAGTAGGAAAAAACATAGGTTTTATTTTCTTTACTGTGATGGCTATTCAAGAATCAAGCAACACCTATAAACCCCAAACTGGTCCAGAATATCTAACAGTTTTTCAAAACATAAGTGTACATAAGACTCTGAGTGATGCACGGTTGGTAGTGATGATATCGAAGCACCCGTTTTCATCAAAGAAAATGATAAGACTACTTAACATTCTCTAACCAAACAATCATTTTCCCTATATTAGAGGCAGGACGATTCTTCTTTCCCATGATCAAACAAGGGACACAAAAATTCAAGAAACCGTACACAGTAAATCCCAATATCCAGATTGAAAGAACACATGTATGTAGTTGAGTGAGGCTAACACTTGCAAGGTAGTGATATTAACAAAAGTTGTAAATTCAACCCACAAATCAGAAGCAGAACGATTCTGTATCCAATCATCAAACAAGTAAAGTGATTCACACAAATCACAATCAAAAGTTAAGATTCTACAGAAGCAAACTAAAACTATATATCACCAATTCAAACTATCTAGCTCGTCAGATGTTAATTTTCTCAATCAGCAGAGATATTATAAAGCAATTGAAGCTAAAATCCTAACCTAATCGAAACGACTTCACTTTCTCACCCAATTCACTAATCTCGCGAATCAGAACAAGTTAACAAATGTGATGAAAATTCTGGAAACTTACGTGATGAGGAACAAAGGTAGAGCCCATGGAGCTAATATTCAAAGGAGAAACCCCGGCGGCGGGAACGAAGCTCCATTTGGTGGAATTGGCGAAACCTAGGGTTGTTGTTAAGTGACGACTCGGAGAAGGAGAATGGTGGATTAGACGGTGAGGAGCAGTACCGGAAAAAGAGAGATTCCGATTAGATTGGAGGGAAATGGAACGTAGCTTAGTGCAAAACCTCTGCATTGTCGTCTCCAAGGGGAAGAACAATTTTCTGATTGCAAAGAAAATGAAAGAAGCTTTGGGGTTTTTGAGAAACAATTTTGAGTGTGTTTGGGTATTAGGTTAAGTCCATTCTTTTTACTTCTAAAATCCCAAATTACTAGTACTATTTATCTTTTGTCACAAAATCAATAACTAAAAACTTGTGTTTAGGCTAATTACGTAGAGAAATTTTGTTAACATATTCGCCACAATTATTCATTTAAATGTACTAACAAATGTAAACAAACATGGAAGAGATGCAACAAATCCAATCGACCTCAAACCATCAACCTTATTGAAGAGGAGATGCGATTAAGATCTTGACAAACAAAGGAGATGAAAATTACCATAGTTGTGTTCTTAATCTTACCAACCAAAAAATCCTTCAGTATGAAAGGTGAGCCACTGATGGAAAAGCTTTTTGTGTTTTTTTCGTAATTCGTATACGTAAAACATACCATTTTCAAAGAAGAGCCAAGAAGGTCTCTTCGTTGGTGAAAGTCGATTGGACCATGAAGACGAATTTAGAACGTTAATACATGCCAATTGCAGAAGAATAACATTACAAAAATAAAAATCTTCGAAAATTTTGACTGTAAAACCGGAAATCCTTTTTTTCTAGAAATTCAAAAGAGCTGAAAAATTAGTATAAGTAACTTGAAATCTTTTAATAAGACTCATCAAATTATCCAACAATATACATATTACATCTATGTATTTTTGGGTGGATCAAAACAAAATTGAACAACGGTAAAAGTAATTTTAAAACTTTGGGCCTGAGTATGTAAATAAAATTGGGCCTTTTACATTAGTAGGTAAATTAATATTTTATTATTAAAAAAAAACAAACAAAAACCTAAAGAAATCGTCTTGTAGAATCGCCGTTTGGATCTGGTTTTTACAGAACCATCGGAAAACCTAAACACAGATCTGTAAAGGTTAAGTCGATCTTTATCAACTCTTCCTTGTAAGGAAAAGATCTCATACGAGGAAGAAGAAGATAACCTATAATTTTCTCTGAATGAAATCTTAAATTTCCCTGAAAAATGACGAACAGTTCGTCATCGAAGAAACAAGCTCAAGATCAGCCTGAAACTAGCGAACCCACTCTCAAATCACTCAAAGCCAAAATGACTAAATCCGACGAAAAGGTTCGTCTTTTTCTTTATTCTATCGAATTCAATATAAACCCAGAAGAGCAATTTCACTTATTTTGTTCTGTAACCTCTTCAATTTTTGAAATTGGTCATCTTCACCAACTTAAAAATCTCTCCTTTTTTTGGTTTAATCAGCAGAAGAAGCTTAAAGACATTGAAATAAGCGTTCCAATTGTGTATGGTAATGTTGCATTCTGGCTTGGCAAGAAGGCTAGTGAGTAAGTCTCTCTCAAAATGTTAACAACTGTAAAAACAGATTATATTTTTCAAATTTCAACTTCTTTTTGAATTTTTGTAATGAAACAATTTGGGTTTATAGATTATTATGTAGGAGTTTAGTTCTTTTGGAATAGTGTGAAGCAAAGTTAAAAATTTCCTATTTTTACAATACCGTTAAAAAAAAGTGAGACAGTGTACATAAATGGTCATTAAGGTTTATTGGTTGTTGTTAGGGTTTTAGTTCTTTTGAATAATGACGAAAAGTTCTTACAAGAAACTTAGACAGGTTATATTTTGACTATACCCTTGAATTAAACGTGTTTGAGAGTTCCCTTGAATTGTGTGTTTCTTTAGGTATCAATCACACAAGTGGGCAGTATATGTTCGAGGGGCAACAAATGAAGATATCAGTGTTGTAGTTAAGAAAGTGGTATTTCAGCTTCATTCTAGTTTTAATAACCCGACGAGAGTTATCGAGGAGCCTCCATTTGAGGTATCGGAATCTGGTTGGGGAGAATTCGAGATTGCGATGACATTGCATTTCCACAGTGATGTCTGCGATAAGCCATTGAGTTTGTAAGTCCCCGTTAAATGGTTTTCTTAGTTCCTTAATAGAAAATGTGAGCAATTGGAAGAGTTACTTATGAGTTATTGTTGTTTTGGGTGGATACAACAGATATCATCATTTAAAGTTATACCCGGAAGATGAGTCAGGTCCTTTGACAATGAAGAAGCCTGTGGTTGTGGAATCTTACGACGAGATTGTGTTTCCTGATCCTTCAGAAAGTTTTCTAGCTAGGGTTCAGAATCATCCCGCTTTAACATTTCCAAGATTACCCTCTGGTTACAACTTGCCTGCTCCTAGTATGATCTTCTTATCTAAAGCTTCTTTCATTCTTTAGTTTAAGTTGATCATTGCCTTAAAATGTCGTCTCACACAACAAATTTTATGATTAGTGCAACTGGAGGATACCGGCAAAAAGAAGAGAGGTGATACGAAAGATCATAGTTTGGGACAATGGTTCATGAGTTTCTCTGAAGCAGATGAGTTATTACAACTCGCGGCTGCTCGTCAACAGGTAACTTGAAAACATTTAACTGTGTTTTCTTAATTTTGATAGTAAGTTTTACACTATTTTTGTTGGTCAATGTTTTGATGATTTTGGATTGGTTCTTTGCTGGATAGGTTCAAGCTCATATTGCGAAACTGAGGCGACAAATAAGTTTGCTAGAGGGACAGAATCAGACCGTGAAAACAGGATCAGACCTGTGAATCTGTTTCTGTAGCCATCTTCCATTGAGTTGGGAGATTGGTATGTTATAACATTACTGTATTAGCATAGATTTCCATTTTTCTTGTATTAATAAACAACAAAAAAAATTAGTTTTAATTTCTTATTATAGGCTCTCTCTCCTCTGTTCCAAACTCTTTTTACTTCTCTTAACTTATTAGCAGTGGCTTATTAGTGACTGCAACTGCAAAAGAACTCTTCAAGATTCGACAAAGAATGCTTGCAAAATCCTCTGAGATTTCGTACCATTCCTATTGCAAGATCCCCAAACAAAGAACAAGAACCTTATCCTATCCTATCTATAACAGTTTTGTTAAACTCCTTTGTCCCTTAAGAGTTTATTTCCACATTGTATAATGACTCAAAGCAAACAATAAATCAGTCTAGGTTAGTTTGGTATGCTACGAGCGTTGTAGCTCACTGATTAACATTATATATTGAATGGAAAAAATGAAGCAACGGGGCTAAATTTTAAAAATGAGGAACTCTTTTGCAACACCTTCACAAGAAGAGTTTCGTCGTTAGGAATCAAGAAGAGCTAATCCGCAGAAAAATGCTTTTCGGGACTTTTTTGTCGTTAGGATCGATTGCAAAATCTAAGAATTTGATCAGAATCATCCCCAAGTCATATATATCAATCTTGCTTTTTCGGGACCTTTTAATGTTGATGCTTGATATAATACATAGTGACTACTTGAATGTTACATACTCACAATCAAAATCAAAACCATGAATCATTTTCCCTTAGATTAGTCGTCGTTTTTGTTTCATATGAAAAAATATTCACACATATGCATACCCTAAAACGTTTGATATAATTATTAGTGCTTCTCATGATTCAACACTGCGGAGCGACCGGTATCCGGTCTGTAGTAACCGGTCTTCGGATCTGGTATCCACGATGGCTTCTCTACGTTTTCTGTCACGCCTTTCTTGTCTTTTGTCTTCTTCAACTCTTCTCCTCTAATCACTTTAGCTTCTCCTTTTGAAGTTGTCACTGAGTATCCTCTTCTACGATTTCATAACAAAACACCATCACAATTACTCACAACTTAATTATAAAAAAATTTAAAGATAGACACCATCATGATACGGTTTGAAAATATTCAATCAAAATCCTCATAAGTCACGTACTGTATATCTCCTAAACTAATGATCATAAAAATATAGATATTGATGCATATAAGTATTACAAATATTGATTTTGGGAGTGAAAAATAAAAGGCTCTTACCGTGAAATTGTGTTAGAGATGAAATAAGAGAAACGTCGAGAAAGAGAAAGAGATTGAGCCATTTTTAGAATGACTTTTCTAATAATGTTAAGTTGTTAACAGAGAAGAAACTAACTTACTGATTTAGTATTACCAGAGGAGACCGATCTATATATAGAGAACATGCCAAATGTTGTTAAAAAGTATACTTTGATTTAACAATCATATATAGAACCAAAAGCATATACAATAAATAAAGTCAGTATCTGACGTTTTCATTCTTCCTGAGGAATAAAGTACTTATAGAAGATTCTATGATGAGCGGAAATGTTACTCCACGATTTCGATTGTCGAATCAAGGTTAATGGAGGTGTGAACGTGTCTTGATCGGACGCGTCAGAAAAGAAAAGTTTCTAAAAAAAAATTCAATTATGGTTAATGAACTTATGAATTGATCCCACGTCTTGCTTTATATTTCTTACAAAATTATAAGACGTGTAAAAATCAATCAGAAGTATTATATAATCACTAATCAGTGATGGTCGTAAAAGTTACATAAGAGAACATCATAAGCAATACGTTACACATCTACTTGATCTTAAGACAAACATTTAGCTCAAAACCGATGTTTCCCTGCAATGCAAAGCACATACATAAATCCCTTGCAATCACAAAGTGAACGCCATTCAAAGATTCTAGAAAATAACATTTAGGACGCATTTTAAACCTGTAACCTGAAATCTCACAAATTCTCAAAAAACGTTTTTCTCTCTTGTGCTCACTGTTTCAATGTCTAAATCATTGTAGCAGCTTTTTTTTTTTTTTTTTTAATATAGTCCAAAACGTCTCCCAATCTCCAATACAAAACTAGACATTTCCCAATTAACATAAACATATTCCTTTTTGTATATATTAAACTTCTTGCTTTCGTCGTTCCTTGCACTTGTGTTTGGAAGCTGCTTTAGTTCATCTTCTCTTCGTTTTTTGTTCTTAAGCTTCTTGCTTCCATACTACTTGTAAAAATCACCATTTTATGAATTTAAGACAGAACATAACACACCCAGTTCTAAAGAAAGAAAAAAAAGTATCATTTACTCAAAAATCTAATAATATTAGCGTGTTAATCTGAAGACAGTTTCACATCTACTAATACTATGCTCCTTCAATCAAAATTAGCAGTTCTCTATGCTCAAAAACGAGAACTCAATAAACTCAACAACACCGGATGATGTATGTGTTTATATAGTATTGTCACCTAAGAAGGCGAAAACCCGTCTCTTGAAAATGCGGGCTAAATCCATGATTTCTGTATTCCTCATTCTCTGAACACTGTTTTCAGGTTGTCCAAGTAAGTTTCTTTTACGGGATAATCTTGTGGCTGCATCAACTGTTAGACTCGCCATGTCTCTGCTCTTTGTTAGTTCTTTTAGAATAGTAGCAGAGCTTGACAAGCCAGAGACTAGTCTGTTTAGTAATATCAGTATCTCTCTCATCAATAATGTCCTGCACCAGTAAAACAAATAGATTTTTGTAAGTCATTAGATTAAAAAAATTAGTTGTAAATCACCCGGGTGTAGAACAAACCTCGCTTTGAAGATTTCCGCTTTTGGATGAGACTCTGTTGATTCCGAGTCTATTTCCGCAACTAAAAGATGAAGTATCACCATTAAAAAGTTGGTATCTTGAGGTAGTTTATGATTTGAGAGTAGTTCATAGCCAGAGTTTCCTGAAGAAGCTGCTAAGGCCAAGATCATTATTACATTCCGACATAGTACCAGATCCTGGAATTCAAATCAACCGAAAGCTGTGTTAATAATCCAATTGCAGTAAACTACAATTTTCAGTTTTCTTATTACCTCTGATGTCTTTCTGGGAGAAGTCAAACAATCTGCTAAGCCTTCAAAGATCTTCCCAAATGCTTCCGTAGCAAAGAGATTTACTTCACTATCGTTTTCAGTATCTGAAGAGTTCTTTTCCTCATGGAGAGAATCAAATCTATCGTATAGTTTAGGGCCTAGATAAAGAAAATAAATAGGTTAGAGAAGAAAGAAATGCAACTTTTGCGAAGATGGTTTCATCATAAACAAAGAAATCTGATCTTCAAAGTAAGTAAATCACGTACTTACAGTTGAGTAGCAAGTAAAACAGATGAATAGCTTCTTTCCGTACATGTAAGCCACCTTCTTTTCTTAAAAGTAATGAAATGCTCTCAAACACTTCCTTGGAGACAAAACTGGCCAATGAATAAAATTAACGTTATATGAATGCAGATGTTCATATGACCAGACAAAGAAAACAGTTTTGACTTTTTGAGTGCTTACGTTTCTCTCGCGGTATAAGCATCAGTGCTCATCACGATTATGTTCATTATCGACAATGCTTCCAGCTTCACATCCTCTTCGGTTCTTATACTAGCAATTTGATTCATCAATTCAAAAAGAGAATGCCAGTTTGCATCCCAACTAATAAGGGATCATGAAAAGAAAATTATTACAATGATGATATATGGTAAATGTAAGAATTTAGAGCAAATAAATATTGGAGAAAATTAGAAAACTAACCCCAGATAGAGAGAGTAGGTACCTGGCTTCAAATCTCTTTTCAACACCACATATATGTTCCAACAGCACATGTAGTACACGCAGAGATCTATGAACAAGAACGGCCTGCACAACAGATGAATGAATAAACTCACCAAAAAAGGAGAATATTAAAAGATCCAGAAAGCTACAACTTGCAGATAAGCTTTGAATCTAAGTCCGACTTACAGTTTCCGCTTTACAAAGATCAAGTAGTGGTTCAACCAAGGACTTCAAATTTACAAACCCATAGCTGATCTGCAGCAGACATAAGCAGTTCAATCAGATAGTGTGGCCAATAACTTATATACCAACAAGTATAGTGTTTGAACTAAAAGTCATACCTTGGTTACTGCAGAGTATAATCGATACACTTTTTCAGATTGTATATCTGACGAGGTTTTGGCTTCCTGTTTGTCAACTTCTTGGGGAGGCGTACTGATTTTCATAAAACTAAAGATAATCTGGAGATCTGGTGAACAAGCCAGTAGCAACTCTGAGATTAGATTTTTCCTCGGATCTTGATAATTTGAGGTGCGCCAAATATCTAGCAGTTTCTTTGAAAGATCAGCATTATTGGCCAGATCCGCCTGAACACCAGTGGTCTTGAAGCCTGACTTAAGCCAAAGCAAAAAAGAATGAATAGAAAACCAAGAAATTTTGAAAAAAATAATCCCGACAAAACAAATTTCAAAGGCTTCAAACTTATTATTGCCAATATCAACATTCACCTACTTCTTCTATCATCTAACCCCATCGTAGAGTCATTTTCTCGATGATTTACTGAAGAAGTTGCAACATCTGGTTCCCTGTTTCACCAAGACTTCTTTATTAGACAACAGTTGGTGATTTGCAACAGATAATAAAAGTGCCCGCAAGCTAATGAATGGTAAATTCTGATTCTCTAAAGAGGGGATAATAAAAAGTGTGAGTAACCACTTGTACCTCCGTTACAAAACATCACAAAGAGTTTCACCTTCCAGCATTGCGATTCACTAATCAAATTTTGCAAAAATGATAAGAATGCAAAATACTGAAAATGGTTGAACCCTATCGCGATATATTCTACAAAACTAGATACATACTTAAAGGCAATGCTAATTAAGTTCTTTAGGAAAACAAGATCCGTCATTTCGCCTAACAACAAGAGAACAATATTCACTCACAAGTCTGTTCTCTTAGAAGCATGAACTGTAGAACATTGCCCTTTATTATCAGCACACAAGTTTTTAGACTCCATTTCTTTGTTTTTCCCCTTTTTAAGCTGAGAACATTCTTGTTCCTGGAACAATCAAAGATATTTTCAACACTATATACAAGGAAAAATGGAAACTTCTGAAAACTCAAAGATATGAAATATACCACATCCAGCAATTGCTTCGAGACACGTTCCAGCTCCTTCTATTTATCACATACCACAATAAACAATATGAGAAACTACATCTTTGTGATAACAGAGACGTAATAAGAAAACGAAACCCTAAAACCTTTAAGCGATCAATTTCGAGATCTTTCTCACTATCACAGCGACGATTCGAAGAAGTCGGAGAGATTGGTTTAGCAGCAGTAACCGTATAGTTAGAGTAATCCATTAACGCGTCATTGAAACCGCCTACTCTTTGAGAGAGTTCTCTCGGCGGAGAATAGCTGAAGAAAGGATCACGAACTTGAATTTGGTTCCGCTTTTGTCCCGCGGAGGATTGTAACTGCATAGGGTGAGATACAGTCGATGAAATCATCGTCGTCGTCGTCATCTCCGATACCGGAGGAGCCGGTACAAACGTTGGAAGAGACGGAGGAGGTAGGGGGCGCTTCTTGGCTTCTATGCTGGCCACGATAATATCCACGGCTTTGACAAAATCGGCATCTTCATCAAAATCGTCGTTGTTTGCCATCGATCTCTCTCTCTCTCTCTCCCTGAAAGCTCCAGGAGTGGAGTGGGAAAAGAGGAGAAATCGAAATACTGTATCCATTTAGGAATGACCCGACCCGAGAAAATATGAAATCCGGAACCAGTGTGATTTGAAAAGTGAGCTAATCCGGTTATATCATGAAAACCCGAATTGAACCTAGAACCGGCTTTCTAAACCAGATACAAAAGCTTTCGACCCAACCGGCTTGCGTATACTTCTTATTATTATTATTTTGGTTAAAACTTAATAGATACAAACAATAAAAAAAAAATCATTTTCCAATTTGGTTTGCTATCTTTTTTTCTTTTTTTATCAAAAATTTGGTTTAATATCTTTGAACTACAAAATGCTTTTAAAAGCATATGCAACCCACCTCTATTTTTATCTTTATAGTTTATTATAAAGTAAAATCTATTGTAACCCACATCTATTTTTACCTTTAAAATAAAAAAACTTTATTTTTTGTTCTATATATACAGAATCTCTATATTTTTTTTATATTTTTCTTTCTCTATAATAGAGTTAAAAATTTTAGAGAAAAAATACTCCCTCCGTCCCACAAAGATAGATTTTTTAGAAATTTCACATTCTTTAAGAAATAATGTATAATGACAATTTTAACCTTTTAATCATTTAATACATTTAAAAAAATATATTATTTATTGTTGTTTAATGAGGGTAAAATAGGTAAACTGTATTAAATTTGGCATTGGAAACCCAAAACTTCTATCTATGTGGGACAAATTTTTTTTCTAAAACATTTATCTTTGTGGGACGGAGGGAGTAGAAGAATACATTGGAGTAAAACTCACTTTTATTATAGAATTCCTCAATTTTAAAAGCAAAAATAGAAAAATACATTGGAGATGGTCTAATAAATAGTTTCGTTTTTTACTTGACCTTTTTCATTTTTACTCAAAAGAAATCTATAATTGAAATTGATAATTTTCCAATTAATTATTTAGATTTTCAGTATCTAATTATTATCAGCTGTAAAAAAAATTATCATCGTAAAACATAAAATGTCACAATATTATTGGCTGTGAGTTCTTTTTTGTCATTCAAAATTCAAATAAAAAATAAATTAAATTATATGTATTAAAATAATATAGATGAGAGATTTTGAGAGTCTCTCTATCTATTGTACATACTCTTACTATAGTTTTCAATTACATAAAACATCCCTAAAACTCATAAATTTAGACTTTGGCCCCGGTAGTTTTCTTTTCTTTCTAAATTAAAGGATTATCTGATTAGCAAAAAGAGGAAGAGAAAAGGGTTTTTTAGGATTCTTCTTTTAACGCAGAGCTTGAAATATATAAAAGATCGAGAGAATTCGCAAAACTCGTTTCTTCCTTCCATCATCGTCTTCGTCTCTGCTTCCGCCATGGCTGCTCTTCAATACTTGGAATCTCTGAAAAATGCGCATCCAGAGCTCGGTGAATGGTACAATTCCCTTGCAGATCTGTATCAGAAAAAGCTCTGGCATCAACTCACCCTTAAGCTCGAACAGTTCATCGCTCTCGCTGTCTTTCAGGTCCTTTTGCTTCTCCTCCGTAGCAGTGATACGTTTCCATATCTATCCAGGTTTAGTAGTGGTCCTTAAGGATTTAGGGTTCATAGATCTCGAGAAATTTCGTAGAATCTGTGTGTCTACTTCCGAGTAACAGAAGTTAGAGATCTGATTTGGAAGATGATAGGTTTTTTTACGAGTTAGGGTCTTGGAAGAAATTTAGGTTTTAGGGTTTATAGATTTACTAAAATTCGTGAGTTTTCATAGTTTTGTTATCGATCAATTTCGATTGCTTCCAAGTTCTTGTGATTGTGTCTTTGTTGTAATGTAAATATTTGATTTCAGGCTGGTGATGCTTTAATTCAGTTCTATCACAATTTCATCACTGACTTTGAGACGAAGATCAATCTTCTGAAGCTTGCGCATTTTGCGGTGGTGGTTTCCCGACAGTACTCTGAGAAAGAAGCTGCAGTTAGCTATCTTGAAAGCGTGATTGAGAAACTTAGAGCTACTAAAGAGCCTCGGATAACTGAACCGATCATTTATATTGAAACACAAAAAGCTCTGTTCAAGCTTGAGCAAGGTGATCAGAAGGAGTGCAAGAAAATCTTGGACGATGGAAAGAGCTCTCTTGATAGTATGACTGACATTGATCCATCGGTCTATGCCAACTTCTATTGGGTGTCTTCTCAGTACCATAAGTCCCGTCAAGAATTTTCTGATTTCTACAAAAGTGCTCTACTTTATCTTGCATACACGTCTGTCGAGGACCTCTCAGAATCGTTTAAGCTGGTATGCCCCTGTAATTTTGTGTATATTGTTCTAATGTTTTTTTTTACGAAGTTTAGCTTCCCTAGAGTCACCGATCAAATTGCTAATGTCTGATTATATCTGTGTCTTTCAGGATTTGGCTTTCGATTTGTCACTTTCAGCTCTACTTGGGGAGAACATCTATAACTTTGGGGAACTGTTAGCCCATCCCATTGTAAGTTTTCCTTCATCCTCAACATAAGCTACTGTAATATTTTCCTAAGGTTTCTTGTTGATCTTTCACTCCTTGGATTTTACGATACTGTTTGTGAATGGAGACAGATTCTAACTCTCATTTTGTAGTTTTGCTTAGAATTGTAGATGGTTCTCTTACATGTAGCATTTCTCTGATGACAGTTGAAAAGTCTCCTTGGAACAAATGTGGAATGGCTCTACCACATTCTACAGGCATTCAACCATGGTGATTTAGTTCAGTATCAAGAACTATGCCGTGTGCACAACGCATCCTTGATTGCGCAACCAGCACTGGTTGAGAACGAGAAGAAGCTTTTGGAAAAGATCAACATTCTCTGCCTTATCGAGATCATTTTCAGGTAAACTTCCTTTAAGGCAACTGTACCTCACGCCGTTTCTATTGAATAAATAAAATCATGTGCTAATACAGTTGATTTTAAACCCTACTTTAGCCGACCCGCTGAAGATAGAACCATTCCTTTGAGTATCATCGCTGAGCGTACTAAACTTTCCATTGAAGATGTTGAGCACCTTCTCATGAAGAGCCTTTCTGTAAGTATTAGTATCTCCTTACATCTTTCTCGCTTGTTTATTTTAGTCCCAAAATCTGCAGCTACCAGTTTGAAATCTGTTGTGGCCAAGGAAAGAGTTTTGTCGAGTGACCAACATATTGATACGGAACTACCCGTCATTTGATTAAGAAACATAGTAAACATCACCATTTGCTTAGTGCCTCTAGGTTTATGTATCTGCATTTGTCTTGTTATTGGGTAATTTTGTGAGAGAAGTCAAATGATCTTGACTGGTTTTGTTCCTGACTTAGACATAGAATGATTGGGTATGCTTATAAATCTGTAGAAACTTAACTGGAAAACGAATGATGCAGGTGCATCTAATTGAGGGCATCATAGACCAAGTGAATGGAACAGTTTACGTCTCATGGGCGCAACCAAGAGTACTAGGGATTCCACAGATCAAGGCTTTGAGGGATCAATTGGACAGTTGGGTTGACAAAGTTCACACCACTTTGCTATCTGTTGAAGCCGAGACACCAGATCTTGTTGCCGCATAAGAAAGGAAAAAACCTTGTTTGTCTTCCTCTTCCTTCTTTGAAAGCTACTTATTAAATGTAGTAACTCTTCTCTGGGGAGCTTTTTTATTTCAGTGGTAGAAATTTCAATTACTACTTTTGAACCTTTTAGCTCCCTTACGGATGGATTTTCTCTCGTTCTATTTCAATATGTCCGAAATTTCAGTTCTAAATTTTGACTTTTAAAATTTCATTATTCACAATCATTCATTTTTTCCATAACTAACATGTCCTTCTCTGAAAACGTGGGCTGAGAGTGGGCTTTACTGGGCTTATGGCCCATCACTTGTGGTTCGTGACTCACCTCATCTTCCAGACTCGTTCCGAGTTTGTAGGTAACTCAGTAACTGTTAATTAGGGGTTCTCTAAAACTAGGGCTTTGAGTGTGATTTACGCTTTCTCTGTCTCAAAGATTGTTGATTTAACCAAAAACTATGGATTCGCGTCGCTTCCGTCACTCGTTTCCGATGACGTCACTTCCCGATGATATCATCGTGGACATCATAGCGCGTGTACCAAGATCATATTACCCAACAATCTCTCTCATTTCCAGACGTTTCCGATCAATCATAGCGTCCCCTCAATTATACACAAGACGATCCTTGTTACGTTGCACCGAACACTGTCTCTATGCACTCATCTATAATCCTAAAAACGGTCATTACCATTGGTACATTCTCCGTCGCCGTAAAGGCTTTATCCTTATCCCTTCTCTTCCTATTATGCATACCCATGGAAGCTCTGTTGCTTTAGGTTCGAAGATTTACGTTTTAGATGGTGTTTATAGTAATGGTGTGACTTCCAGTGTGTTAACCATCGACTGTACTTCTAATACAGTGCAGCCTTCCTTCAACATTCCTAAGGCTATGGGTGAGACTGTCGCAGGTATCATCGATGGGAAGATTTACGTAATCGGAGAGTGTGATTGGTCGAAGCGGGTTATGGTTTTAAATACTGAGAAACAAATGTGGGAGACTGAGATGACGAAGCCGGCGGGTTTGGAGATTGGTCAATTGTGGTCTGGTTGTGTGGTGATGGAGGCTAAGATTTACATGAGGGATTTAGATAATAGTTTTGTTTATGTGCCAAAGGAGAAGAAATGGGAAATGGAGGAGATGTTGAATTCTCATAAGTGGCAATATGCATGTGTTCTTGACGATGTATTGTATTACTACGATTGTCTCGCGAACAGATTAAGAGCGTATGATACAAAGCGCAAGTTTTGGGTAGTGGTGAAAGGTGGGGAAAGATTGTTGTCTGAGACAAGTTGGCTGAGGCTGCCGACCATTTCAAAGTGGGCATATACTATGAGTTGCGGTGAGAAACTGGTTGTGTTCTTTCCTAAACTAGACATGATATACCCAACCAAGATTTGGTGTGCGGAGATCGCACTTGAAAGACGCCAAGGAGGAGAGATTTGGGGTAAATTTGAGTGGTGTGGTGCCGTCCTGGATAGTGATCTTCTCTTTGTGAGATGTCTAGATGTTATGGTTTGATGCACAAAACAATAGGTTTGGTATGTGGAGATTGCACTCGAGCGACGGCAAGGAGTAGAGATTTCGAGTGAAGTCGAGTGGTGTGATGTTCTCATTGATGGTTTGTTTTCTCTTTATGAAATGTCTTAGCTATTGTGGTTTGATACACAAACTCTCCCATTTACGCATTCATAGAACTTGTCGTTTAATTTGTTTTCTTTTCATAATCCTAAATTTCATCTTGTGGTAGAAAATTGTTGATTTCGTTGATTTAAAAGTGAAAATGTATTTGCTTTAATCTTGGTTTTGTGCATTGAGAGTTTAAGAAGCAAATGTGGACAAACATTCTGCCATGTCATCTCTCCTTATAATTTTACAAATGAAATTATTGTACCTAGTTAGGAATTCATATAAATAAATCAGAGACCAACAATAATAATTCAAAATAGAAAGTCCAGTTTTAAAATGAATTTAACTATATTTGTCTACAAGATAATAAGAAAAAAAATTGTACTACTTATGGATTTATTTATTCAACAGAACTCATAATTATAAGAATCCCGAGAAGAACAGTTGTGATCAAAATGGCAGAAACCACATGGCCATGAATCGTCTTGTCTGTACGATGATTCACTATTTTCTTATAAAAATTTGATTCTACATTATTGTCGCAAATTTTTTGGCCTTTTTGAATAATGAAAGTGAATTTAAAACAATATGCAAACCTTTAATGTTCAACATACATATGGAATCAACTTGCGGGAACGAATATGTCGCCCTTTACAGTAAGAAATAATTAATTAATTTTGACTTATCATATGAAGTCTATAAATCAAAAAGAAAAAAGCTATTTAGTCTACTTTCATATATAACGTATACAAATATACAATTACTCCTCCTTTTTTTTGTTTAGAAAGACCAATTCATAGCTACTGTTGAGTTCTGGCAACTATTCAACCTTCATTGTTAGGACTATTGATGACATGTTAATATATAGAAATAGAGAAAAATTTTGACCAAAAAAAAAAAAAAATAGAGAAAAATATGTCACCATATTTTGCAATGACTAAATAGACAATTCTTACTAACTCGAATTATAATTTTGAATATATCTTTTTTTTTTTTGGTAAATTTTTTTTTTTTTTTTTTTTTTTTTTTTTTTTTTTTTTTTTGAATATATCTAAACACTAAAACTAAAACACATGCATTGTGAAATTGATACGAATTATACATTTTCCTTCTTCGTTTTATTCACGTGGAGGAAACTAAAACAAAATATTCAGGTAGTCGATGCCGTTTGTAATTAGCAAGTGAGACCATCTACATTCGGCTCACGTTAGCAAGCAAGTTGCATAATCCAATGAATGCGACCAAAGACAAATTAAAATCCATAAGCCAAGAAACCAATTACTTCACAACAAGCAAACCCAAAACGCAATTTAAGTGTTTAACCTAAACATTATATTTTGGATTTTCTTCTTCTCAAGTAACCAAATAAATATAATTTAATTAGATAGTACTACAAGACATGTCGGGGATTTATCCAATACACACCCAAACGGGAAAGAAAAAAAAACTCCCAACACTGAACCGGTCAATTAATGAAAATAAAACAAATTGAACCGGCCGGTTAAGTAAATCAAGCTTCTAAAAAACCGGTCATCCTAAGAACGGAGTTCCGGTGACGGCTCAAATCTCTTCCTTTTAAAGTACAAACGGAAAACGCTATTTGCTCTTTCATTCGTCTTTCAATTATTACATGTGGAGGAGTCTTATCTTCCTCCTCCTCCTCCGTCGTGTCCCATTCCGAACATCGGAAATTATTCGTCGGAATTCTCACCGGTGTTGTCTTCTCCGCCGCCTCCCGCCATCTTTTACTCTTCTTCTCGTCGTTTCTTGTGTTAAAGAGTTTAGTTTTCTGGATTTTGGTCTGGTCGGAAAATATAATATCTGATTCTTGAAATTCTTCCGACATTATTGTATTATCAAAAATGTATATTTTTCGAGAAAACTAGAGTGTTAAAGAGAGATGATATGATCGATGAGGATGGAGAAGAAAAGATAACAATGAGGAAAAATGAAATATATAGACCAATTGAGACACATATGTGGCAATAGAGCATCGTATGTCTTATATACACGTAAGACTCACGTATAAAAATGTAAATGTATATACTTGTACATGTGTTTGTATGTATACGTGTACGTATAAGCAAATCTAGTATTTGCATATGATGATGTCATTAGGATATCTTTGTGTGAAATACGTGGTAGCTTCATCTGATTCTTTGTCATCACTCAAGTTTTCATTGCCGTGTATTATTAATTATTTTGATTTTAGTCATTAATTAGTTATTAATGATTTCCATTGTGTTTGAATTTTAAAAGGAAACTATCCTAAATTTACACTTTCTTTTACCATGAATAAATCATCATACAATGTAGAATGACTACAACATGAATTATTATTTAATTTATATTAGGTTATTTATGAACCAAAAAGAAAAATAAAATTGTAGAATGACCAAACATGAATTAATTTTTTTATTCAATTTTGTGATTATTGATCCATGTAAGTATGTACGTAACTATTCTGTCATCTTATTGAAATTACCAATTGAGAATCTTAATTATTAATGAAGATCTGATCATCTGATTAATTGAGTATCTCCAACAACAAAAAGTCACAATGATTAAGGAATAAGCTAAGTCGGTGAAACGCAACCAGAGCGGCGCGTCCGGAGGAAACGCATTACGCGTTTTCTATCTTAACGTCACGCGTGTACGCGGTTACACGCTTAAATCCAATTCCATCCACTCATATCCATACACGTGTATTATTACAAGCTTAGGGCTCTTCAGTGCCACGTTTTTGTTTTTGTCCAACACAACACAACACAAGAGTCCCTTTCTTATCGTTTACGTGGCGTCGTTCGCTAACGGCATATATTCTTTTATCTCATGGAAACAGACGAATTGCGAGGCAAATTTGGGAAAAGATTAAAACAAGTTTCTTGGAATGTTGTAGAACTATATATATATAGATCATTTTTGGCAGGTTTAGTGTTTCAAGAAATAAAATGTACATTTGTATTCAAAATATAACACGAGAGCTAGATAATGATTAGAGAGTTTTATTATTTCTTTCTTCCAATTACCCCAATAATGATTAGAAACGACTGATCACACCCTAGTAAAATTCGAAAATACTAAAACCACCCATAGAAAAAAAGTATCAAACTAAGGAAACAGCAATTGGACTCCTCACAACATGAAGGCCTCGACTAGACAAGCCATAAATCATATCCACTTTCTTGTCGATGCCGCTGGAAATAGGATTGAATCTCAAAAGAACATTCAGGACCACTGCGTTGAATTCTACTCTAATCTCCTTGGAAATCAAGATGAGAATTCGATGTTTGAGCCTTCTGACATCTCAAATCTGTTGGAGTTTAGATGCTCTCAGCCTCAAATGGATGCTCTGGACAAGCAATTTACTTCTGAGGATATAAGGGCTGCAGTTTTTTCTCTGCCACGAAATAAAACAGCAGGTCCGGATGGTTTCTCTGCTGAATTCTTCAGAGCTTGCTGGCATATTGTGGGACCTGAATTTGTTGATGCGGTTTTAGAATTTTTCAGAACTGGAAGTATCCTAAAGCAGTGGAACGCAACAACTATAATTCTTATCCCTAAGATCCCAAACGCCTCTTCTACTTCTGACTTCAGGCCAATTTCTTTGTGCAACACAGTGTATAAAGTTATTTCGAAGTTGCTAGCAGGACGACTACAGGCTCTCCTTCCCCATGTGATCTCAAAGGCCCAGTCTGCTTTTCTTAAAGGGAGATTGCTCGCTGAAAATGTTCTTTTGGCTTCAGAAATTGTTGAAGGGTATGGAAGAAAAAACATTGGTCCGCGAGGGATGCTCAAAGTGGATCTAAGGAAAGCGTTTGATTCTGTCAGTTGGGACTTCATTATCGAGACAATGAAAGCTATGCACTTCCCTGGAAAGTTCATTGGTTGGATTTCTCAATGTATATCCACGCCGCAATTCTCAGTTTCTGTAAATGGGCTTTCAGCTGGCTACTTTAAGAGCTCTAGGGGTTTACGGCAAGGCGATCCGATATCCCCGTACCTATTTGTGTTGGCTATGGAGGTGTTTAGTCGGCTAATGAGTTCTTGCTTCTCGGCAGGTTTTATAAAGTTTCATCCTAAGACTGAAGAGCTTGATATCTCTCATCTCATGTTCGCTGACGATGTTATGATATTCTTTGATGGATCCTCCTCTTCCTTAGAGAGCATCTCTGACACAATGGGTTTATTTGCTAGCTGGTCTGGTTTAAAAATGAATTGTGAAAAAACTCAGCTATTCGTTGCAGGTTTGGATCAGAATGAAGCTTCACTCTTCACGAATTCTGGCTTTGCCTCAGGTTCTTTACCCATCAGATACTTGGGTTTACCGTTGATGAGCAGAAAATTAAGAGTATCTGAATTCTCTCCGCTGATTGAGAAACTGATCAACAAATTCAGATCTTGGGCTGTTTCCTCCTTATCTTATGCAGGAAGACTTCAATTGCTAAATTCTGTCATCTATGGCTTAGTGAATTTCTGGTCTTCGGTCTTCTCCTTGCCAAAAGCTTTTATTAAAAAGATGGAGTCTTTGTGCGCCAGGTTTCTTTGGTCTGGATCGATTGATTCCTATCATGGAGCAAAAGTGGCATGGTCTGATGTTTGCTACCCAAAGCGCGAAGGAGGTCTTGGCCTGAGACGCATTGGGATCTGGAATTCAACCCTTTGCCTAAAGCTTATTTGGTCGCTTTTTGCAGGGAGTGGCTCCCTTTGGGTTGCCTGGCATCATCACCACCACATCAGAGGTAATAGTTTCTGGTCCTTAAGAGAATCTGTCCGTGACTCCTGGAACTGGAAATGTCTTCTCAGGCTAAGACACTTGGCTGAGCCCTTTGTGAGATGCAACCTGGGAAATGGGCAGTTGGCGAGCTTTTGGTTTGATTCTTGGCTGCCATTAGGTCCGTTAATTAAATTCTTTGGTGACGAGGGATCAAGAGATTTTGGCGTCCCCATTCAGGCCTCTGTTGCCTCTGTTTGTGATAGCCAGCGGTGGATTTTGCCTGCTCCTAGATCTGATCAGGCAGTGGCTCTTCGTAATCATCTCTTATCAATTAAGCTGCCTCTGATCCAGTCAAAGGAAGACTCTTACAGCTGGGTTATTGAAGGCAAATGTCACCAAGTTTTTTCCACTTCTAAAACTTGGAATGTGTTAAGGCCGCGTCAGAGCATTAAAGAGTGGTCTGCTTCGGTTTGGTTTAAAGGTGCAACACCGAAACACGCCTTCACAATGTGGGTTTCGCATCTTGACAGATTGCCGACTAGAGCAAGGCTTGCTTCTTGGGGTCTGCAGATTCCGTCAAACTGCTGCTTGTGTTCAGTATTTGTTGAATCCAGGGATCATCTTCTTCTGAGATGCGGTTTTAGTGCTCAGATTTGGCATTGGCTCCAGGTTAGGCTACGGCTTTCTCCTTGTATTTTCTACACGTGGAACGCTCTCCTCGCTTGGACTAGACTCAAAACAGACTCCTCTCCTCCAATACTGCGGAAGTTGGCTGCTCAGGCGGTTGTCTACCATATTTGGAAGCAGAGGAACAATGTTCTGCATAATCACGTCTCTCGTCTTCCCTCGGCGATTTGTAACGACATCGATCGGGAAGTCAGAAATTCGATCACTGCAAGAAGGTTCCGAAAACAGTTCAGAGATTTGATGATTCTCTGGATCAGTTATTAGTTGATTGACACTCAACTCTCCTTGTAAGCTTTGTTTTTATCTTTTTTTGGCAAAGTCTACATTCATAGGTTAAGCTTTTATTGTAAAACCTCAAATCTTCATTTTATATGATATTCACATTCCTATCAAAAAAAACTAAACCATCCAAACCGATATCGATCCCTCCGAGCCTCACCTGTAAACTCGTATCTCTGTGTCGTAAAACTGATGTTAAACCGCTTCTTCTGACCAATCCGATCAAAGACCAAAACATTTGGTTCAGCTTTAACAATGACACCATACGGCGGTTGAGCGTTGAAGACATATACGCTTGATGAATTACCCGGTCGTCCAACACGTGTGACCGTCCTCGTAACGGTCACTGTTCCAGCGAGATATGGAATTGAGATTGACGGGTAATTCAGGTTATAACCGGGAGGGATTCGACTAGGACATTTGAATGTCGGGTCAAGATTGGTTAAACCAACAGAACAGCAGTATAGAAGGTAAGATTGGTATGATGCATCGTAGACTAAACCGGGAGATGCAGCTTTTGTTGGTCTAAAATGTCCTGACCCAAGCGCAAATGGGTTTGCGGGTGAACCATCATAGTCTTGGATTGGTTCATTGTCCTCGTTGGTCATCGAAGCTACAAAAAAACAAAGGTTCATTGGTTTAGTAATAATCTGTGCCGACCGAAATCGTACCAAAATTTGGTTTAGTTATTTTGAACCAACTAAATAACCGAAAGTTTTTGTTACCAGTGGTCATGAGGGCAGATCTTATAGCAGCACTACTCCATGAAGGGTGCATGCTTTTGAGAAGGGCAATTGCACCAGCAATATGAGGACAAGACATAGAAGTTCCTGAGTCGAGATTATAACCTAAAACTCGTTGGTCTATCGAATCTTTGCTCGCTGAATCCGCCCCACTCCACGCGGCTAATATATTCAGTCCTGGCGCAATAATATCCGGCTGTAAAAAACCAACAAAAAGGGTTATGTGTTGAGTTGAAAAAAAAGATTTGAAGTCACAAGAACAAAAGAGTTTACCTTTAGAATGTTAGCATCTACCCAATTTGGGCCTCTACTAGAAAAACTAGCCATAAAAGGAGCCGGTTTGTATGGGTAAACCGAATCTTCCGGTTGGTTTCGGTAAAGTACTGTTTCTGCCGGTTTAATGAAAGCAACCGGTTCATAAGTATCCTATACTATTATTTGGGGAGTACACTTTATAAGATACCCTAAACTAACCTTCTCTTTTGTAAAAATTTACTTAAGAATGCCATTAGAAATAAAATTTTATAGAGTAAATTAATTCAACTCATTAAGGATAAACAAGTCAAATACTATTTTATGCAATTTAATTAATTTAATTTAATTATAAAAACGAAAATCTATTATTAATTTCTTTAAAAAGAATGACCAATCAAAATGAACATATAAGATTTGATATCTAACTTATCATATTAATTTGTTATTAATTATTATATTTCACCTTTCATCTTTATATGATTATATTTCTATAAATAAATAAATCATTATATCATCTATATAATAAAAAAAAAAGTAAATTTTTTTCCGCATATACCAAGATTTGAATTTTTATAAACGAATATAAATTATTCAATGTATGAAAGAACAAATTTAACGGGTCAAAAATTCATATTTGAGTAATATATTCCTTTTTTAAAATATCATCAATACTTAATAGATCAAAAATTTATGAAGTATAAATACTCTAATTTGATTTTTTGAAACAAATATTTATAATAGGCGGCGGGTTAAATATAATATATTATATGATGAAATGAGTTATGATCCTTATAACTATTTGAATATTATATTTAATTTCATATCATTTTTTTTAATTCATAATTTTACATACTACAATAAAAAAATTTAAAGATTTTAATTTGGAACATTTTAAAAAAGTTTAATTTAATATATGAAAGAATATCATAAATATTTAATAGATTAAAAAGATAAAAAAATTATAAATACATTAATTTGATTTTCTAAAAAGATATGTTTAAAATATTTATAGTAGGCGGCGGGTTAAATATAATGTATTATATGGTAGAAAGTTATGATCCTTATAACAGACGGCATTTTAAGATTTTATGATGAGATGGGTTAAATAAGGTTTGACACTTCTAAATATTTGAAAATTTGATTATGCCGCAATTTTGAAAATAATAAATAATAGATTGTGCCGCAATATTTTCATAGGGATTGTAAAATGAAAATATAGACTCTACACACGGATTGAATTTGGTATTATTATATACCAAATATATGTTCATAACATAATTGATTATGTGAATAATTGGTAAATTCCATAATTAGCTCAAACAAATCTCTATTTCAACAACCAATGAATCAGAATTTGAAAAAATAATTTCCTAAATTAATTCAAAATAATAGCTAATTTTCTTAAGTAATTCAAAATAATCTACGTTTTAGATGCGATTCATTTATGATATTTTGATTTTTGATCTAACTAAATTATATGCACTCTCATTTTGTGGTTGTTAACATAAATTAACTCATTGTTCAAACAATATTAATTTTTTTTAAAAATAATCTTATTTTCCGTTTTCATATCTTAAAAAAAATATACATAATTGAATACTATAGAAAAAGAAAAATATATTCATTCTAATATTATATATAGGGATTGACAAAAAAAATATTATTTTTTCACTTACTATTATAATATATCATAACTTTATTCTAAAACATAAAATTTATAAATTTTGTAATAAATGAAATTCAAATATTTCACTTACTATTATAATATATCATAACTTTATTCTAAAACATAAAATTTATAAATTTTGTAATAAATGAAATTCAACCCGTACTACAGTACGGGTGATGATCTAGTTGTAGATGTAATCGAGAATCCTATCGACCGTGGATGAGAAAACCAAAGCAGTTGGTACGAAATGAGACTCAACGTCGAATGCATCGTTATCACGAGAATTTGCTAAAATCATACCAACTCCTCCGGCTCGTTTTACCTCAAGACCTTTACCAATTGTTGAACCTGAACCGTAACCTCTTAAACATAATACCACTTTACCTTTCACAAGATCCGGTGAAAGTGAATTCGGTAAACATAGCCTTCACCACACAAAAACAAATAATTAAGCCAAATAAAATCAAAACCTTTTTTATTTAACATAAACATATATTCATCTTTGATAAAGAAGGTAAAAACTTACAATGCGTCGTTCCTTGAAACGCCGGGAACAACCACGTCAGGAGCGTAGACTAGAGGAGCAAAATTGTCCATCTTTAATGTTGTTAATGAGTCCGACTAGAAAATAAGAAACTTCGTATTAACTTCATTATATACATAATACATACAATATTTTAATACATAGAACTAAGTTTGTATCAACACTAAAAAAAAAAAAAAAAAAAAAAAAAAAAAAAAAAAAAAAAAAAAAAAAAAACACTAAAAAAATAATCTATTTTTTTTAATATATTGAATGTATTAGTCTAAATCTATATCCGAGAGTAAAACTTACCTCAAAGCTCTCAAGCTAAACCATAACTCAAAATGCATATATAACATAGGAGAACTATTGAATTTTGTAATCCTAACCAGACCCTTCTCGATTCATGTCTCTGTATCAGCAAAAGATCCATTTTTTTTGTTTTTACCCAATTGATCGAACCATTCGTAGTTTCTTGAGAAGAAAAGAGATCCCAAAACGACATTTCCACTTGTTCAGAGATTCTTCAGCTAGGGCTTTGAGAATCCGGCGAGAAAACAACGCCGATGAAAGATAAATATCGCCGTCTCCGTCAATCGGAAAAATAGAAAAAGGAATCAACGAAGAGCATATGGATTTAATATCGTCGACAATATAGAGAGATTAGCCTTTAATGAGATATCGCCGGCAAAAGAAAAAAAAAAGAAATTTATGGATGTGGAGTCGTCGGAGAAGAAGAGAGAGAACCTATTTTTTTTGCAAATAGAAGGAAGCCCTTTTTCGTAATTTCCACAGAAGCCCCAATACCCACTTTAGTTTCTATCTCAGAGGACGTGTATCTCACGCACAATGGCAAAGAGAGTGATTGTCAAATTTTAAATAGTATCAGTACTACTTTTCCAATTATGTTTGGAAAACGTACTATATTGCAACTTATTCCTATAACATAGTACCCTATCTACGTACCAAATTTCAAATAGTCATAATTCAAAAAATTTCCTAGTAATAATTTTAGCCGGGGAAGATACTAGTTAACATTTCAAACCACAATTGTCCTTGTAATGTATATGGTTTAATAAGTTGTAACGTTTTAATTTTAGGTTTATTACCTCGAATATATAGCCATCACCAAGTTCAAGACGGCCGACGAAAAACCGATCAAGACTACTAGCTCCCACGGTAATAATCCACGGAGCTGGATTCGACAGAGTTTCCCCTGCCGGTCCATCATTTCCAGCGCTAGCCGCAACCACAATATCTCTTTTAACCGCGTGTAACGCTCCGATCGCGATTCCATCCTCCAAATACGTATGAGGTTCAACCGCTCCAATAGAAATACTGATAACATTGACACCATCAGCAATCGCATCGTCAAACGCAGCCAACATATCTTCATCAAAACAAGTGTTTGTGACGTATTTTTCTGTGTTTGGAATCGCCCAACAAGCTTTGTAAACAGCGAGACGAGCCAATGAGGCGCCGCCTGAAGCCGTGCCCATAGCAATACCGCCGAGAGCAGAAACACCGTTTACTCGGCGGCCAACGGCGGTTGAAGCTGTGTGGGAACCATGTCCATCAGCGTCTCGTGGAGACAAGAAGTCTTTGTTAGCTTCGGCATTGAACGGTCCGTAATATCTCTCGTACCCTCTTGCGTAGTACCTTGCTCCGATAATTTTCCTATGATTAATGACGTTAAAATCGAAAATGATGATAAATTTACCAATCACAATTTTAGAACTTTAGTTTTTTTTTTAAGTTTTTATAGTCTAAAAGCCCACTTTTTTTTTTAACGTTCAATTTTGTAAAGTCATAAATATGAGACTTTCAAACAAATAATAAAGCTTTTAAATAAATAATAATTAAAAAGTTTCCTTTTTCTTTTCCCCGTAATAATTAGAATCTCTCTATATGTTACATATATTGTTTCACAAATATTTTTTGATAAATTAATTATTATCATTTTTCAATCTTTTTTAATCCATTTCAATAATAATCATTTTATTTTCATAATCACGACTAATATTGGTATAAAAGAGTTTATAGAATAATATTTTTAATAAAACATATACTTTCATATTGGCCATTCAATTATTTCATAAATTGCTTCATCATTCATAATTTTATTGATTTTTGATTACTCAAAATTATACAACTACTCAACAAAAATGAAACATTCAAAACACTATTATTAGCCATAACAATTGCGCAAGAATCATTCAAAATAAGTATTTTAACTATTTCTACCTTTTAATTTATTTTTCAATTGTTTATTTGGTTTGTTAGCGAAATTTTATTTGAAGATGCAGTACAATATATATTATAAGGATCCTCAAACTCCACAATTTCACCCAAGTTTTTATAATTTTATCCCACTTCTTAATAATGTATTTTTGGATATTAAATTTCGTCATGAAATAATAAATATAAATAAATGTGTTCATTTAGAATATTTATTTATTATTTCTAACAAAATAATAACATTCCTTAAAATAAAATTTTGCTAACAAACCAAATAAAACAATTGAAAAATAAATTATACGGTAGAAATAGTTAAAATACTTATCTAGAATGATTCTTGAGCAATTGTTATGGCTAATAATAGTGTTTTAAATGTTTCTTTTTTGTTGAGCAGTTGTATAATTTTGAGTAATCAAAAACCAATAAAACTATTAATGAAGAAACAATTTATGAAATAATTGAATGGCCTATATGAAAGTATATGTTTGATTAAAAATACTATTCTATAAATTCTTTTATACCAATATAATGGTGATTATGAAAATAAAATGATTATTATTGAAATGGATCTTAAAAAAAAAGATTGAAAAATGATAATAATTATTTTATCAAAAATTATTTATGAAACAATAAATGTAAACATGTAGAGAGATTCTAATTATTATGGAGAGAAGAAAAAAAAGTTTTTAATTATTATTTATTTGAAAGCCTCATATTTGTGACTTTAGAATATTGAACGTAAAGAAAAAAGAAATGGGCAGTTAGACTTTAAAAACTTTAAAAAAACTAAAGTTCTAAAATTGTTATTGGTAAATTTTTAGCTTTTAAAACTTTTAGAAAAAATAACAGCCCTTAAAACCTCTCCCAATCACCTCCTATTTATTTATTTTTACTTTGGAGTTTCTCTAAAATTTATGTAATTTTTAATATTTAATTAAGAAAACTATTTGTGGAAAATGTGAGTTATATTTTAAACTCTCAAATATATTTCATATGTATCTACTATATATGTACATATAATTAGGACTAATTTGCAATCAGAAAATTTGTAAATTAATTTGATCATATTTTAGTGATCCTCATGACATCTTCTTGACATATTTGATGAAAATGTTCATGTTGAAAGCCAAAAACTAATGATAATTAAATATGTAGTTGGGCTGAGCTGCGCTCATGATAATGGCATTGTATATATTTTTTATGTATATACTATATTATTAAATTTGACAACTTTTACAAATTAATGACGAAAACAAAAACAAGTTTTTATTACCGGTTACAGTGGGAAGAGTTGAAGGCAACACCGGTTTGGCAGATTCCTTTCCAAGATTCTGGAATTGGTCCCATTCCTTTGTCATCGAAACTCCTTGATTCTGGCCACACCCCTTTTATCTCCCCAAATATAAACAAATTATTCTCCCAATTATAACATATTATATATATATATATATATATATATAAGACAACAAATTATATCTTTTCATTTAAAAGAACATGATTATTCTCAGGTATTAATTGCACAAAAAAATTAAAATAATATACGTACTGTTTAGATATGGAATCCTATCTTATTGCTATTATTCAAAAAAACTAAATATTTTGAAGATTTTAGTAACAAAATTTATCTATTTTATGGAAAAGACTACTTTGTTAACAGAAAATATATGTGTGGCTAAAGAGAAAACCACAAAGTAGGTATACCATATACTACGCTATTCAAAATGGTTCACAAACATAAAATATGGACAAAATTTTTTCGAAATCTTACCACCATCGATGACACCAACTATGACCCCATCGCCGTGTTTTGCCTTCTTCAAAAACTTTCTTCCCATATGAAACCGGTCATTCACATCATATTGATGATTTCGAACATCACCATCACTACTATAATCTTCGCCTTCGTCGTCCTTTAACCCTACAAATTCCCATGATCTTGTCGTATGGATCTTATACTTTCTCGGATCGCTCTTGAACACCGATACAACTCCTTCGAGTTCTATAACAAAAAAAAAAAAAAATGGGGTTTAGCTAATACCATTTTCAGTACGTCACTACAAGAAATATGGGCATTCTTAACACACTGAAAACGCTATAATATCGTTTACATAGCGGATTCATAAACGCTGTGTTTGCCGGAGCTATCTTAGAGTGGTCACATATAATAGCGTTTTTTTGCTTTGCTATTAAATGTACCCGTATAATAGCATATAATATATGCTCTAATTTTTGTTGTTGTAGCACAATTTAACGTTATACTAATTTGTTTTGTAGCTCTTTTCGATTGCCGTAATATACTGTTTAGTAGCTCCATTTTTTGCATTATTATTTTGTGATTTATAGCTCCATTTGACCCCTTTTTGCATTATATATCAATAGATTTTTTTATCAAAGAAAATCTATAAAAAAACATTACAAGTTTTACAAACCATAATCCGAACCAAATTTTAAAAAAAACATCAAGTACTATTCTTCACAACAAGAATACTAATCATAAGGGTCTGAACATACCTTCCAAGTTACATCAAGTCTTAGACTAACTATATAACTAGGAATCATGTTCTTCACTCCTAACAAGTTTTTCAATCTTCTTGAATAGCCCGAGTGACACTCTTCTTCACTTCCAACAAATTCTTTAATCTCGAATAGCCCGATTGACGCTCTTAAGCTCCTGCAACGTTAGTACAAGAAGAACTTATATATCATTCAATTCAAAAAACGATATGCTAACAATTATTCTAGAGTTTTGTGAAACTGAGACAAAACTCCACCATAGAAAACTAAGGCATGGAATCAACTCAATACAAATACATGTCCTGCAGCTTTTGTTGAAACATATCCTCATGAAGCTAGAGCACGCTTAGCACAAACATGGGCATAAGAACTTATATCCATTGCAGCTAAAACCTCATTCATTGGGACGCAAATGGGCTGCTACCAGACGACTGTCCAAAAGCTATAAGAACATTAAGCCACTTAAGACATAAGTTATGTAAAGACCCAAATCAAGATCAAGACTTACGTAAACCTTAGACTAATCAATAAAAAGTTTAAAGACGGAAAAAGAAACAAAAAAAAAACACACATTTATCAGCAAAGAGGTAAGATTGTAAGGGTTATATCTATGATTGATTCATTACAGAAACTAAAACTCATACCAAAACCCAGATTCAGAATCCATATAGTCATAAACTAACATCAATTAAGGAGAAGAAAGAAGAAGACTTACTAAGGAACATCTGTTGGATCTGGTTGGAAATCAGCGTTGTTCTAGTGCAAAGGATTCTTAGAGGTCACCTCTTTAATTGATTCACATGAAATATAAAGTTCTGAAATTGAACATAATTCATCAAGTTTCCCAATCGAGACCAAATTAGCCAAACAGACTTTAATCAACTCACTAAGACTAGATTGCTCATCTTTAAGCTATAAGAAACTCACATCGACAATGGAAATTAAACCTCACCACCAAGAACAGCTTCACCGACGCCGGAACGAGAACCCGAACTCGTCATCTCAAGCCTCTCAACTCGCTTCACACCCCAAAATTAGCCCGAGCCACCTCTCTCAAACCCTAAAACGGACCTAAACCCCAAATCTCGAAACTATTGATTAAATGATTTCAGTGATAAGTAGTAACAAATAGGATTCAACCCTAGTTTCATGAAGTAATAAAGATTCTCAAGTATACCTTTTCAATGACACATCGTAGATCTGGCCTTTAATCGCCAAAAGAAGGGGCTTTTTAGAATCGGCGGCGGTGAATTTTGGGATGGAAGAAAAAACCAGAGACGACATGATAAACGGTGAAAGCAAGAGCTGATACGGTGAAAAACGCAGCTGCAGATTGAACTATCGAGAAGAGAGGAAGTGAGAAGTGAAAAGACAGAAGAGAGTGATGGAGGAGACAAGAGACTAGCTACGATGGTGGTACCTTTAACGGCGGAAAGCAATGGAAGACGGAGGAGACGAGGCCAGGCAACGGAAGAAGACGTAAGAGGCTAGGCGGTGGTGGGGATTAGTGGATTCGATAGAATGAGAAAACTTAGTTAGTGAAGAAGAGAAGAGTTAAAGACTTAGAAAAAAAATTAGAAACCAAGTATTAACCTAGGTCGTAAGATGTTTTTTTATTTTTTTATAAGTGTTGAGCGGTAAGTCCAAAACTTTTGCTAAATATTGGCGGTTCAAGTGATTTTATCTTCTGGTTCTGCTGTTATTGGGCTTAGCGTTTCTAAAATGCTATGATATAGTTACCAAAATCCGAAAACCATCTTTAATAGCAGTTGCAAAATCCGCGCTATCGTTTTCTGCTATCAATGTCCATATTTCTTGTATTGCGTCATAGCAAAATGTATATAGTTTCATTAAAAAAAAAAAAAAAAAAGTCAAGGGTTTTACGTACCTTTGAGTCTAGAGGCTTGGTTCGGTGTTAGCTCAGCCGCGAAGCCATTGATGCTATGTTTGTAGCTATACAATAGCGAAGATTTGGCATCTTCTTCGGATTCTTTAACAGATTGAAGATAAGAGTGATGATGAGCTTCAATTTCATGAAAGGCTTTATCACCTTTATGTTCTCCAAAATAAACTATATACACCTACAAAAACCAAAAAAAAAAAGAAGTTAATTTATGGGAAATGTGAGGAGGTTAATAAAGAAACAATGAATTTGAATATTTAAAATGGAAATGATATGGGATTTGAACATCTTATTGTAACAACTCAATGCATGAAATTGATAATCTCTGCAAATTAAAGAGTTGACCAGATAAATTAAAAAATTTAACAGAAATTAACCTGTTTCTCTTTAGTGCATGAAGCTAAGAGAGGAAGGAGAAAGAGAAGAAGGGATAGAGAAATTCGTTTCATGGCCTCAGTTTTTTTGTTTTGTTTTGGTTTGGCGAAATGTTATAACCCTAATGCATTATAGGTGTTTGATTGGCCTTTTTACATTCGCGACAAAGAGCATCAAATTTAAATTGGTCCAACCAAATTATTGAAGTTTAATTGTTTTTTAAAGATTTATGCTAGTCTATATAAATAAATATATCAAATGATATTCACCGATTGCTTTAAAAACAGATCATTTCATCGTATTAAATTATCTACATGGTCTACAAGAAAATCCATTTACCTTAGATTGGGTGGGATACATGAGTATGAGTATAGGAATATCCTACACATTTTGGTATATTATTTAACAAGAAAAAGAAACATAAATTGAGGGGAATCGAAGATCTTAGATAATTTGTTACAATGCCGTCAAAAAAAGAATTCGATAATTTGTTACGAGAATCTAGATACGGATTTGTTACAATGCTTCATCATCATATGAAAAAGTATATAAAATGCAAAAACAAATGTTGTGTTTTTTTTTCTTCTTTTCAAAATAGTCTATTTTATTAAAGATTTCAATATTGTACTTTTTAGAATTTTAAAAATAGAAATGCTGTAAAATTCTTCTTTGTCGACAAATGTTTTTTCGCAATAAAGTAATAAATCTTTTTGTTAGCGTACTCAAAGTGAATACATTAAAACACACAAAAATTTCTGCTAAAATGTATCCAAATTGTTGAGGAAATTCATCACTAGCAATGATCTGTTTTCAAAGCAATCGGTAATATCAATTTGATAAATTTATTTATCTAGACTAGCATACTCAAAAGTTTTTGTTTTGTTTTGGTTTTGCGAAATGTTATAACCCTAATGCTTTATAGGTGTTTTATTGGCTATTACATTCGACAAAGAGCATCAAATTTAAAATGGTCCAACCAAATTATTGAAGTTAGATTGTTTTTTAAAGATTTATGCTAGTCTAGATAAATAAATTTATCAAATTGATATTACCGATTGTTGAACTATAATCAAATCCTCATCCGTTCGTATAAACTAAAGTCATATTTGTATAAGTTAGTTATTTATGTAAGAGTCACGTTTGTACGGTTGTGTCTATTCGATTAATACATGTACAATCACGTCGGTTCGTGTTGTATAAGTAGAGATCGAGTCTCTGTTTCATTCATTGTATTGTATTGAATCGTGTGTGTAACACATTGTTTCTCTTATCAATAAAAGATCAAGTTTCCTTACATACTCTGTTTTTCATTCTGTTCTTCATACTTTACTAGAACAGAGTTCGTTTTGTTCTTCAAAACACCAACATGGTATCAGAGCTTATCGATTGAGAGGACAAAGAGAGAAAGCACAAACAATCACAGCAAGAAAAAGGCAAAAAGTTTTTCGTATACGTTTCGCAAAATAAGCCGAAACGATGCAAGGCTCTTCACATCAAGTGATCCCTATATTCGATGGGGAGAAGTACGACTTCTGGAGCATTAAGATGACAACCATTCTCAAGACCAGAAAACTATGGTCTGTGGTTGAAGAAGGAGTGCCAGCCGAACCAGCACAAGGAGAAGAAACTCCTGAGACATCGGCGGCAAAAGCAAAAAGAGAAGAGGCAGTGGTCAATGATACGATGGCTTTGCAGATCTTGCAAACCGCCGTAACTGATCAAATCTTCTCACGAATTGCAGCAGCAGGAACTTCTAAAGAGGCATGGGAGGCATTGAAAACTGAATATGAAGGATCCTCGCAAGTACGGTTGATCAAACTTCAAGCCACTAGTAAAAATATGGTGTATAGCTATGGAAAATTTTGTGACAAAGACCTATATTTCGTGGCTATATGACCAAACAGTCACGACCTGACACGAAAAAAAACCGTGTCTATACAATCGTGACTTAAAATATTTCGTGGCTTTTCGTGACATTATTGCCACGGTTTATACACGCATATTTCGTGTCTAATGAAGTCACGAATTATACATGTAAATGGTCGTGTCTTTTTTTGTCGTGGCCAAATTAAAACGTCACAAATATTTTTGTGATTAATCGTAGATTGGCAAAGAAAAAAAAAAATTGAAATCTGCAATCTGAAATTTTAAAACCTAATAACCAGAAATTTAAAATCCAAAATACACTATCATACATTGCCAAAAGTTTTACAAAAGATTCAAAGATTCCACGAGACTTACAAAAAGTCTATAGTCTTACAAAAGATGCAAATATTTTAAGAAACAAGCTTAAAATGAAAACAACAAACCAAGAGCATTAGACTACGTAACTAAGTGCTTGTAAAAGTTGGGTCACGAGTAGCACACCACACTTCATAGGCAGCTTGTTGAGCTTGAGTCATTGGTGGAGTTGAGGCAGTATTCGGCATTGTGGCATTCAGGACAGTGGGATTGGGAGACATTGCAGTATGAACATAAGGTTGAGTATGATTTACCTGTTGGGGAGTAGCAGCCTAGGCCACATGTACTAGCCTTGCCACGTTGTTTGAATGAACTTGCGGACACAAGGGTCTATACCGAACCTGACATAAGATAAATAAAAATCATAGACAAATAAGAGATATAGTTTCTATTTGTAGATGCATAGAAAGAAGACTATACCTTTATAGATTTTTGCTAAGTTACCATAAGGCACCATTGAGCTTCCTTGGATGGAGGTGTGGTTGGGCTTCTCTAGAGGCAGCACGCAGCAATGCATCTTCGGTTCTTCAGAAAATCACATTATAAAAGTCTAACACATTTCAGATATTTCAGAAAATTACAATATAAAAGTCTAACAAACACAAATTTTAGAAATTCACACTAAAAGCAAACACAAATTTCAGAAAATCAAACAATTTCATAGGCTAAAGAGACTATACCCAAACCGTAAAAAACAAAATTACTTTATCAAAGTCACAATATCACAGTACAAAAGCTAGAAATCAAAAGTATGAAAAAGTGATATTGTTTTTTAATTTGAAATCAAAGTATCAATTAATTTGACTCACCCCAAGTTAAGGACTAAGACCTTGTTTCTATAACTTCTCATTATCAACGAAAACAATAAGACCAGTAATGAAAAGAAGAAGGTCTAGCCCGTGTATCCAATCAAGGAACAAAATCTCTCCTCAAACCCTAAAGAGACGATACCCAAAAAAGACTAAAATCAAACACAAATTTTAGAAAATTAATCATGCAATAGGATAATCAAACATAAATTTCATTTAACAAACCCAAAACCCTAAGCATTTATAAACTGAAAAAGAAGAAACGTTTATGGAGAAAGAGAAGAAGAAGATCTACCCGGCAGATTCAAATCGGAGGGTCTTGAGCGACGACGGTCGGGGGCTTGGCCTGGCTTGAGGCTTGGCCGGAGAGAGACATCTCGATTCGAAGTGGAAGACAATTTGAAGTCTTTTTGCGAAGTTGGTTTGTCGGGAGAGAGAGACGAGAGGCGAGAGATGAGAGCAGAGAGTGAGTTATTTTAGATAAGTGTTAAAAATGAGGAAGAGATATTAGGGTTGGGATGAGGGTTCTGTCTTTTAAGTGGCTAAACCGGGAAACCAAATATTTTTGGTCTAAATATTTCAATTAACCCGGGAAAACCAAATAATTTTGATCACGGTTTGTCCACGGATGTTGTTCGTGAAATAAAAGTCACATAATTGGTGTGACCAAAACGTGGCTAGAATTGTCACGTTTTAACTATGGCTTTATCGTGGCAGTAAAAGCCACGATTATTCCACGAAACGGTCACGTATTTGAGAATTATTTTTTCCGTGGCAATCGGTGACATCTCCGTGACTTATTGAAAGCTAGACACGGAATGACCGTGACTGCGACGTGGCTATAGAATAAATTTCTACTAGTGAAGCGTTGCGTAGAGAGTACGAGAATCTGAAGATGTATGATGGAGAAAACATCAAATCATTCACCGATAAGTTAATTGTCTTGGAAAATCAATTAACTTATCATGGAGAAAAGAAAACAAATTCTCAAGTTGTTCAGAAGATACTCATTTCTCTCCCAGCCAAGTTCGATAGCATTGTCAGCGTTTTGGAACAAACTCGCGACTTGGATTCATTAACAATGACAGAGCTAATCGGTATTTTGAAAGCACATGAAGCAAGGCTATCTGCAAGAGATGAAAGCACAAATGAGGGAGCATTCAATGCTCACACAAAAGCAAGAGAAACCGGTTCCAAACAAGACAACACTAGAAGCCGTGAGAATCAAGGCAAGAGGTGGTGTGAGTTTTGCAAAAGAAGCAGCCACACCAACGAAGAGTGTTGGAGGAAACCGAAGGAGAACGATCAAGGCAAGAATAAGAAGAGTAACATTAAGTGTTACAATTGTGGTAGGATCGGCCACTACTCAAACAAGTGTCGCTCAAAGAAGAAAGAGAGGGCACATGTGAGTCTCGAAGAAGAAGACTCAAGTGATGAAGATCACATGTTGTTTAGTGCAAGTGAAGTCAAAGAAGCAACAACAAAAGAAGATGTTTGGCTAGTAGACAGTGGATGCACTAACCATATGACTAAGGAGGAGGGATACTTCTCTAAAATTGACAAGAATGTCAAAGTTCCGATCAAAGTCGGTAATGGAGAAATAGTCATGACTGCCGGTAAAGGAGATATTACCATCATGACAAACAATGGCAAGAAGGTCATTCGAAACGTGTTCTTGGTGCCCGGCTTGGAGAAAAATCTGTTGAGTGTTCCTCAAATCATTTCAAGCGGTTATCGAGTGAGTTTTGAAGACAAGAGATGCATCATACTTGATGCAAAAGGCAAGAGGATAATGGAGATCCCAATGACTCACAAAAGTTTCAGAATCAAGATGAAAACGGTTCAAGAAGAAGCTATGAATGCAAGTGAGCAAGAGAAAGTGGAAACATGGCACAAAAGGCTTGGTCATATAGGCAACAAACGTTTGCAGCAAATGCAAGACAAAGACTTGGTAAAGGGGTTACCAAAGTTTAAAGTCAACAAAGAAGTATGTGAGGCGTGTAATCTTGGAAAGCAATCAAGAAAAAGCTTTCCAAAAGAATCTCAAACAAAAACAGAAGAGAAGCTTGAGATTGTGCATACGGATGTATGTGGACCTATGCAACACCAATCACTTGATGGAAGCCGTTACTTTCTGTTGTTTTTGGATGATTATACTCACATGTGTTGGGTATACTTCCTAAAACAAAAATCAGAAACATTCTTAACGTTCAAGAAGTTCAAGGCCATGATAGAAAAGCAATCCGGTTGCGTTATCAAGACGTTAAGATCAGACGGTGGTGGTGAATTCACTTCACAAGAATTCAACAAGTTTTGTGAAGAAGAAGGGATCAATAGGCAAGTTACTTTGCCTTACTCACCACAACAAAATGGTGTAGCAGAAAGGAAGAATAGATCCTTGATGGAGATGGCAAGATCAATGATTGTTGAACAAGGTTTACCGTTTAAGTTATGGGCAGAAGCGGTGTATACCTCGGCTTACATTCAAAACCGCCTTCCATCAAAGGCTATTGAAGATGATATGACGCCTATAGAGAAGTGGTGTGGACACAAACCAAATGTGTCACACTTGAGGATATTTGGGAGCATATGCTATGTGCATATAGCGGATCAAAAGAGAAGAAAGCTAGAAGCTAAGGCAAAGCGTGGAATCCTCATTGGCTATAGCAATCAGTCAAAAGGCTATAGAGTGTTTATCTTGGAGAATGAGAAGGTTGAAGTATCAAGAGATGTTGAGTTTGATGAAAACAAGAAGTGGGATTGGAACAAGCAAGAGGAAGTAAAGAAGATCTTTGTTCTTCCCATCAATGATCCACAAACCTCACAAAATCAAGACGGAAACACCACTAGTTCCGTTTTGGTCCAAGAAGATCATCATTATGAGGATATAAGTGATGAAAGGGAGACATCCGAAGAAGATATGGAGATGTTAACGGCCAAATTTGGATCTATACATGTTAGTACACAAGGAGAGAGATCCGAAGCTCCAAGGAAACTCAAATCCATGCAAGAGATCATGAGAATAGCACCAAGGGTGGACATTGAGGAAGCGGCTGAAGTCGTAGAAGAATGTCTTCTAGTGCATGAGGAACCACAAACTTACAACGAAGCATGTATTGAGAAAGAATGGAGAGAGGCCATGAAAGAAGAGATCAACATGATTGAGAAAAACAAGACATGGAAACTAGTCGACAAGCCGGAGAACAAACGTGTTATAAGTGTGAAGTGGATCTACAAGATCAAAACGGATGCAAATGGTAATCCGATCAAACACAAGGCAAGACTAGTAGCAAGAGGGTTTTCTCAAGAATATGGAGTTGATTACCTTGAAACGTTTGCCCCGGTTTCAAGACATGATACAATAAGAGCCATCCTTGCGTATGCGGCTCAAATGAAATGGAGATTGTATCAAATGGATGTCAAATCAGCCTTTCTAAATGGAGAACTAAAAGAAGAAGTTTATGTCACACAACCACCTGGGTTTGTGATTGAAGGCAAAGAAGAAAAGGTGTTAAGGCTATACAAGGCTTTATATGGTTTAAAGCAAGCGCCAAGGGCTTGGTATGGAAGGATAGATTCTTACTTCATTCAAAACGGTTTTGAGAGAAGTATGAATGATGCGGCCTTATACATCGTGAAGCAAGGAGAAGACGTGTTGATTGTTAGCTTATACGTCGATGATATCATCATCACAGGGAGCAACATTCACCTCATCAACACGTTCAAGGAGAACATGAAGAAAGAATTCGAGATGACTGATCTCGGGTTATTAAATTATTTTCTTGGTATGGAAATAATTCAAGGTGATCAAGGCATATTTCTTTCACAAGAAAAATATGCAAACAAACTTATTGACAAGTTTGGAATGGGAGAAAGCAAGAGCGTAAACTCACCACTAGTACCACCGGGAAAGAAGATGGATGATGACAAAGAATATGGTGATCAAACTAAGTATAGGAGCATTGTTGGAGGACTTTTGTACCTATGTGCATCAAGACCTGACGTGATGTATGCAAGCTCTTATCTATCAAGGTTCATGTCATCACCACTAGTGAAGCATTACCAAGAAGCAAAAAGGGTGTTGCGATATGTCAAAGGAACGTTAAACTTTGGAATGAGTTTTACAAGTGTGGAGACACCAAGACTGATAGGCTACTCGGACAGCGATTGGGGCGGTTCTACAAAGGACATGAAAAGCACATCAGGTTATGTCTTTACTCTTGGATCGGGTATGTTTTGTTGGCAGTCAAACAAGCAACAAACCGTGGCCTTATCAACGGCGGAAGCAGAGTACATCGCCGTATGTGGTGCAGCAAACCAAGCTGTTTGGTTACAAAGGCTCTTGAAGGAGTTTGGTCTCAAGACTGAAGGGGGAGTTCCCATCTTGTGTGACAACAAGTCGGCAATAGCAATTGGAAAGAATCCGGTGCAGCATAGAAGAACAAAGCACATAGAGATCAAGTATCACTATGTAAGAGAAGCTGAACAAAAAGGGCTCATTCAACTAGAGTATTGCAAAGGAGAAGATCAACTCGCGGACATCTTCACTAAGGCTCTAAGTGGAACAAGGTTTGAAGATCTAAGGAAGAAGCTTGGAGTGAAGCCGAGATTTGATTAAGGGGGAGTGTTGAACTATAATCAAATCCTCATCCGTTCGTATAAACTAAAGTCATATTTGTATAAGTTAGTTATTTATGTAAGAGTCACGTTTGTACGGTTGTGTCTATTCGATTAATACATGTACAATCACGTCGGTTCGTGTTGTATAAGTAGAGATCGAGTCTCTGTTTCATTCATTGTATTGTATTGAATCGTGTGTGTAACACATTGTTTCTCTTATCAATAAAAGATCAAGTTTCCTTACATACTCTGTTTTTCATTCTGTTCTTCATACTTTACTAGAACAGAGTTCGTTTTGTTCTTCAAAACACCAACACCGATTGCTTTGAAAACAGATCAAAGCAAGCGAACACACTGTCAAATCCTACACCGGAAGCAATGGAAGAGGAAACCGAAGCTTATAATAAATGGCAACACCTAGCAAATTTGGAGGAAGGTTTCATGAAACAAAATCAAAGCTCCATTGGCTGAATGTGGGTGATCAAAATAACTCTTATTTCCATAAGGCTGCACAGATACGTCAAATGAAGAATTCAATTCGCGAGATTAAAGGACCAAATGGTGAGGAATTGAGAACCAGTGAAGAAATAAAAGGTGAGGCAGAACGTTTTTTTAAGGAATTTCTAAACAGCCAGCCAAACGACTTCCAGGGTATGACTGTGGAGGAGCTAAGGTTGTTGCTGCCTTTTCGTTGCTCAACTACTGATCATGAAAAGCTCATGAAAACAGTGACTGAAGAAGAAATTCAAAAGACTCTTTTTGCTATGCCAAATAATAAATCTCCAGGTCCTGATGGGTATACAAGTGAGTTCTTCAAAGCATCTTGGTCAATTATCGGAAAAGATTTTATTGCTGCGATACAATCTTTCTTTGTTAAAGGTTTCCTCCCAAAAGGCCTTAATGCAACCATTTTGGCACTAATTCCGAAAAAAGATGATGCCTCCGAGATGAAAGACTACCGACCCATATCGTGTTGTAACGTTATCTACAAGGTAATATCAAAGATTATCGCCAACCGATTAAAGGATATGCTCCCTAAATTTATCGCGCAGAATCAATCGGCCTTTGTTAAAGAAAGGTTGCTGATGGAAAATGTGTTGCTAGCTACAGAAATAGTAAAGGACTACCACAAGGAGTCAATTTCTTCTAGATGTGCCATGAAAATTGACATATCAAAAGCTTTTGACTCGGTTCAATGGCCTTTCTTGCTGAATACGCTTAAAGCATTGAACTTCCCGGAACAGTTTATTCAGTGGATACGTCTATGCATCTCAACGGCTTCCTTCTCGGTTCAAGTCAATGGAGAATTAGCCGGTTTGTTTGGGAGCTCGAGAGGCTTGAGACAAGGTTGCTCCCTCTCTCCATACTTATTTGTGATATGCATGAATGTCCTCTCTCATATGATTGACAAAGCTGCAGTAAATCGGAATATCGGATATCACCCGAAATGTAAAAACATTGGCTTAACACATTTGTGTTTTGCTGACGATCTTATGGTGTTTGTGGATGGACGAAGAAGTTCGATTGCAGGGGTCATCAAAATATTCGAGGAGTTTGCGGGCAGGTCTGGTCTTAAAATAAGTATGGAGAAATCCACACTATATCTAGCTGGAATCTCAGAGTTGAGTAGAGAACACATCACAGCACAATTTCCTTTTGCAATGGGACACCTACCGGTTCGGTACCTGGGACTTCCTTTACTAACAAAAAGGATGACAACAGCGGATTTTGCACCACTTTTGGAGAAGATACGGTCAAACATAAGCTCTTGGACAGCACGATTCTTATCATATGCTGGTCGTTTAGAGCTTATTAAATCAGTGATCACAAGCCTATTGAATTTCTGGATGTCAGCGTTTAGACTTCCAAATGGCTGCATCAAAGAGATAGAGAAAATGTGTGGAGCTTTCTTGTGGTCCGGACCAGACCTTAATCACAAGAAAGCTAAGGTGGCATGGTCTGAAATTTGTAAACCAAAGGAGGAGGGAGGTTTAGGCATCAAATCTCTCATCGAAGCAAACAAGGTTAGTTGTCTGAAGTTAATATGGCGGATTGTTTCTAGAAAACCATCTATGTGGGTATCTTGGATTTGGAAATATCTCATTAACAAGGGATCTTTCTGGTCGGTGAAAGCAAACTCGAATATGGGATCATGGATGTGGAAGAAGTTACTAAAATATCGGGAAGTGGCGAGACCATTACATCAGGTTGAAATAAAAAACGGAAGTACTACATCTTTTTGGTATGACACATGGTCAAAATTGGGTCGACTCATTGATATTACAGGACCTCGTGGAGTAATTGATATGGGAATTCCTATTGAAGCTACTCTCGAAACAGTCCTAAACGGTCCTCGAAGAAGAAGACATCGAGTTCCTGTCCTTAATGCGATAGAAGCTGAGATCAGTGACCTGCATCACCAAGGTAGAAGTGTTGAGAACGATATTTCTCTTTGGAGATACTCGGGAGATAAATTCAAGAAAACATTCACTACAAAAGCAACCTGGAACATTATTCGAACTCCAAGCCCAAGAAAGGACTGGTACAAGGGTGTTTGGTTCTCATATGCAACACCCAAGTACTCTTTCCTAACGTGGCTAGCTGTTCATGATCGTCTCTCAACTGGCGACCGCATAAAGCATTGGAATTCAGGACAACAGGTTGATTGCATCTTGTGTGACACAACCGAAGAGTCAAGAAACCATCTGTTTTTCGCTTGTCAATACTCATCTGCAGTATGGAGTTCATTATCACAAGGCCTCCTTGCAAATGACTACTCAACGGACTGGCAACAACTAGTCACTATTATATCATCTTCAAACCTGCCCAAAATCAAGACATTCCTCCTTAGGTACGTCTTTCAATCAACTCTGTACCATCTTTGGCGAGAAAGGAATGCTAGGAGACATGGAGAAATTCCTCAGCCTCACGCTCAACTTACAAAAAGGATTGATAAAAACGTTCGCAACCGTCTCAGCTCGATCCCCACTGGTGGCTTTGAGGAAAGTCTCCAGTTGTGGTTTGCCTCAAGAATGTAGTCTCAACAAGTGATCCCCCAAATCTCTCTATTGTAATTTCAAAAAATTCGGCAAAACTGATGCATTTATTGTAACACGTTTTTTTGGTTGAATATAATTTTACATTCATTCAAAAAAAGAAAACAGATCATTTCATCGTATTCACATGAGTATGAGTATAGGAATATTCTACACATTTTGGTATATTATTTAACAAGACAAAAGAAAAATAAGGGAATCGAAGATCTTAGATAATTTGTTACAATGCTGTCAAAAAAAGAAGACGATAATTTGTTACGACAATCTAGATACGGATTTGTTACAATGCTTCATCATCATATGAAAAAGTATATAAAATGCAAAACAAATATTGTGTTTTTTTTCTTCTTTGTCGACAAACGTATTTTCGAAGCAATAAAGTAATAATAAATCTTTTTGTTAGCGTACTCAAAATTAGGAAATTTGCATCACTTCTTATGTATGAAATAGTGTTTAGCATCAGTGCATCACTAGTTCTTGGCATTTTTTTATATAAATTTATTTAGGTTGTTAATATTACAACTTACAAGTATACATAGTGGTAGGGCTTCTTGTTTAACTCAAACCAGGCCCATGAGTCCATCACTTCAATAACTGCAATTGTTGATACGTGATTTCTTCTACCATCTTCACAAGTAACAACGATTACATAAGAAGTCTATAGAGTGATCAGAAAAAGAATTTCTATTTCTTTCACTTTGACCTCTATAATATCCAAACCGACTAATAAAACCACCCCAAAAGCAAACAACAATCAAGCTAAGGAAACAGCAATTGGACTCCTCACAACATGGACTTTATCTGTCCAACTAAACCATCCAAATTGGTATTGACCCTTTTCAGTCGCATTCATCACCTGGTTCTTCAGTGGTTTAATAACGATTTTAAACCGCTGCTTCTGACCAATCCGGTTAAAGAACAACACATTCGGTATAGCCTTAACCGAAACACCCAATGGCGGTTTAGCACTGAATAAGTATGTACTTGTTGAGTTACCATTTCCAACATTTGTAACCGTTCTTTTAACGGTCACTGTCTTGTTGAGATTCGGGACCGCGATTGACGGGTAATTGTGATTATAACCGGGCGGAATTTGACTAGGACATTTGAATGTCGGGTCAATATTGGTGATATTAACCGAGCAGCCATAGAGAAGGTAAGCTCGGTATGATGCATCGTAGACTAAACCGGGATCTGCAGCTTTAGTTGGTCTGAAATGTCCTGACCCAAATGCAAATGGGTTTGCGGGTAAACCAGTAGCGTCTTGGATCGGTTTCTTCTTGTCGTTAGTCATCCAAGCTAAACCAAAACATAAAACAGAAATTTAAATAAAAATAATCAAAAGACTATATATCTAAAAGATTTTGGTTTAGCTAAACCAAACCAACGAAATAGCCATGATTTTTTTTGTTTACCAGTGGTCATAAGAGCAGATCTTATAGCAGCACTACTCCATTTGGGATGAATGGCTTTGAGAAGAGCAATTGCACCAGCGACATGAGGACAAGACATTGAAGTTCCTGAGTAGATGTTATAATCTGCAACTCTTTGATCTACCGACATTTTGCTCGGTGAATCTGCACCGCTCCATGCAGCCAGTATGTTCAGTCCGGGTGCGGTAATGTCCGGCTGTTAAAACCGCAAAAGAATCAAACCGATTAATTTCGGTTATCAGTCATTTTTGTTTTGTTTTGAAGTTGACAAAAAAAAGAAGAAGTTACCTTTAGAATGTTGGGATCTACAACGTTTGGTCCGCGGCTAGAAAACCCGGTCATGGAAGGAGCTGCTTGGTATTTGTAAACCGTTTTTCCTGGTTTGATAAATGCCATCGGATTTTTATCGGTTTTAATGTAATCTAGAATTTTATCGACCACTGTTGGGGTAACCCCGGCAGTCGGAACAAAGTGAGAGTCCGTCGGAATTTCATTGCCGTTAGCCGCGACATTGCCGAGAATCATACCAGCTCCTCCAGCTCGTTTTACCTCTATACCTTTACCGATTCTTGTACCGGCTCCTCTTAAACACAAGACCACTTTACCAGTCACAAGCTCCGGTTTTAGTGAATTTGGTAAACATTGTCTTCACAAAAGAAAAATAAAATCGTTAAGCCAAATATGAAATATCAAATTAAAATAAGTTTAATTATCAAATTTAGTAAGTGAGCAAATCTTACGATGAATCGTTCAATGCAATGCCGGGAACAACCACGTTAGCAGCGTAAACAAGAGGGGCAAATTTGTCCATTTTAAATGCCGTTATCGAATCCGTCTACACAACACAAAATAAAACTATATATTATACACAAAATTTGTAACATTTAATTGAATTTTTTCTCATAAGTGTGGACTAGTTACCTTGATTGTATAGCCATTGCCAAGAACAAGACCGCCAATGAAAACCCGATCAAGAGTACTAGCTCCGACGGTTATAATCCACGGTGCCATATTCGACAAAGTTCCCGGCTTTGGCCCTGAATTCCCAGCGCTAGCAGCAACCACAATATTCCTCTTAACCGCATGCAACGCCCCCATCGCGATTCCGTCTTGTAAAAATGGATAAGGCTCGGATGTTCCGATCGAAATGCTGATGACGTGAACGCCATCAGCAATCGCGTCATCTATCGCGGCAAGCATGTCCTCTTCTAGACAGGTATTTCCTTCAATTTTTTCCACATTGGGCTTGGCCCAACAAGCTTTGTATATAGCTAGACGAGCTAACGGTGCACCGCCCGAGGCTGAGCCCATGGCGAAACCTCCAAGTGCGGATGCACCGTAGACTCGACGGCCAACAGCAGTAGAGGCTGTGTGGGACCCATGTCCGTCGGGATCTCGTGGAGACAAGAAGTCTTTGTTTGCTGTAACGTTGAACGCTCCGTAATATCTTTCGTATCCTTTCACGTAATACCTCGCTCCAATAATTTTCCTGTAATTTAGTAAAAAAAAATCCATTACGTTATAACCGGTTCATGGAATAATCAATCATACAATGATTAACTACAATAAGTCAATAACTAATTATTTTGTGTCAAATCTAAATTACTTTATAAGAAAATAGGAAAATGTTTTGAGAAAAACATCATGACACAACGAAAATTAGATAAGATATATATCCAACTTTAATCTAATCGGAATATAAAAATCAGTAGATAAATGAAATGTCCGTCCAAAAATAGCGAATATTTGAACAAATGATTTTCAATGTGATATTTAGTGTTTTATACTTTTATATAATTGAATTCTTTATTTATGTCTTTAAACATTTGAGATGCCTTTAACAAAAAGATGTAGACACGTAAACTTGGGCACACATTAAGATTACAAACATAAGAATTGATGGTAAAAGAAACAAGTGAGAAGTCACGGGTGTACAATATTATCTAGAAAGAAGCAAATAAGTTTTTGTCCCTTACATATATACCAAAGCTTGCATATACAATCAATTATCAAAGTTTCGGTTTCATGCATAAAAATAGCCAATTTAAATGTCTTTTTAAAAATCAATTTGTTTGTATTTGCAGGCTTACATAAGTGAACAGTTACAGTGGCTGTAGGAAACATAATTCGTTAAATATTTTTATATGACTAAGATAATAAAAGAATAATGGTGACTCGTGAATGATGATGATACGTAAGCTTAAAAGTTGGTGATCAATTATCGCAACCGAACAAAACATTGAGATTGTGACCTAATGTTTTGGACAGTGGACTCAGAAACTATGACTTATATTGGAAATGTTGCTAAATCTTTTTTTGATAAATGTTGCTATATATATAAACCTTGAAAAAAGAAAAAGAAATGTATGTTATAATAGTAATGATTTTCTTTGAAATAACTTTAATAAAAAACGGTGAAACTAACGATTCTTTTATATTAAATATGCAGTATTATGGAATGATAAAGGTTGTGTATTTAAAAGAAAAAAATATGTTGTATGAAGAATCACTTTTGAATCTCTTTGAGATTTACTTACAATGATAATTTTATTGATTTCTAAAACCAAAAAGATAAAAGTTTATTGATTATTCTCTTTTAGTTAAAAAGTTTGAAATATACAAATTATATTGTCGATGACTTAGTGGAGTGACATTATTATCATATTCATGTCAATTTTGTTTACTATTCAAAGCCTGTGATTTTAAATTATAACAGAAACTTAAAAGTCGTGACATAATTTCAGAATTCTATCATTTCATAGATTTTTTTAAAACAAAAGTTTCAGTCAAAAGATTCATTTTTATTCTACACAATTATATAATTTTGTTTTCATAAAGGGTTTAATGATAATATAGAATAATATATCACATCATCATATAAAAAAAGAAGATTCTCGCAGCAAGCATGAGGTTCTTTGGATCTTTGCTAAAGAACCAAAGCTGATATGGACGTATAATTTACTTTTAATCTATTTCGGACTAATGTTCTAGTTCTGGTGTGTGTGTTTTTGGTTAAAATTTGTATTTTTGGTTTTATATATTTGGCTCTTTTTGGTTTGTTTTTAATATCTGAACAATTTAAATCATAGAATTTCTATTAAAATTTTATATTTTCTTAGAAAAAAAAAGGAAAAATTGTCTTACCGGTTACAGTGAGAAGAGTTAAAGGCAACTCCGGTTTGGCAGATTCCTTTCCATGATTTTGGAACTGGTCCCATTCCTTTGTCATTGAAACTCTTTGATTCTGGCCACACACCTATTTTTCCCCAAAAGATAAACAAATCATTCTCTCAATAATGACGGATTAATATAATAATGATATGAACCTAACGATTCCAAAAGATAAATTAGTACAAAAAGTTCCTTGAATCTTGAATTCTTGACCATAACGCAACTCTTTTTCTCTAGTCACGTAATAATTCAACTATCAACGTTGGAGTTAGGTCCATTTAAGTTTGGTGTACGTTTTCATCAAAAAGAAAATGTGATTATTTTCAGAATCCAACAATATATTATTTTAACATTTAAAAGTAATCTTATGGCTATTATCTCGGCGCTATTATGTGTGTGCGTGAGGAAACAGAAGACAGAGGAAAATACAAATAAAGGATAACACAAAAGGTTGCACAATTCTATTTTTCCATTCATCTTATCCAAATTTCATTAACGGAAAAAAATGCATTAGCTAAATAACCATGAACTTGACTATATTTTTTCGTTTTGCAAAATACATTTAATCAGGATGTTATTTCATTAAATAACATGTTGTTTACATTAAAATAGCACACCATTTAAGTTTATTTTCGAAAAGAATTTCATAGCTATTTACATAATCTAATATGGTTATTTAGTTTTGAATAATCTAACAGAAATGATCTCAGTTACCCCAAAAATAAATAAATAGATGACACTTAAAACAAAACCTATTTTCGCATTTATAATTAACTAACAGAAAACAATAATTATCTAAATAATTAGTAGAGACAGCTTAACTTACCACTGTCAAGAACACCGACGATGATTCCATCACCATGCTTTGCCTTCTTCAAAAAATTTCTTCCCACACGAAACCGATCATCCGCATCATTTTTTCGACGTGGAACATCACTGTCGGTTTCTTCCTCCTCCAATCCTACAAATTCCCACGACCGTGTTGTATGCGCTTCATATTTTCTTGGATGGCTCTTGAATATCGAAACAACCTCTGCCAATTCTGTTTTAAAAAAACAAAATTGGGTTTAATTAGTTAATACTTCACACCTTTTCCAATCATAACAAATTATCAAAAGGGTATCATTCAAAATTTGTTTTTTTTTTTACTTACTTTCTAGTTTAGAGGCTTGGTCGGGGGTTAACTCAGCCGCAAAGCCATTGATGCTATGTTTGTAGCTATACAATAGCGATGCTCTAGCGTCTTCTTCGGATTCTTTAACCGATTGAAGATAAGAATGATGATGTTCTTCTATTTCATGTAAGGCTTTATCACCTTTGTGTTCTCCAAAATAGACAATATACACCTACCAATTAAAGAAAAAGATTTTATGAAAATATCAGGAATTCATTAAGAATTAAGGACATGTGAATATTTGAAATTCATGGGAAGCTGCCTATGGTAACAAATCAATGCATAGTTGGAATTAAGAATCAGTGAACATTAAAGTGTACAATGATTATTTTGACTCTGAATAGAAAAAATAAATAAGAATAGGAACCTGTTTTTCTTCCGCACATGAGGCTAAGAGGGGAACGAGAAAGAGGAGAGGGAAGAGAGAAGTTAGCTTCTTCATGGCCTTAAACTTGTATCTTTTTGTGTTTGGTGAAATGTTATAGCCCTAATCCTTTCTAGGGGTTTGATGGGCTATTTATAATAGTTGAAGAGCAACAAATTCAAAACGTAAATATAGAAATAAAAAAAACTATCCTAACTAATTAATCGTGTTGATCTGATAACTGGATGAGTCTTACTCACTACAGGCTACAGCTTCATGTTGACCACTAGAAACGTTATTAATGGTAAAAAATCTATTTTTATTATCACATATCTTATTTTTAAAAAATTGTTTAGGTAAATTACATACTGATTAAGGTTATATTTTGTTCTATCTACTCACAGTCGCATAGTACTTTTAGAAAATAACATAATTTTGATACTCCCATTTCTGAAATAATTAACATGATATACGTACGTGGAGAGGCCTATAATAATTTAATTTGATTTAACAATATATATCAGCTTGACCGGGGAAAACAAAACGATATATCTATCCAAATAAATCCACAGTTAATCATGGTTGAATTGGAGACATTCAAGAATGAATAACTTACTTAGAAATTATCTTTTAGTGATATGTAGGATAAAAACAAAAATATTTCACGATAATTTGCAAGGTTCGTCGGTAAATCATTAAATTTTTTTGAAATAACAGTCCGGTCTTCAAGAGACCCACATACGAAGAGGGCACATGAAATCTACAAACAATAGCAGTCAGGAGCTTTTTTTGAAATAGCGCACCGATCATTAAACGAGAATGAGTTCATGAACCAAACTACTAAAGATAAATGTAAGAGAACACGAACGGTAATAATATATAGTCACGTCATTACAAGTATTTTAATATATTTTTCTAATTTTAAGTTATTTACATCGTCTAGAAAAACATATTTATCTATATATATATATATATATATATGTATGTATATTATTTTCTTCAAATATAAAATATGGTATATGTTTGGGTTAATTAACAATTAATGTTCAAAAATACAGTATTTATAACCATATATATGTTGTACGGTGATAAGTCACAGTGCATTTCTGCTATACAATGTTTTTATACGGTGGCAATTGTATAGTCGTATATACAACATTTATATGGTGAATACTGTGTATACTATATATTTAAAAATCATTCGAAAATAAAACTATATATTTTTTTTTCAACAAAAATATATCATCTATTAATGTTTTAGAAAATAATTTTTTTGATAAAATTTTAAATATTTTGATATACAATATCCGGCCGTATATCTAGCGTGTAATGTTATTTTATAACAACTGAATATGAGTGTAATAATTAATATTGTACGTCCCACTCGGTCGAATAAATTGAAAAAAGTGAGAAAAAATAATTGAGGGGCATCGACGTACATAATTGGCTACGAAAAAGTAGCTAAGCATTTGATTGGGAGATTCTGTTTCATCATATGCCTTCTGTTTTCTTGGGAAAATATAATCTCTTCTGCTAGTTTTTTGTTTGCTTTGACAACTCTCATGACAGAATTCAAAGTTTTTTAACATTTAGATAATCTGAAACTGATTTATATATTATCTTCTTGCATTTTGGGAGGTGAATAGGATAGAACAAGAATTAGAGTTAGAAGACAGCTAATCCTCAAGCAGAGAATAGCTCATAACTTTTATGGTAACTTTTAGATCATATGTGTATTTGTATTTACCTTTTTATGTTAAAGTACCATAGAAGTATTTTTTGTTCATGTCAACATGCATGTGTGGATTTTACTGGAGAACAACACACTAATCATATTAATTAGTACAAATCACTAGACTATATATTCCAATAATGTTGTTGAGGTCTTTGACAAAAAAAAAAAAAAAATTTGTTTAGGTTTACGTGCTACTATAGTTGAATACGCATAAAAGATATTTTGAAAGTGAAATTTTCAATTTATAAAAATAAAATATGTGTAACCAATTTTTTTAAAGAATATTTGTTTGCACGTTTATTCTTGGAGTATAAGGATTTCATTCGACCATACTCATTTGTCCTTATCTTATAATATTTTATTTCGAATTGTTAAATATTTTCTCTCTTTTCTCTACTTGTTTTTGTCTTCATCCAAAAATCACCATATCTTATTATCCATTTTTTTGGGTTCAGCTAGCAAGTAGCAACCCTTTGATAGATTGAGGAGAAAAAGAAAACAATTTCCCCCCTTTTTTCTGTGCAAACCACTACAAATCTATGCATATATCTTTACATTTTGTTTAGTGTAACATATTAAATTGGTGTATATATGTAATATACAACCATGTAAGAATTTGTAGTAAGATCTTAGCTTAATGATAGTATCTTAATTTAAGTCTGACCTGCAAATTGGGTGGATAAATTTTTTTATATTTTTGATTTTTCAGTAAGAGATTTTCACGTGTGGCTTTGTAGCCATGTATAAAATATGAATGATTCCACCACTGCAATAAGTTATCAAAATAAGAAACGGCAATGTTTATTTTTATTCATTTCACTTTGAGTTATTTTATTGTTTTTGTTGAGATATGCCGGCTGCCAGTTTTTTTTGTTTTCTTTGTGTCAACAATTTATATTGGAAAAAAAATTTGGATGAAATGAGCTAATCCGAAGAAATATTGTTTACATATGTTGTATATTACGGTTGTACAAGAACGATACATGCAAGTTTGTTCGTTTTAGTATTAATTTTTCTACAGATTCAAAAAAATTGAAAAAACGTCTTTCATTTGCTCAATTTTCTTTAGATACGTTGAAAAAACTCGCCTCTTGGTTGGAAAAGACACAACATAACATTCACCAATTCTGAATAGTCTGTGACGAAAGAAACATCTATCTTATATTCAGTAATTAGGCACATCATCGCCTACAGTAAAACTTCCATTTTTGTATAAAAGCTTTGAAGAGACTTGGTTTTGAGATCGTAAAATATATTTTTTTCATTTTATATTTCTTCTGATAAACAATGGAACGGTATTCAATTAATCTTTCAATTTTTTTTTCAGTAATAAATTAGATATTCCGAACCTAAACTCAACTAATCTCAGAATTCGGGAGGAGACTAATCACCAGCTTACAATAAGTCCTTTATGTCATTTTGAATGTTTTAACACTTTACTAATAACCAATTAACCAAACTGAGTGGTGGGGACATTATATGAACTTGATTGTAATCTTAGTTTGACTAATATAATTGACATATTTTGTGCTTATATATATGTTTGTATTGTACTAGGACTTGCAAAAGCCTATATGCCAAGGTCCCGAAAGCAAAGCCTAACCCCCATGATTGAGCATGTTATTCCTTGTTTTACTTGGAAGTTGGAACTTAATTCATAAATAGGGTATAGTATGATCTGTTTTTAAAAAGATTTTAATAAATCAAGTTTCTGAATAATTTAAACTTTTACAACGTGAGCGTGTAAATAAAATTTAAATAGAAAGTATACATGTTTCCTTACAATATTATTTTATTACAGTAATAGATTTTTTAATTATTATTATGGCATTCCAACTTTTTTTTTAAATGGTGATGCATGTATATATGCTTAAATAATTAATTTGATTACCTATATTAACACTGTGTATGTATGTTTTCCGTAATACACTTCATAATTAAGTGTGATTGAACTGGAGTTGTTTATATGTATGTTTTAGCGGAAATGATTATTAGTAAGAGTTAAAAGATGAAAAATAGGGAAAATTTTCGTAGTAATTAAAAAAAATATAGTCATAAAGTTTTTAACATTCCAGAATAGAAAACCAACTGTGACACGAATGTTGAATCCACAAAAGAAAAGCGTTCGGGGATTCCACAAGTGGTGTGATCAGCCAGAGCATTACATATTAAAGATGACAATATTTTTGGTATATCTTGCAATTTGCAAAACAAGAGAAGAGATGTGGTCTAGTCTGCGTTGGGTGGTTTGTCAAAATAATTAGTAAGAGAAACCTTTATATCTTAAAAGCATACATTGAAGTTTCCTCTATTTCAGAAACTAATAATAATTTTCTATGTAAATAATATAATTCTTTTTTCTCTAAGACTTGGACATGTTACATTTTTGAAGAGGTTAACTAGAGATTTTTGGATGCCCTTATGATAAGAACAGCCACTTTGTATGGCTGATTGAGTTTTGCAACTAATACTATTCTCTTTGAAAATATATTTTTTCAAAACAATATATCAAATTTTCTATGATTAATTTAACACATCAAATTTTTGTTGTAAGCCAAAAATGTAAACACTACTGATTTTAATCAACGTACTAGTGGAGATATTTAATAAATTACTTGCAGCCATTCCTTTTAAATTTAAAAGTGTTCTTTTGATGTTTTAAGGAGAAATTAACTCATATACATGGAGCGACAATATATTAAAAAAAACGACTGAACACCATAAAAACTTGAGCTAAAAATATTGTTGTTTCAGGATTATCATATTTTAAGAAACTAGGCATATGATTTATAGCGGAATCACCATTAAAGATATGAAAAACAGTATTTGAATCCTCACGAATATTATTTTGTGTTTAAAGGAATTAAATCTTTTTCTATTGGCTTTATCAACAACATACCATATGTAAATTTACATCTAGAGATAACATAATGACCACATCAACACAAACCACAAGACTACAAATTCAGGTCATTTATATACATTCTCTTATAACAATATTTTCTTAGCTTGATCAAAAATATACAGTATTCAACACTTGTGTAAAGTTAGTAACAATGTGAAAACGAGGCTTAAATTGGACTGGATATAGTAAACGATCATGTTTGGATTGGGCCAAGTTGTTAGTAGTGGAAGATATAGGGATGGCCCAATTTAGGTTATGACTTCCAAAAGTTGCAAATCTTTTAGATTGGTCCAATTTATTGATTTTATATAATTACCTCACAAAAAGAATCTAATGTTGACTATACAATAGGATAACATATTATTTTTACATAAAATTTTGAATATTATTTCTATATTACACAATTATAATTTGTGCGTGTAACCATATTGGCCATCTATATATTTTAATTTATTTTAATGTAACCATTTTCTATTCATTTCCACAGAAGAAACAAGAAACAGAAAACTAATATTAACAGACATAATTAAAATAAAGTGAGCCGGATCGTAATTAAAATTAAACCGGGAAATTCGATCTAAACCGGGACGAGATCCACGTCAGCAGCGTGATTACACCGCCATCGTTTTCCTTAATTGACCTTTTCTCTTATTGACTAAAGTCAAACGGTCGTTCACCGGAACCAATGGCCGGAATCAAAACTTCACCGGCAACGATTAAACTCTTCTCCGTTCTATTTCTCATCCTCACAATCTCATCTCCATCACCCAAATTCGTAAATGCCTTCACTTTCCCATTTTCATTCACACAATACAAAACCCTAATCTCAATCTCACGATCACTCCTCCTCCGCGTAGCTAACCTACGCGCTTCACGTGGAGACGCATTGGGTTCTTCACGTGTACGAGCCATGGCTGATGAAATCGATCGTGGATTAGGGTTAGGGTTTATAAGCAGAGCTTGGTCTGTTGGTTGGGATTACATGTGGAATTACGCTTGGAGAAAGGGAGGGATTGACTACGGTGAGATGTATGGTGCGATTGGTGATCTCAATGAGCTTATGGGTTTAGTTACTGAGTTTAATAGAGCTGAATCTAATGCTGATAAAGCTAGCTCTGTTGCTCGGAGTTATGGCAAAGCTCTTCGTGTTTCGAAACAGTTGCTTCGTCGTCTTCTTAGAATCTTTGGTAAATCGGTATGGCTTCAGAAAAAGGATTGATTTTTAGATTCATTTACACTTAAGGATTACAGAATGTGAATGCAGTAGGAGAAAAGAGTGTTACTTTGATCAAGAACTAGGATCAAAATCGGATTTTCGGTAACTGCAAATCTTGAATGTGAAGTTTCTAGTACACTTCTCTATGTATGTGTTATAGTAGGTGAGGTTTAGAGTTGTCTCTTCTATTAGGTCTTAAGCTCACTTTGATTCTTGTAACTGATATTATTGTTACACTAAATCTGCTTGAAGTAGAGGAAAGGTTGATACTTTAATCATCGATTTACAAAAGGGAAGCAGGGTTGTCAAGATTTACAGTGAAAATTTGGATTTGATTACTACAGATTTTGAATGTGCATTGTCTAATATTCGTTGCTTATTGGTTGTTTCTTGTGATAATTTGCTACTTGTTCTGTTATTGGAGTTATGTATCTATGTGTTGCATAGGTGAACTTGAGAGTTGTCTGTTTGGTTAGGTCTCAAGCTCACTTTGATTATGGTTATTTGAATTTCGTAGTTGATACTTCATTTTTGTTTTAGCTCATGCTTTGATGTCTCGTAATGGCCATGTTTGTTATTAAAGTTAGTCTTTGTCTCGAGTCATTCAATTCAATGGAGTTTTACTGTATTCAATAGGCTGAACAGTGTTCAGTGAACACTTATGTACATTGTTGTGTGTTTTTGTGTTATGATTGTTAGGGTGCATTGAGGGAGTTTTGGGAGATGGTGCAAGCTGAAGTAGTCGATGGAGAGTTATTACAAGACTGTCTCGAAGTAGGCGGAAACGACGTTAAGAGTTTGCTTCAAATAGCAAAGGACATGGCTCTACAGTTTTTTTCTTCTCAAAACCGTTCCTCTGATGAACTTTAGCTGCAAAGCAGAGCGCTTTCACGTACGTTCCTTCTTTCCGTTTTGTTCCACATCGGGATGTGACCCTTTTTGCACGTTGTACTATCGTATGCATTAGCCAAATCCTCTAGGAAATCCGCCAGAACCGTTTTGCTCGTTACATCTTTCGCTAGATAAGGTATATGTAGACTAGAAAACAATTTGTTTGTTCGTTTTATAAGTTTAAGAGATTCATAGACTAGAAACTGGAGGTTCTTTTGTAATTTCATTAACCTAAGCCCGCTTTTTGTTATCGAAAAAGTCCTGAGATCTTGTGAATATCTTTGAAAAACACAAGTCTACCGACATCTAGAGCCATTGTAGGTATCCAACACTTGCTGTGATTGGTAAAATTTCCCCATTCATAGTTAATATTTTATTGATAAAACAACTCAAATTCTTCTGTTTCATGGCTCTCATTGCTGGAATTTTGCCTCTATAGTAGAGTTCATAAATACAACAACTATATGGTTGGTGAATGGTGCAATGGATCTGAAAATCAGTTTTATATTCAGAATACTTCTTTGTTTGAAGGGCGCCCTTGTTTGAACATGTTTGCTTATTTAACTAATTTTTCTGTCATAATCCAAATTTATTGCTGAATGTCATCAATTTTATTATAGTAACCAAATTTATTGGGATTTTATTTTCCACACTTTCTCTCATCTTATTAATCCTTTTGGTGACTGCTTGAATAAGAAAGTTTGAATCTTGGTTTGAGTAATGTTTTGGGTCCCAAGGTAGATTTTGCTTTTAAGTAACATATGCAAAACAGAGCAAATGAGAATTTAATACTTTCAACTACTCACATTTAGTTCATAAGATCATCATCATCATGACATGGAGCTCACTCTCTGTCTTTCATTTAATTTTACTTCCTTCCTAACACATGGCAAATCCTCAATATCATTCTTCACCGTTGATTCGACCAAGCAAGATTGATCTCAGCCGTTAGATTTGTGTATCCTAGAATGAGAGGAACATGTAATGCAAATGTGGACCCTTCATTTCATGTTTTTATGTTTTGTTACACTATGCCAATTTCATTTCAAGGACTAGTCATTTTGCTTTTTCCACATGCATTGTACTAAAATAACCAAACAAGTTAAGGTCAGTAAATTAGCTTAAAAGATGTTACCGTCTAGTGGTTTAAATCACCCTGATTTTCATATGATGAATATATCAATATATAGATACTTGAACCTAAAACCTATGGAAACTGTTTTTTTCTTTGCACAATGGTAACCTCTGAACATTAAATAAGATATGGAATAGCATTAACAATAATCATCAAACAAGAAAATAACAACTTACTTTGGATTTAAAAATGAGAACACAAAATAAAAACCATACATTTTCGAAAATACCAAAAATTGAATTTGAAAAGAGTTCTAAAAGTATTGTTACGAGTCTTGATTGATTAACCCTCAAATTTAAGTTTGTGGTATTGATAAAACTTTTTCAAGATTTTGGTAGTTTTGAAAATAAATTCATCTATTCAAGCTTGAAACCGACGATTCTCTTCAAGAGAGAACCAATCTAGAGTAGAAGAGCTTACATGGGAAAAGATAACACCATGTGATCGTGCCTTTAGAATAGTAGTAGTAGTAATCTTAAACTAATTGTAAACTTTCATTAATAATCACATACTAATAATTGTATTATGTCATTTTGCAATCCCACAAATGCAGTCATCAGAGTTTTAGTTTATCTACATCAGTTTCCTTCTCGAGACAAGTTTTTTAAAAACTTTATCGAGCATTGATACTTTGAGGAACCAAAGTCAACAGCTCGATTTCCAAAGCAAAACATTAAAACCGAACCTTCACAATGCACACACACAAGTTGGGATTCAGAGTAAAGAAAATAAACAACATTGACACAAGTAATAACTCTCTCCACCATCTTTCGTTATGTCTCTCTCTCTGAATCATAGATCCACCAAAAATACTCAATTATTTCACATATATAAACACACATTCATTTACTTTTACATTTATCATCCAAAATTCATAGCCGCGTGAACATTTAATGCTTCTCCAACCGTTAAACAAATAAACTTTATAAAATAACATTTTCTCATTCTCTCCATATTCTTCAAAACTATATTATATAAACACATTTTTAGTTTCTTCACAATTCACAAAACATCTCTCTCTTTCTTCTCCCTTTCACTCACTATCTTGCTCTTTGAAAAAGATGGCGAGAATGTGTTTGATGATGATGATTATGGTTGCTATGACCATGAACATTGCTAAGAGTGATCCCATTGCACCATGTTACTTCATATTTGGTGACTCTTTGGTTGATAATGGCAATAACAATCAGCTTCAGTCATTAGCTAGAGCTAATTACTTTCCTTATGGTATTGATTTTGCTGCCGGTCCAACCGGTCGGTTTTGCAACGGCAGAACCACCGTTGATGTTATCGGTAATTCTAACTAACTATATTTTTTTTCTGTTTCCTTTTTTTTTTTCCTACTGAAACTAATTTTGCTATGTTTCTTTGAAAAAATAGCTGAGCTTTTGGGCTTCGACGACTACATTACACCGTACGCCTCTGCTAGAGGACAAGACATTCTCCGAGGAGTTAACTATGCTTCCGCTGCTGCCGGAATCCGAGACGAAACCGGCAGACAATTGGTAAAACTATTACTATTTCTGCATTTTGATTCAGCTCCATTTTAGAAATTATGATGGAACTAGAACCATTTTTTTACCGTTCGGTTCGAAGAAATTTTTGGTATGGTTTAATTTGGTTTTCAGTTAGATTTGGTTTAAATTAACTTCAAAATTTAAAAGTATAAATAAATTAGCCATCTTCCATTACTTTAATATGATTGAATCTACTTCTAACACATTTATAACTAGATAGTTATAATTTAAAAATAAATTTGGATTGTATTTGGTTAGATTAATGTTTTGGTTTTGGTATGGTTTGATAGATTTAAATTTGGTATCTTATTCAAGAGTTTCTTAAAATGTGACTAGTTCTTGTTATTGTTCCTCAGGGAGGTAGAATAGCATTTGCAGGACAAGTAGCTAATCACGTGAACACTGTGTCACAAGTAGTGAACATACTTGGTGATCAAAACGAAGCTTCGAATTACCTCAGCAAATGCATTTACTCCATCGGATTAGGCAGTAACGATTATCTCAACAACTACTTCATGCCCAATTTTTACTCTACCGGTAACCAGTTCTCCCCCGAATCCTATGCCGACGATCTCGTTACCCGTTACACCGAGCAACTAAGGGTTCGTAGTACACTCTTAACTTCTATATCCTCTGTTTCTTTAGTTTCTTGATCCTCTAAGTGAGAGATTAAGGTCTTGGTGTCTATGTTTTCTATGTGTGTTTTTGTGGTGGAGCAGATATTGTATACAAATGGAGCGAGGAAGTTTGCGTTGATAGGAGTCGGGGCAATCGGTTGCAGCCCGAATGAGCTAGCACAGAACAGCAGAGATGGAAGAACGTGTGACGAAAGAATCAACTCAGCAAATAGAATCTTCAACAGCAAACTTATATCTATGGTTGACGCTTTTAACCAGAACACACCAGACGCAAAATTCACTTACATCAACGCCTATGGGATCTTCCAAGACATTGTTACAAACCCTGCGCGATACGGTAACAGATCAGTCTTCAAAATTGTGATCATAGTAAACGTTTTTCTTATGATGATTTACTCAAAAGTTTTGTTTAAAATTTGCAGGGTTTAGTGTGACAAATGCAGGATGTTGTGGAGTTGGGAGGAACAATGGACAGATAACTTGTCTTCCAGGTCAAGCACCATGTCTAAATAGGAATGAGTATGTGTTTTGGGATGCGTTTCATCCCGGTGAAGCTGCGAATATTGTTATCGGAAGACGATCTTTTAAGCGAGAAGCTGCTTCTGATGCTCATCCTTATGATATTCAGCAGCTAGCATCTCTCTAAAGAGAGAAAGATCTTTTGCTTGTGTAAGTGTTTTGATAGTTCCTTCAATGGCAGCTGAGTTTTGGACTCAAGAAAAAAAAAGTGAGTTGGTTTGTGTTATGTGATGTCATAACTGTTTATGTAATGGTTTGGAGTTACTGTTTATCTCTATTTTTTCTTATCTCTTTTATAAATTTGATTCTTTCATTACAAATTTGTTACTTTTCTCCATATTTAAAACAAAGTGAAGTAAGTTAAAAGTTAAAACCAATGTTTTTAAAACCCGACTGGATATCGATTGGGAAATGTCGTTGGGTAGTTGGTTGGATGGATCAAACTTGCTTTTAAAATTTATTACAGTTTTAGTTTGACCGACAAAATATTTAAGAATAAAAGGATTGATAAGAAACAAGCATTTAATTAGATTTTTGTTATCTTTCAAAATTTGGATAATAAAATTAAATTAAATTAAAAGAAAGAAGAAAATACCATAATTCTTAAATAATAATATGATATATATATGGTAATGTTACAAATTGATCAACATAAGTGATTTAAATTTTTGTGAATTGGCTTTGACATTTGAATATTTGATCCAAAACACCGGTTTTTGTCCGATTCCAATGGTTAAATTAGTATCCAGGTTTTTGATGTATTTGGATTCCTTAAAATGAACGAATTTACTGGTAGATCCGATCCGGTTTCAAAATCAAAACAAACAATGGCATGTAGCAGAAAATTGAAAGTACTCCGGAAGTTGAAGCATGATCTAAGGCTTTAGAGCAAAGTTCATGAATCTCTACTTTTCTATTTGAATTATCAAAAGAGTTTAGAGGATGAAACCTAAAACTCTACAACACATTTCTTATCATCAAAGGTATATATAATAAGCTGAAAAGAAACTAACTAAGAGTCTATTCATATTGGGCCTATAATCTTGAAGATGCGATAAACATGAAGCCCAATTTTGTGTGGTTGCTTTGTTTGCCAGCAAGGATTGCTGATTGTCCAACACAAAGCTTTTTATTATCTTCTTTCAGATTAATGTTATTTCTTTTTTTCTGGATAGAGGATAATGAGCTCCTTGGGATTTTCAGTTGGGACTTGTTCTCCTCCAAGTGAGCAAAGAAAATACAGATTTCTTGTGAATAATAGCTTAAACAAAGCAGAGGCTATAAACTTGAGAAACAAGCAAAAAGCTTCTTATGATCCTGAGTTAAGTCTTGTCCAATTATCCTCATGTGGTAGAAGAGAAGCAATTCTTGGTTTTGGTTTCTCTATTGGCTTGCTTGATAATGTTTCCGCATTAGCCGAAACAACTTCTTGTGAATTCTCTGTATCTCCTTCTGGTCTTGCTTTCTGTGATAAAGTTGTTGGTTATGGTCCTGAAGCTGTCAAAGGGCAACTAATCAAGGTGATTTAAGTATATCAATAATATCTCGAATTACAATTTACTTTTTGTAATTTCTTTCTGATGTTTGATGATTCTTGAATGTTTATTACAGGCACATTATGTAGGGAAGTTGGAGAATGGGAAAGTCTTTGATAGTAGCTATAATCGAGGAAAGCCTCTAACATTTCGAATAGGTGTTGGTGAGGTAATTAAGGAAAATATATTAATATGGCCAATACCCATTTGTTATAACATTATGTGAACTTCAGAAAAAATATAAAACTGGTTAATATTATACAGGTGATAAGAGGTTGGGACCAAGGAATCCTTGGCTCTGATGGAATTCCTCCTATGCTTACCGGTAAGCTCAATTTATTTAAATTGAACATAACATATGTTATTGTATACATGAAACTTTAGTTACATGTAACTTGATAGTTATTAGCACTAGGCATATATAGACCGTAATTAATACTTGAGAAATTCCGAAAGAATCTTTTGAATATGCAAAAGATATGAAAAAACTCTTGGAAGATATTTAGTAAAGTCTTAGAGAAATTATTTGTTGGAACACACTTATTTTGGTTTATCTATTTTTACAAAAATTTTTTGCTTTGATTCTCCTAAATTATGTGAATATGTATTCAAATTTAAAGTCTCCAAAACTACAAATATTTAAAAGTTTTTATCCTAACCTCTATAATTTCCTTACCAAAATATTTAGATTAGTCTACATAATGTTTGAAAGAGTGTAGGTATCGATGCTCCAATTATGATTAACCAAATCATTGATCCAAAACCAAAAAGCAAGTATAAATTCAATAGAAACAGTGTTATGTTGTCATCATTGTCTTGCTCTAATTTGTTTGATTTGGTTTCTTTCTTCAGGTGGGAAACGAACATTGAAGATTCGTCCAGAACTCGCGTATGGTGATCGAGGCGCAGGTTGCAAAGGAGGTAAAAAGAAAAGCCAAAAAGGCTAAAACCCTTTCTTGATTAATTTATTTCACAAAATCTTATGTTAAATTGTTGATAATTAGATTTAATTAACGAAGCCTAAACTTGTTTTCGCGCAGGCTCATGCCTTATTCCTCCAGCTTCGGTTCTTCTCTTTGACATTGAGTTCATAGGTAAAGCTTGAGAGAGCTTTTTTGCTTTTGCTTTGCCTTTTCTGAGCCATCATCTTGTTCAAATCATCCTTATAGAAAAGAAAAAAATGTCATTTATTTTTTCTACTATTAATCAAGTGAATTTCTCAGACTTTTTCTAACTTTGTTTGGTTTTATACCTTTATCTATTCCTAAAATAGGAAAATTCAATAAACCAAGTAAAACCGGAAACGCAAACTCAAATCCAGATAAATGATTTTCTAACAAAAAGTTAGTAAGGTCTCTGAAATATCCAAATGTCGTATAGTGTAGATTCTCGATTTATTATCAGACACTAGAAGTAGGACGGTGATAAGCTAACTGAGGAACGTGCATGAGAAGCAAGTAGATGCGGTAGAAGCACAACCGACTTAATTTGTTTAGGTATAGATAGAGAGGAGAGATTATTGTAGAGATCATCATGTGTGATCATTGTGTGGTTTTAGGGTTCAAAGCTTGTGTGTTATGGTTCTTGGATGATAAGAGAGGCGAACTATAACTCCACAATCTTATCAAACGTTTAGTTGGACTTTTATTTTATTGCATGCATTGATTAATTTGAGGGATAAAATGTGTAAAGTAGACTAGAAGATAGAGACCATTGGGAGATATTGAATAATATACATGTTTGAGATTAGTATCCGAGTAACTAATTAAAATGGCTAATTATCAAGATTAATATCTTAGATGGTGACTAATTATAAAAAAATTATGAAAATAGCATCTAATAATAGTACCCAAATTACATTGCCTTTGGAGGACCGGCATGGTTATAGATGAAGGTGCTAGAAGAGATGAGAAGATATATGATTTAGTATCTCTCTATTTTTAAAGAAAAAAAAACAATAACAACATAAAATGCAAAAATACAAAAACAAATTTGATTGATTTCAGCAAGAAATCAGATCTAGTTAATTAATTACATCACATGAAGAAAAAATAAAAAGAAAAGAAAACGTAAATCTAATTTCAAAACTGTCTTCCAACAAACAATCATCATGCATAAAAATGTAACGAAAGAAACAAAATGAAATCCGATGTGGCTTCAAAAACCTCTTTGAACTTATTAATCAACATCTCAACAAAAATCACATTCACGATGAACACCTCATGCACAAACCATTATTTCTGGGAAGTGAAAGTTTAATATGAGATATAATCAGAGCAAATGAAAAGATAGTAAATGTCTTAGTTTTTTTTATAATAATATTAAAAAAAAATGATGGTAAAACCACTAGTCTTTTATAGTTTTTATAGGACGTACCGACGTATTATTCATATCCCATGTTTATTTGCTTGATCATTGTTTACAGGTAATGAGTGATTCGCTTTCTTTCGTTTGACTGTAGAAGGATTTTAAACATTAGATATTTCATATGATTCATGTGGGTGGCCACATAATTCTAACTCCTTTAATGAAATCTCAAAAGGTATATAGATATTGTCTAATTCATTACATGTCCTTTTTTTTGTGTTTGTTTTTGTTTAAACACAAGTCTTCTCATACCACAATGGCTCTAATCTAATAACTCCAAAGTCTGATACAATACATGTAGCTTTCATCTTTGATCATGAGAGTTCTGATCTTTCTCGCAATCATGATTTTAACTCTTTTTATTCCGAGTTAGACTCAAAAATAAAGATTTTTTACTTATCACTTAACCACAACTTAGCTGCTGAGAAATGTAAGAAATGTTAAAATATCTCAACACCGGCTTGTAATATGTATATCTCTAAATGTTAGAAAAAATTATATAAACTTTTGGACAAATTAGTACAAGTAATAGATGTTTGAAGAATCCATTTACCAAGGCAACTGTCCACATACAGTCTTTAACGTTATTCTGAATCATTCGAGTTAAGTATTCGTTCCAGACAAACATCGATTCATAGTAAGTGTGTCCTTCTACATTGTTAGACAGATTCCTCTTAAGTGTATGCATGATTTGATAGGGATAGTTGACGAAGAAATCCTTTGTGAGATCAACAGTGCAGAACAACTTCTTATACCTATAAGATTTCCATTGAAGACAGAAAAAAACAAAAACCAAACATGATTTAGAACCTAGATCTGTAAATATCTGAAAAAGAAGCAAGTTAACAAGATAAAACAAAGTTCACAATCTAACAGATTAAATGACAGAAAAAGAGAATAAAAATGAGCTCTCCCTTTCTTGATAGTATCTCCATCGTATATAACATATAAAAATAAATACAACAAATAGAAGTATGTCTATTGTATAGACATGGGAGAAGAATACCTAGAAATAGTAAAAAGCAAAAAATGCAACAAAAATTTTCTAACAACAAACTTAATAAGAAATGAAACTCTAAGCTGCTGGATTATTTCCAACAACAATGAAAAAATTAAAGAGAACTTGTAAACAATACAATCCCAGTTACCTCAACAACTGTTAACTTGTCTAATAGAAATCTGTGACACTCTTATTGTGCAGATTAAAGAGGGACACAATAGAGAGAAAACAGACATCATAATGGGTTTTTTTACAGCATAATGGTCTTAAATACAAGTTTTAAAGTTTCAAAATGTAATACAATGGATGAAGGTACCAAGGTACAAGTTTACCATTTTAGAAGCAGCAATGACATAAGAAAACCTTTTCTCATCCTTAGAATAAGCCACATTGGATAGCACAAGGGCATGTGGAATCGTGATTATATATCTTGCTCTTTGCAACCCCATAAACTGTGTGCCCACAAAGTTCACCAAGCTTCCTTCTTTTAGTGATTTTCAGCATGTAATGGATAACCATAACTTAGCTGCTGAGAAACAATTGAGTTATGAAGAATTAATGAAGAAATATATCTAGTGCAAGGAAGAACTAAGGACTACAAGATTGAAACTCCATGAATCTAAACAAGAGATTGATGAGAAACTAAGTGTATATTAATTACATGTTTTTCTTAGCAAAAATAAATATATACATGTTAAATTAGTATTAGAGTAACGAATAAACATGACTAATTGTCAAGATTAATATCTTAGAAGAATAAAAATGACTAATTATCAAGAGTTCTGAAAAAAGCATTTAATAATAAAAAAACGAGATATAATAAAATTTATGTACATGAATTGAATGAACATAAGAAAACATAAACATAAGAACAAGTTCTGAAACAATCAAATAGAAAAAGTCTAAGCGTCCACTCCGGAAGTAGCGTTCGCCCTAGGAGTTTTTATCTCTGTCCCAATCCCCAAGGTAGTCGTTGTTGTCTCGCTCCGATTGAAGATGAATCTCCTCCACTAGTGCTTCTCCGTCCTCTCCTCCTTCTAACAAGCATGGTCGGCTTCTTTCGCATATCCATCCAAGACTGTCCTTAGAAAAAGAAGAAGGTAGAAACGATCTATGAGGCTCCGACATGAGAAATTTTGGTAATGAGGCAGTGAAGTAGAACCAAGATGAAAGGTTCTACAAAGGTGTTATGGCTTTTCTATCGTTGCATTGGTGTTGCGCGGTCTGCCCTTGTATGTGAAGGATGTTCTACAAAGGTTCAACAAATTGGTGCATTAATTGTCGATCTTGCTTTTGCAACCGAACTCAAGATTGCTTTCTCTGCCCTGGCAGCATCAAGCTCGATCAATATATCACATTTGGTGCTCTTTATTTTTTTTTTCTTTTTTTGAATGTAATGTTAAATTATATTCAAAGAAAAATCAACGTTTTTACAACTAGTGCAACGGTGTGCCGAAATAAAAAGCTAAGAATTTCCTGAATTTCGTAAGACGTCTTTCTACTTCTTGTTTCTAATGTTGTCAAGATTCTGAGGGATTCCGCGACGATATTGATTGCTTGAGTATTAGGATTGTTTCTACCTATCCTTTTATCTATTGTTTTGATGTGCTTTAATTTGCTTGGTGTTTGTAGCAGTATTATTGGTAACTTTGTTGGCTTTAATTTGGCTTTAATTTCATCTTTTGTAACCATTTCTTTTTTGGATGGAGAATAGTAATCTATAAACCTTGTTATCCAAAAAAAAAAGGAACAAGTTCTGAAATTAAAGGTTTTCCGATAATGTTAAATTTTCATCTGTTCTTTTTTAAACTTCGGAAAATTTGTAACTGTATGAATTTATAACAATTTAATTTTTATGTTTGGAGTTTTTATCCTTTCGTTTGTGTCAACAAAAGATTCCCCTCATTTTGGAGTAAAATTTCCGAGAGTTTAAAAGTTTCAACCTCACCAATGTTTTTCCCGGAAATTAAATTCACGCCGGCTTTTGTAATGCGTATAATTTAGTAAAAAATCCTTGACCCAAAAAATAAAAGAAAACAAGCATGAACTACGTATAATTTAGTAACGTAGCCATTATTTGTAGACGAATAGAAGCTCATATTTCTTCCCAAAAAACGTCATATTTCAACACAGAGTAAACAGAGTATTATATAAGATGTAATTACTTATGGTCTTATGGACAACATTGGACATGCAAACATTTTATTATTATTCGTTCCACACCAACTTCATTACGGAAACGGAGCAAATTTCTTCATCTCAGTTTCGTTTATATCAACCGCTAATCCTTTTCCGTGATGAACCCAATAATCAGCCATCGGATTTTTCCTCTCCGGTCCCATAATCCCAACTCGAGACGTCTTTAAAGATTCCGTCGAGATTCCATACTCATCGTCACGTTTCTTCAATAGCCCTGGCTTGATCTTCCCCATATTCACGTCTTGTGGTGACATCATCAGTGATGGTGCACCTAGTGGCAATTTATCCCCTGAAATTACCAAAACACACACTCAAATTTTCTTAAAAATTTATTTTGAAATTGTCGGAGAAAAAACAAATCCTACTATATATAGAAATGTCTCTATTTGTATTATAAATTTGGTAAAAAAATGTTCAATCAGATTTCTGTCAGATTATTTTTATATATCGTCAGGCCCGTCTCTACCCCTAGGCAAGGTAGGCAAATGCCAAGGGTCCAAAATTAGTTTCAAAAATTTTTTAAAAGAAAAAAGGCCCAATTTTTTTTTTTTAAAATTACTAAGAGGTTTTAATTTTTTTTTGGTTTTGCCATAGGTTTCATTATATATTGAGACGGTACTGTATACGTATAGAAGCTCATATTTCTTCCCAAAAAGTGTCGTATATTTCAAAACAAACAACATTACATTATATAAGATGATTATATTTACTTATGGTCTTACGGACAACATTGGACATACAAACATTTTATTATTATTCGTTGTTACACACCAACTTCATTACGGGAACGGAGCAAATTTCTTCATCTCAGTTTCGATTATATCAACCGCTAATCCTTTTCTGTGATGAACCCAATAATCAGCCATCGGATTTTTCCTCTCCGGTCCCATAATCCCAACTCGAGACGTCTTTAAAGATTCCGTCGAGATTCCATACTCATCGTCACGTTTCTTCAATAGCCCTGGCTTGATCTTCCCCATATTCACGTCTTGTGGTGACATCATCAGTGATGGTGCACCTAGTGGCAATTTATCCCCTGAAATTACCAAAACACACACTCAAATTTTCTTAAAAATTTATTTTGAAATTGTCGGAGAAAAAACAAATCCTACTATATATAGAAATGTCTCTATTTGTATTATAAATTTGGTAAAAAAATGTTCAATCAGATTTCTGTCAGATTATTTTTATATATCGTCAGGCCCGTCTCTACCCCTAGGCAAGGTAGGCAAATGCCAAGGGTCCAAAATTAGTTTCAAAAATTTTTTAAAAGAAAAAAGGCCCAATTTTTTTTTTTAAAATTACTAAGAGGTTTTAATTTTTTTTTTGGTTTTGCCATAGGTTTCATTATATATTGAGACGGTACTGTATATCGTAACCGATGTATATAGGTTTGGAAACTCTTCGGAGGCATCTTTATATGATCTGTGATGAAACTAATGAAAATGAGAATGAAAATGTTGGTCTAAATTAAATATTTGACCTTGAACCTTTTAATCTTTATCTTTTATAATTTTAGTTAACCTATTTTTTTAGTTAACCTATTTAATATTTATGTTTTGGACTTGTATTGTTTAATTAAACCATTTTTCTTTAATATAATATAGTTTTATGTTAATGTTATATATATACATATATATATGTGTATACGTTTCCAAAACGTTTCCAATCTCTAATTTTAGAAAAAAAATCGTTTCCCGTTTCCGAAACGTTTCGCTTCCACGTTTCCGTTTCCGTTTCCATGCAACATAGATAGTTCATAACTACAACATGTAGTTTTTCTATTAACAAGAAAGTCTAGGATCGTTTGACCCATAAATCATCTTGCCCTAGCAAAAACTCAAATCTAGGACGAAAAATTTAACACAACACAACACATTTTTAATAACCGCAAAAACTATATACATACTTTAAAATAATTTATGTACGTAGTTGTTAGTTTATATATAAACCTTTACAACTTATACTCGAATATCGGTTTATTGGTCTACAAAAAAGTTATATATTTGATTAGTTACAACATTACAATGTATAATATAAGTATACATTCTCCAAAATCTTTGAATAGTTTTTTTTTTTACTGTTAAGACTTTGAATAGTTTTATAATTTACCATTAATAAAAATGTATATAATAAGATAAAGATCTATAAATGATATTTTATCTATTTTGTGCAAATCTATATATACATTTTCTGTGCTTAATTTAGGAAATGAATCTCAAGATTAATATAGAATTCCCAACGGTAATAATACAACGTAAACTCCGTGTAGGTCCAAACTAAAAAAAAAAACACTGCTTCCGAATCAAGCTTGCTTCGGAATCCCGAACCTAAATAAAACACATGACCGTTACACCGAGCCTAATTTAAATACCACATCATCACTCTCCTCTCTCTCCCCAAAACTCTCGCAAACTCTCTCTTTCTCTCTGTTCTTCTTCTTCAATGGCGACGAAACTCATACTCAAGAAAACGACAAAATCCATCAACCGTCACCAACGTAACTACCTCCGCCGTCACCGGAAAACTCAGATCGGATGCTCACCGTCTCCGGTTACAACCACCGTCATCGCCACCATCAACAAATCGATCTACAGATGTCACCGAAGCTTTCTCTGTTTATTTTCTCTTCCTCGAACCAAAGGATTCAAAATCCTCAAACCTCGCGAAGATTTTCGAAATTCTCCGTATTCATTGTTTCACGAAAGATCTGGTGAATCATTCGACGAGACGAAGAAGACGATCGTGTTAGATCTAGACGAAACTCTTGTTCACTCATCAATGGAGAAACCACAAGTTCCTTACGATTTCGTTGTGAATCCCAAAATCGACGGTCAGATCTTAACGTTTTTCGTGATCAAACGGCCAGGAGTCGACGAGTTTTTGAAGAAGATCGGAGAAAAGTACCAGATCGTTGTTTTCACGGCGGGATTGAGAGAGTACGCGTCGTTAGTGCTCGATAAATTGGATCCAGAGCGGCGCGTGATCTCGCGAAGCTTTTACAGAGACGCGTGTAGCGAAATTGATGGGAGGTTAGTGAAGGATTTAGGGTTTGTGATGAGAGATTTGAGGCGCGTGGTGATTGTTGATGATAATCCGAACTCGTACGCGCTTCAACCGGAGAACGCGTTTCCGATTAAACCGTTTTCGGATGATTTGGGAGATGTTGAGTTGAAGAAAGTTGGTGAGTTTTTTGATGGTGATTGTGTCAAGTTTGAAGATATGAGAGTTGCTTTGAAGGAGTTTGTTGGAAGAGATTAATGATTTTTGGTTTAGTTTGTATTAAGAGGATTTGATTAAGAAGATAATGAACAATAGCTTTGTTTGTTCAATTAGTCTTTGTGTAAAACATCCTCATGAAAAGCAATTTGTTAATTTGTTTGATTAGTGTTTGTTTTCTTTGTGGCTTAATTAAAAGGGTTTTTAATGAAGATTTTGTATTTCAGTTAAGGCATAAGGGTTAAATATGGGCCTTTATTGGGCTTATTATTAAAAAATTCGTCCAACTCTGTACTTTATATCAAAAGTTAGAAAGAGATGTAACTAATAATAAGCCATTTAGATTTAAGAAACACTAGATTTTAACCCGCGGTACTATAAATTTTTTGAAAATTATCTATTGTTTTGTTTGATTTAAATGTACTTATTATGTATATTATCCCATATTAAACTCGCGGATCGATTTTTGATAACTAAAAATTGAAATTTTAAGTTGAATTTATTTTGTTAATATTATTTGTTTTGTTTAGCATTTATTGTATTTTGATAGTTAATTCTAAGATTTCACTCGTAGTACCACCTCGTATTAATATTGATTCAAACCCGTCCTACCATATAACCCTGTCCCGTGAAATTAAACATTATTTTGTTATTGTTTTTTTATAATATTTTAATTTAAAAGACATATATAATTTGAGTCAATTTAAAAGTTTGCTTTAAATGGCTCCCATAATATATATATTTTTAATTGTTATAGAGTTCAAATATCATTAATATTATAAACTTTTTATAAAATTTAAATATTATAAATACTTTAAACGTTTTATCATCTTAAAATATTTACAATGTTTAAACTTCTTATAAATTCTTATAAAGTTTAAATATTTATAATATTTGAAACTTCATAGTTAAAAGTTTTAATATCGACCCAAACGTCATAATTGTATTTTGATTGTTAATTCTAAAATTTCACTCGTAGTATATCGTCCCGTATTATTATCGACACAAACCCGTCACACCATATAATCCCGTCCCGTGAAATTAAACATCATGTTATTTTTTTTTTAATAATAATTTTATTTACAAGACATATAATTCCAGTCAATTTAAAAGTTTGCTTTTAAATGGTCTCTATAGTATATATATATTTATAATTTTTATAGAGTTCAAATGTTATTAATATATAAACTTTTATAGAATTGAAATATTATAGATACTTTAAAAGTTTTATAAATTTTAAATATTTATAATATTTAAACTTTTTAAATACTTTAAATATTTATAGTATATATATGTTTTTTTTCAAATATAAAAATATCGAGACAAATTTCCAACACAGATTAGTTTCTACAACCGTTGTAAAACATCATAAATGAGATTCGCAAAAAAAAAAAGTCATAGAGTTGCAAAGAGAAACGAAGTACCAAAGACTTGTAGCAAAAAAAGTAAGAAGAAGATTGGATGGTGTGAGATAGGGATGGTCCTACCAAAGACTTGTACCCTCATGAGTTTGACGTGCTCAACAAGTAGTCCCCCACTGTCAAATGAAGATGGTCTCCAAGGACCACACTCACCACTGGCAGCTTCTCAATGCAACTTACAGTTATTATCTGCTCATACAAGAAAAGAAGAAAGGATTGATTTAGGCACAACAACAATCTTTAGGTTCATCAAAAGCTTAACTAAATCCATACCTTCCCATTTCCTTTTTGGAATTCTGATTTTAAATTCGATTGGTCCCGTGATAACAAGTACGCTTGGAGCCCCCTTGCAAATTTCTCATCTCCTAAAACCCATATATTTGCATTCGTCAAAACAGAGGTAGATAATCAACAATTGTTATTGTGATAAGATGGTGACTCACCTGAAAACAAGGCAAGAATAGCATCTTCGTTGAACTTCAAAGCCGGCCGAGCCAAGCTAATCTTAAACGACAGCTTTGATACGTTTTGGAAACTCTCGTCAGATAGTATCACCTGCAAAAGATCATTCATTACGTTTATGACTTATTAGCGCAGGCATGCAAGGAGTGTTGATGATGATGACTTACTGCATGAGATGGCATCAACGTAGACGGAAGCAAAGATGAACCAATTGTATCCTTAATGTATTGTTCCTGCCCACGAAAAGATGAACGATATGATATTCTCTTATTATAGCAATGGACTTGACAAGTTGAAAACTGAAAAGAACAAACGCAAAATTACCTGAGAGCACAGAACTTGTTGCAAAGCAGATTCATCCTTGTCCAATGATTCAATGTACACTTCCACAACGTCTGTTGGTTCCAAACCTGACTTCTTCCGTAGTTTTTGGATCCTATTGACAATCTATATAGCACAGGGAAACAACAGCTCAGCACTCTGGAAGAAAATTGATAAGATACAGAAAAAGGGAAGGGAACACATCCCATCGATTAATATAACGACATTCTTAACAAAATGTATCTTGCTTCACATCTATTTACCTCACGAGCAACACCTGCTTCATACAACGAATCATCTGGCTGTAGATTCAGAATCACCAAAACATCACCTGAATCATTAACGAAAGCAAATGTTACATGTTATATCATTAACAGTAGACCGAGCACCCGTAATCAGATTAAAGATTTTAATTTTAAAAAAGTGACAATAGACAAGGGTAAAATCCCGTACCATCTCCATTAGCATCAATCTCCGTATCTTTCAAACCATCCGGGCGTTTGAAAACCCTGACAATCTGAACAACACATGAAAGAAAAGTGTCGGCATTTAGCTATTTAGAGCATATTCTTCATTCCATCCCCACAAGAGAAAAGCATAGGATGAGAAAGATACCTTGATATCTGTTAGCTCCAGCGTGTGTCCAGCAATAGTAACTTTTCCGGTCTCCTCAAATCTTAAGATATCTTGCTGAGACATTTCTTTAACTTCTTTTGCAACAAGCCTCATTGACTTTCCAAGACGTTTTCCCAATACACTATAGAGCAATATGAATAAATCAAAATTGCTTTCTACATTGAGCACAAAAGGTTAAAAAGCAAAAAAAGCAGGACGAAAAATTTGATCAAACCTGAAATCTGGTTCTGCTTTTAGAGACGCATACTTGAGAGTATCATTGCATGGCACAAGAGATCTTACATTAAGTTCTTCCAAGACATACTGCAAGAAGGAAAATCAAAATGGAATGTATTGCTTTTTGAAACAAAATAACCGTAGAGATATGTTTTTGCTGATTACAAACTCAAAAATTTCTAGTAGATATTTCTATATAAATAAACTTCAAGAAAGATACCACAGACCTCTTTTAGTTTTCCAGTTATGTCATCCAAGAATTCTGCATCTGGATGAACTACAGTGATTTCCCTGATACAACAAGGATAAGCATGTGTTACTATTTATTTCTGTTCAGTATAGGCCCTAACCAAACAGATGTTACAAACCAGAACAGTGATAAAGTTCAACGCTCACTTTAGAGGAGTTTTCAAGGGTAGCTTGTGACGCTCACGAATGTTCCGAGCAAGATCGATGATTGTCATCATCCTTGTAACACTTTGCTCAATCCTCTCCACTCTCTGGTTAAATACAAAAAGAAAGCAAAATGTCAAGACAATTCGTATGCTATCCTTGAATACAGAGATGGACTTCAGTATTACCGTTCCTTCAGCTTCCTCCGGAAAACTGCAGTAATGAATGCTTTCCTCTGAACCTTCACATGCTTTCCGCAGATTCTGGTATAGCGTCTCAGTGAAAAAAGGTGTAAAAGGGGTCATCACTTTGCAAGAAGTGAGGAGCACCTGAAAATCCAGACACAATTATTAGTCAGTCATTACACAAATGTCCAAATAATAGGTCAGCATGAAAACAATAGTATTCCCACAACTATTTACAATATATATACATTGTATAGAGTTGAAAGAGCAATGTGACAATCATCTTCTCCTGTACGGCCTTTTAACCTCTTGCGGTTGAATCTAACATATATGTTAGTGAGATTGTCGAGGAACTTCAAAAGATACGGAACAACCTGGAAAAAGAAAGTTGTGATAAATACCACGAGACACTGATAACTTGTTTTCTAGTATAGACACCACATCACGGTGAAAAAGAGATATAAATAGCTTACAGTATAAAGCCGGTAACCATCCATCTCCTGACGGACAAAACAAACAAGACTCTGGGTAGCTGAGTAAATCCACTGATCGAGAACGTTTGATGACCGTAAAGTAGCTAGATCAGTAGGAACAAATGGTCCAGAAACCTCAATCTCAAGTCTCTTTGCATTCTGAACAAGGAATCTGTATGCATTGTACCATGGAAGAAATACATCTTTGACCTAGTGACCCCCCATACAGAGACCAAAACAGTTCAGACAAACAATAGATCTCTACTCAAATAAGCAGAAATAAAGTTAACAACCCAGATTACTCACAACACCAAGTACTCCTTCCTTTCTGAAGCGTAGTGGCTCGGCGCGTACGATCGGAGAATTGATGAGGTACAATCGCACAGCATCCTGTCAGCGTTTACGTAAAGTTACTAATTAATGACACCAAGATTTCCATAGCTAAAAACGCAGCATAACAGCATATTACAGGGAAAACTTACAGCTCCGTACTCATCTATGACTTCCAGAGGAGGCGGATAATTATCTAAACTCTTACTCATCTTTTTTCCATCCTCAGCAAGCACAAGACCATTGCAAATCAGATTTCGAAATGCTGGCTTTCCAAATAATGCAGTCGACAGCACCATAAGAGTATAAAACCTGTATATGCCAAACCAGTAGTTAAGATGTTATTAATTGTCTACTAAGCAGAAAAACAATATTGTTTTTTCAATACACTTCTAAAATCACATTTGCTTTATACTAATAACACCTTCCATTAGCCTCGACTCATTACTTAATTTAAGTACAGTAATTGAGGATAGTTAAGATCTAGATCATCCAATACAGTAAAAGGAGGGAGCAAGCCCAGAGATATAATAAGAGATGATTTTACATATGCAGGTTTAACATACCATCCACGAGTTTGATCAAGCCCTTCAGCCACAAAATGACCAGGGAAGTTACTCTCAAAAAGCTCCTTGTTTTCAAAAGGATAATGGATGTACGCATAAGGCATTGACCCACTCTCAAACCAACAATCAAAAACCTGAAAAGGTAATATAAGCACAAGTGTGAGATAACACTACAGAACACCAAGGATTATAGATGAAATGAGAGAGCATGAGATCCATCTTACGTCTTCTACACGACGGAGCACACCAAACTCAGGCCCACGACTAGATGGGATTGTAATTTGATCAATATGGTGACGATGTAGATCAAAGACCTGCACCAGAAAGACAAAATGAGCGCAAGGAATATATATATATATATATATATTTTGACAAGTAGTTGCAGGAGAAAGATAGACAAACAACAAAAGAAGAGACCTTGACACCAGAGAGCTTTTCAAGCTTCTCGACAGAATCCATGACAACAACTTCCTCACCATCATCACTGATCCATATTGGTAGAGGCGTGCCCCAAAATCTACTTCGGCTAATGCACCAATCCCTTGCATTTTCAAGCCAATTGTGAAAGCGTTTATCCTGAGTTGCAGGTATTAGAATAACTTTATTAATGTCATTAACTAAAACTGCTAAACTTGTAATGTTAAAGAGTATTAATCCTTCTTCCACTGACCTTCACATGATCAGGTACCCAGTATGTCTGTTCATTGTTTTCTAACAACTGTTCCTTCAACTGGTCCTCCACCCGGACAAACCTGACAGTTCAAAGAACACAAGAATCAAACAACAAGCTTCATAGAATCAAACAACGATACAGATCTGATGTTCACTACTTACTGAAAAGAAATACAATATGAAAATGAAAACGTGGAAATCAAGATATCCCAAATAGTTTGGCGATTTGACTGCCAAAAAATACAGAATAGCAGAAAGAAAGAGACTGCCAGCAAGAAGCATACCAACAGGGAAGGGCTCTATATATGAGAGGAGTGTCTGATCGATAGCAAAACGGATATGAGTGAGTAAAGCTCCCAGTTTTGACAAGTCTGCCTTTGGTCTGAGATAACAAGAAATATTATTTAACAATCAGAAGCGGCTAATTCAATGGTCCAAATGCACATCAATACGCACCTTCACGGCTTCAATTATATCCTTGTCGGCATCTTTGACATATCGGCCAAAGAAATGGGTAATTCTCTCAGTAAAAAGCCCATCCTCATCAACAGCCACAACTAGATTTTCACCCTGAAAGAGAATACAAAAAGCATATAGAACGTTTAACATAAGGAGATAAAAGGATATCATTAGAGTGAGAGAGAAAATACAATGAAAGATCTCTTCCTAAACAAATAAATGATACAGTGTAATCCCTTAAACCCCAAAGAAATCCTTAACAGTTACCCAACCAAAATCAAAGATCAAAGATCAACTACTTTTCTATAGTCATGCCCTGACGTTTAGGGATTGATAAGGAGAATGAAGTCAAAAGCTAACCTGTTCAACGATCTTGTTCTCAAGACAAACACGGTAATCGTCTTCACCAAAGGCAGGAGCACAGTGGACGATGCCAGTACCACTGTCATCAGTGACATAATCATCTGCTACTACTCGAAAGGCCACACATGAGAAATCACTAAAGTAGTCAAACAAAGGTTCATACTTCTTCCCAACCAGGGAAGCTCCATCAAATTTCTCCAAAACTTGATAAGAATCAGCTGCACTATCACCACCTTTGGGTTTAGGATTTGATTTCTTGGTATCAGCGGGAAGGGCTGAGAGGCGAGATTCAGCAAGCACGTAGACTCTCCCATTGTGCTTGTTACGAACCTTGAGATAAACAAAATTGGGATTGACACACAAAGCAAGATTGCTAGGAAGAGTCCATGGAGTAGTAGTCCAAGCCACAAAAGCAGCATTATCTTGATCGCCAATAACTGGGAACGTCACCATAATCTCAGGATCTGAAACGTCCTTGTAGTTCAAACCAGCTTCTGAATTAGATAATTGTGTCTTGAGACCAGTACTATAAGGCATAACCTGCACATAACGAAATTGAATCGGTTCAGCAGATTTCAATCAAAGCACATATTGTATTTGAAGCCTTTGTAGACAAGATTCTTATCAAAAAGCCAAACCTTGAAGCCTTTGTAGACAAGATTCTTATCAAAAAGCTGAGCAAAAACCCACCAAACACTTTCCATAAAAGGCAGATCCATCGTCTTATAGTCGTTCTTGAAATCAATCCAACGACCACTTCTAGTAATCACCTTCTCCCACTCCTCCACATACCGAGTCACAACACTCCTACACTCTTCGTTATACTTATCAATCCCCATCTGAAGCACTTGTGCTCTCCTCTCAATACCGAGCTTCTTTTCAATCAGTTGCTCAACCGGGAGGCCGTGACAGTCCCACCCGAAGCGACGCGTGACGTGGTGACCAGTCATGGTCTGGTAGCGAGTGACGATGTCCTTGATGGTGCCGGCGAGGATGTGGCCGTAGTGAGGAAGACCGGTGGCGAAAGGAGGCCCGTCGTAGAAAATGTATTCGGGGAGATGCTCTGTTCGTTTGAGCTGCGTCTTGAAGGCATCGATTTGATTCCAGAATGAGAGGACTTTCTCTTCCTCCCGAGGAAAAGAGAACTCCTTCCCTTCTCCCACTACTTCCATGGGAGAAAACTCAGGAATCTGGACACCAAGCTTCTTCCACTTCTAGAGACCAAAGAGAACCAAATCTGAGCAGTAACAAAAAGGGTGAGAAAGAGAAACAATTTGGTTACTTCCTCCACTTTATGGAGCAAACAACTCTTACCTCTCAAACAATGGCCGCAGCTAATTCAATCTGTAACACCTTAACCCACGCACGAGAGATAGAAGAAGAGATCAAAGAGGAGTGGAGTAGAGTGAGAAGGTCAAAGAGGAGTGGATTCCGGCGAGAGATCCGGCGACGAAGAGATCCGGCGACGAAGAGATCTCGTTTCTCTCTGTGCCGAAGAATGTCTCTCTGTGTCGAGGAATGAAGGAGAAGAAGGTTTAGGTTTTTGGTGTAATTCTCTAAATTAGGTAAGGGTATTTAGGTCATTTTATATTTTGGACTGAATCAGCTCCAGTTAACTGCTCCAATCAGACTCAGCTGGATTATGATCATTTTTTGGATGAATTTGATTAAAATCATTCAACTGGTTGATCTCATGTAAAATTGTTGTAAACAAACATCATTATTCATCTCCATTCAGATGGATCATCTGAATGGAGAAACGAACAGCACCTAATAATATTTAAAATTCTTATAAAGTTAAAATATTCATAATATTTGAAACCTTATGAAATAATAATAATCTAAAATAACATATTATTCCATAGACATAAATAATATTTATATATTTGGTAATAATATTTTTTTGGAGTTAATCTAATTTATAACTAAACAAATTATTTATAGCCAAAATGAGTTTATCAAATAACGAATAGTAACCATAATTTAATTAATGTACATTAAAATAAATATATTTTAAAAAATGAATTACTTAAAAAAATTGATTTTGTCAAAATTAATTAATATCTTTAAGATATTATGGAAAGGATTAGTTATGGTTAAGATATTATGTTAAGATTTTTTTGGTAATTAATATCTTTGATTTAAACTTTTGAAATTAAATAATTAATGCCAGTGGCATTGCTTCGTAAATACTTTCAAACTCCAGGATTTATTTTATAAATGTACTCCGAAAATGTATAAATAGATTAGTCTTAAATAACTACAAAGTAAATTAATAAATCAATCAACAAATTTTTTTTATAAAAATTAGTTCTTTTTGGTATCTATCATGATTTGAGAACAAATATGTTTGTTTTTAATCCACATTTAAAGTTTGACTTTTTCTTTTTTGGGCTTTTGGGACATATTGTTAGAGATATTTAAGATATGTATTTTGTAAAATCTTAACATATGTTGAAAGCTAAATTATACAATATTACTGTGTCAAACAAATGAACAATTATGAGACTATACATATCCAATAATTGTTTTTATAATAATCATATATAAATAGAGGTTGATGAGCAAGCGACTAAGTTGCAAACTCATTCGTTTGGATCATCTATCTCCAACTTCCAAACTTTTTCAATTTTTGTCATAGTTTTCTAGTGTTTGGAAAAAATGGTTTTACTTTTTGTAAGAAGCTTGTACAACAAAACATAAATATAATTATAGATATTCGACGAAGTTAGTTATTGCCTATATGATAAACTTATTAAAGACTTGATTGAATTTTATTGTTTACAGAAGGAGGAACTTCAATTTAAGGTTGGATCTATTGGCCAAGGGACTAGACTTGACGCACTACAATGTATCGCTAATTGTAAAGGTACACCAAACCGAATGGTTATAATGAGCTAAATGAAATCATTCTTGAGAGATAGAGGGGTTATAATATGGATCTAGATCATTTTATTTTAGGCTTAATCCTTTAATAATTTAGTTATTTACTTATTTTGGTAAATAACAAGAATCATAAAAAATTATTTACTGAATTGACAAATAAATTGTTGTTAGTAAATGACAAAATAAAAGGCATTGAAAAAACTTGGACATGAAATTTGGCGTGTGACTTCCACAACATAAATTTCATAATATATTTTGTAGATGGATACAAAAATAAGTAATACGTTAAGTGGTAAATGTAGAGTCATGAGGTAATACTGTAGATTGGAAGTTTATACGTTGTAATTTTATAAAATTTCACTAAATCTTTTGGCATAAACTGCAAGACTCTCTCTAAAAGTTTTAAACAATGTGTACAATTTTTTTTTTGTTTGTTAGGTGTTGCTTTTGTTGATTTTGATGAGGAAGACACCACAATAATTGTGAAGGGAGAAAAACTCGATGAACGTAAAATTAAGAAAAAATTAGATAAATTTCTGAATCAATCAACGGCAAGAGGAGGTTTTTTCTCTTGTTTTAGTTGCTAATAATTTTTAGAGAGGGAATTAAGAAAAAAGTCAAAAAGAAGTTTTTTTTTTCGGTCAACAAAAATGCAGATTCTCATTTGTATTTTTATCCCTATTATAACTCAACATCATATATTCTTAATTTGAACAATAATCAAAAGTCAAAAAGATAAACAACATTATTATGTTTATATTTTTTTGGTCAAAATAATATGTTTTCAACTTTTCATAATATCTTTTTTTTGGTAAATTAAAAAGAAAAGAAAAGAGAGAGTTGATAATAATAAACCACCAAACCCGTCATTTGACACAACACAGTTGTTGTTGTTGTTGCCATTCATACGCGCTTCCATCAACCCTTTGGTCTTGGAAGCCAAACCAAACCTTTCAATCCTCAAAATTCGAAACTTTTCGTTTGCTTTACGTTCTCTCAATTCATATTTATAAGAAAGTCTGTTCCTTTAATCAATCAAATCAAGAGACTTTGAAGATTGTTTCCCAATTTGCATCAATCGGGATCAAGTCAAATCTTCTTCCACTCATCATCTGGTACGTTTGTGACAATCCCAAATCAGAAACATGAGAGGACAAGAAATGTTCGAATTGTTGATTTGATTCTGTCTGATTATAAATCATTTGATTGGAGAAGCAAAAGGGTTTGGTTCGGTCATTCTCTCGTGTTGCCTTCTATTGGATTCGGATAGATTTGGGGATAAATTAAGGGTTTTGGCTTAAGGGTTCTTTGTAGATTCATTAGAAATGTTACAAAGGTGGAAACTTTTTTAGTTTCTCACATTCAATAAATTTCGAAGCTTGTGAGGGAAAGTCTTGGTTTTTATTGTCATTTAGTACTTAGATTGATTCAAACATTTGACAGTTGTGTTTTTGTGGGATCTTAAACTGGAATTGTTGCAATTAAAAGTTTATGCTTTCAATGATTTAATCTATGGTTATCTAATTTCTGATCAATGAGTCTCTCTAGTTGAGTTTGATTCACAACCTTTTGTTCTATCCAACAGACAATAGATTGAATCAAGGGAATTGAGAGTTGTGGGTTTGTTCGGGTTCTTGGATTTGAAGTGGTTAAGGGATGGATGAAAATAATGGAGGTTCAAGCTCACTTCCACCTTTCCTTACTAAAACATATGAAATGGTAGATGATTCGTCTTCTGATTCGGTCGTTTCTTGGAGCGATAACAACAAAAGTTTTATCGTCAAGAACCCAGCGGAGTTTTCAAGAGACCTTCTTCCGAAGTTCTTTAAGCATAAGAATTTCTCAAGTTTCATCCGTCAGCTTAATACATATGTAAAGTTTTTGGCTTTGTGTTCGTCTCTTTGGAGATAGGTATTTGCTGTATTGCTATGATTAACAACCTTTTTGCGTTTTTGTTTTCCTAGGGTTTTCGAAAAGTCGATCCTGAGAAATGGGAATTCTTGAATGATGATTTTGTTAGAGGTCGACCTTACCTTATGAAGAACATTCATAGACGAAAACCGGTTCATAGCCACTCGTTACAGAATCTACAAGCGCAAAATCCTTTGACGGAATCAGAAAGACGAAGCATGGAAGATCAGATCGAAAGACTGAAAAAAGAGAAAGATGGCCTTCTTACTGAGTTACAGAACCAAGAGCAAGAGCGGAAAGATTTCGAGCTTCAAGTAACGACATTGAAAGATCGGTTACAACATATGGAGCAACATCAGAAATCAATAGTGGCATATGTTTCACAGGTTTTGGAAAAACCAGGACTTTCTCTAAACCTCGAAAACCATGAGAGAAGAAAAAGAAGATTTCAAGAGAATTCTCTTCCTCCAAGCAGTTCACACATAGAACAGGTCGAAAAGTTAGAATCTTCTCTAACTTTTTGGGAGAATCTTGTATCGGAATCATGCGAAAAGAGCGGTCTGCAGTCACCAAGCATGGATCTTGATGCAGCTGAGTCAAGTCTAAGTATTGGCGATACCCGACCCAAATCATCAAAGATAGATATGAACTCAGAGCCACCCGTTACCGTTACCGCACCTGCTCCAAAAACAGGGGTTAACGACGACTTTTGGGAACAATGTTTGACAGAAAACCCGGGATCAACAGAGCAACAAGAAGTTCAGTCAGAGAGAAGAGATGTCGATAACGATAAGGGAAATCAAAGGACGTTTTGGTGGAATTCAGGGAATGTAAATAACAACATTACAGAGAAAGCTTCTTGATATGAATGAGGTTTTTGTAAAATAGATTTTTCTTTTGTTGCTTCCTCTGAGATTATTGTATTCGTGTTCATTATTTATTACTCTGTTTCTCTACAGAGCTGAGGAAAAGAAGAAACTAATAGAATTCCAAAAAAAATGAAAAAAGCTCCGATGCCGGGAATCGAACCCGGGTCTCCTGGGTGAAAGCCAGATATCCTAACCGCTGGACGACATCGGATTTGATGTACAGAATACTTATATTTAATATATATTCCAGTTTTTACTTTCTACACATCAATGATTATTTTTGAGTTTTCACCACTCTTTGATAAAAAACGATGCAAATTAAGATTTTGTTATTGTACCACTTGATCATTACCTAGAAAGAATATAATGCGGATTAACGAAATCTTGTTGAAAAAAAAAAGATTATATAAGCTACAAAGATTACATAAAAAATCTGCGTAAAGAAGAGAAGAGAAGAAAATAAAACTATCTAGGAGAAGATCTGGTTGATAGACATTTCCCACAAGAGACAAACTTCAACAACGTATGTAATCGTATCCTTCTTGTTCTCACCTTCAATCTCCATAGCTACATTTCAAAGGTTTCAATTTTTCAATCAGAAATAAAACAAATAGAGTCATATGTATAAAGATTAGAGAGAAATTGAATGTTTACCTTGCGACGAGTGCTTCTTGATGGTTTCCAACATATCAAGCTTCTTGATCTTGGTTCAAGTTTCCTGCAAAACATTAACGAATTATCAAACAAACATGTTTTAAAACAAATTAAAGGAACAAGGTTTTGGTTAATATTCTTACAAATTCTTTTGTTCAAGCTTATTTGCAATCTCCACAGCTTTGTGTTTCGACCAACTGTTTCCTTCGGCTTGTTTAATCACTTGAGCCAAGGAAACTTTTCCTCTCACAATGCTTTGGTTCTGATTCTGGTTTTGACTTGCTTCCAAGTGTTTCCTTCTAGTTCGAGTCATTGGAGATTCAGATTCCGCCACTTCAATGATTTCACTTCTTCCGCTTTCGCGGAATCTCTCACCATTGCTTAAACCTCGTAATGGCGATAAACCGTAGTTTTTCGGGTCTTTCTTTGACTCGGTTCTCATCTCTAACGTGACTGGAGATCCAAGAACCGCCTCAAACGCTTTCAAAATGTTGTCTTTGAAATTCTCAGCTGTTGATTTTGCTATTGGCGAATTGAATATTAACTGCACCGTAGGAGCTGCCAAAACCAAGAAGTTAGAATCATCAAACATAAACGGTTTAGAAAAGGCTTTTTCAATATGATCAGTGTCTGTATATGCATTTACCTGAGCCGATACTAATCGAAAAGATCCTCCCTTCTTTATAAAGTAACTCTTTTAAACCGTTAACTCGAACTTTCTCAATAACCGCTAACCAAATATCTTCAACCGAAGGTCGGTTTTTGCAACTGAAACCTTGCTTACTACCATCTCTTCTTGTTCCGGCTACAGCGTTATTTGAATGATCCGAATCCATTATTGGAGTATGGTTAATGCTAGCGTCAGCGGAAGAACTATGCGGAAGCAAGTACTGTTTATCAGGAGCTAGCTGGAGCAGTGCAGCAGTGAGCCAAGTTAGTTTATCGTTCGATACTCTCAACTGTTTTTCTGATTCAGATAGTGTTTTTAAAGCTTGCTTCAGCTTCTCCATATCTTCTTTAGACACTGCAACAACGAAAAAAAATCGATTATTATAGTTACAAATACTTCTCATTTAGGATGACGGAAATGTTTGAAACTCACGTGGTTGTCGCCGGAAAAACTTTCTTTTACACTGATCTTTAGTGAAGTCATAGCTTCCCGCGAGGATATCGGTTATGACTGTTGCGAGCTGTGACATCAAAGCTAATGGTTCTAGGCCGGTTTCCATTATTATTCTTAGGTTCTTTACGGTGTTTACAGTATCCGCGGATAAGGCTAGATCAAGAAGATCAACTAATTTCTCATCAGATATTAACCCAACCTGAAAGAAAACAAGAACATAATGAGAAAAATGTCATTGAAAGATATAGAAAGAGTTTTGATCTTTAGAAAAAGTGTTGATCTTTACCATTTCTTGAACTAAAGGAACAGATACTCTTGTGCCAAGCAAACTCAGCTGTTCTAGAGTCATTTCTGCGTCTCTCAAGGAACCATCTGATCTCGAAGCAACAAGCTTTAATGCATCTTTATCGATATCAATCTCTTCTTTTGATGCAATAAGTTGCAAAGAATCGATGATATCTGCGTCTTTGAGCTTAGGGAAAAAGAATTTCTGACACCTCGAAACGATAATGTGAGGTAAAACATCAAGACTCGAACATACAAGAATGAAAACCACACGACGAGGTGCTCGATCCACTATTTTCGAAAGCGCATTCCAACAATCTGTTGACATAGTATCGCAATCATCGAATATTAACACAAGCTGCTGCCTTTGCTGCTGACGAATATTCATTTTATCGAGCAAGTTCTCGAAGTCAAAACTTTTTATAGGACCCATTTCCCGAATGTACCGGTTCTTACCATCATCATAAGAAACACACGAACTGCATACGCCACAAGGCTTTGATTGTTCTGTAGAATGACAGTTCAAAGCTCTAGCAAATATCCGAGCACAAGATGTTTTTCCGGTTCCATTTGGACCGTGGAATACGTAAAGAAGTCCAACTCTTCGTTTAGCAACAGCGTTAGAAAGAGCTTGCACCACCAGACTCTGTCCTAAAAGATCCCGGAATGTTCTTGGAGCGTACTTCTGCGTAAAACTTTGATGCCACCGAGCATTTTTGCGACTGCTCTTCTTACCAAAGCCTGAATCTTTTCCATTCTTGAGCAAATTGTCGGCGAAGATACCCAATTCACCCGAGTAATCATGCACCCATTCTTCATTCTCTGCGCTATCGACTAAAAGAGGTAACGCCTCGCGATCAGAGGAGCTTGAATCAGACAACATCGGCATACCAGCTTCGCCTTTCCTTCCCTTTGAATCAGATATTCCACAAGATAAACTCCTACCAGCTATATCAAGAAAAGTTTTACCTCTATGATGAATTCTTGACCAATTAAACGGTATTCCACAACCGTTTCTCGGAACAGCTCCACTAATGTTCTGTTCTCTATCTCTCCCTCCTCCTTCTTCACCCTCATACTTCTCACCACGAGGCACCGAGTTAGAAGCAATAGACATCTCACTCTCATTACCAGCATTATCTCTAACATTAACCGCCCGTCCCGCTCTCCTCGCCCCTCTAAACTTCCGTCTTTTTCGCCCATTACTGCGCGGTCCAACATTACAAGACACTAAATCATCACTATCACCTCCAACCTCATTTAACTGATCAGACAAAGTCTTGAAAATACCTTCATTAGCCTTATTAACCCTATCTTTCGATACCGATTTCACCGAAGCAACACTATAAACCTCATTCACATCTTCTACTCTATAACTATTCCTACTCGACCTATCAAACTTTTCATCAGAAGGAGTTACTTTAGATGTCCCAAAACTCACAATTGGAGAAGAACCAGACAACCTAAGACCAGATCTTCTTCTTCCCTCACGTGAATCCTTATGATCTTCTCTCAACTTCGGGCTCGCTGATGGGTCACGAAGTGATCTTGATCTCTGGAGAACGACAAGATCTCTCATAAGAAGAGACCGGTCGGTTAAAACCGGACTCTGTTTATTGTTGTGCATATGATTCTTCAAGTGAATACAGTTGGTTAAATGAATATGGTTACGAAGATGCTCACCGATATCTCCATTAGAATCTTTCAGAATCCGAGAAGAAGAAACCCTACTCATGAATATGATCACAAATGCTCTGTTTTCTTCGATAGGATCTTGTCTAAGTAACTATAGAAGAACCAAATCAAGCTGTATCTCATTTTCTTTTGAGAAATCTATGAAGTTTCCAAATTTGAAAACGATTTCACTGAATTTGGTAATAAGCCCTAATTTCCTCAAGATTCACTGAACTTGCCAATCATAAAACTCCCCAAAATCAACCAAAAATCCGAAATTTAAGGACCCATTTTTGAGCTATGTGCTTCTTCTAGTACACGAAACCATTTGAAATAAACCCAGAATGCTAAAATCTCAAAAAGCTCTGTTTCTTTTTAGAAAAGATTCAAACTTTACTATTTGAGACCAGCAAACACAAAGAAAAAAAAAACTGAAGGGTCCGTTTCAAAGAGTGCAAGTAGAGGAATAAAAGGAGAAACCGTTCTTGAAAGCAGTCACAGATGTCTCTCCTCTTTTCTTTCTTTCTTTACCAAACATTCACATGTAGAACCTGAGACGTTTCTCTGGAGAAAGTGATGGTTTTTGGCAGGAAAAAGCAAGAAAAAAAAAACAGTTTTCGAGTGTAGAGTGAGAGACAGAAAGAGAGAGAAAGAGTGGGAATCTTGAGAGAGAGGTTTTGATGGGTTTTTGTATTTTGAGATCTGTTTACGGACACGAACACAGAGGCAATGGAGAAGAAGCAGAGCACATTGCCAATAAAGCGGTTTGTCCGTTTCCGGGAAGTGAAAAAGATATTAAAATTATATATTTTAAAAATAAATTGTTGGGAAAATATATTAAAAAAAATTATTTGGTTGGGTTTTGAAAAAAAAATGAGACCAAAGAGTTTGTACCTTTGAATTTAGCTGTTTCATTGTTTGTAATTATTGTAGTTAAGTGATGATGTGATGGGTGATGTTGTACACAACTACACATGTACCTCAACAATACAAAAACAGAAAAAATTTACACTATACAATTTGTATGTTCTTTCTTTCTTTTTTTTTTTGGCAAACTGCAATTTGTATGTTCATTATGCATATTTAGATGGTAAGAGAAGAAAGGAAGAATTTTTTTTTTTATATATAATACTTTTTGTTTCTATAATTTTAGATTATTTATTAAAATTTTAGTGAATGCCTAATCTAAATTTTCAGTTTATTTTTTCAAAAAATTTATATACCTAAATACTTCTTATATTTTTTTTTTCGTCCCCTAAGTACTTCTTATATTCAATACCAACAATAATTTAATTAAATAATTATTTTTTTGGTTGACTCGACATTACCGTTATCGGGAGAAGTATGGGGTATTAGAGACCCTTAGTCTTGATTCTTTCTTGCGAAATTGGAGTCTAGATTTACTTGGTTTGTGAGGTAGAATTGATTCGTTATAAGAGGTTTTGCTAGATGGGTAAAGTGTTTGGCTTTGACAATTGTGGTTTAAGGGAGTTTGACTGGCAAGGTTAGATCTTTAATTGAAGTTATTAGTTGTAGCTTTGATTTATTCTTTTAACTTCTTTCTTTTCTCTTCCACCAACTTAGTTTTTGGAAGGATTTGACCTTTGGCAGTTTCATGTATCAAAACCGTATTCCACTCTTATAATTTTCAATCGAATTATAATAAAATTCTCTTTAAGTGGAAAATATAAAGAATCATCATTTCTATTGTTCTTATAGCATGGGATTCTTACGTCGCGTTTAGTTTTGTTAGTCTTATAATATGATTGATTGGTTACTGACAAACTTAGTCGAATCTTTTGTACTCGGCAGAAGTTGCAAAATAAAAATGTTACTGATCATGTTAGCCTTTGACCAACAAACAATAAGAAGCTACTCAATTTATGTAATCTTTTTTTTTTTTTCTGTAGGGTTCTTATTACCAAAAAAAAGAAAAATGACAAGCTTCAAACTTAGTAATGTTAGGCTCACCAAATGATTGAGTGGGCAGTGTATGAATCACAGCTGAATATCATTTGTTCAATTGTTTAAAATATTTCATCAAACGAATGATTTATATCTCACAAGCTATGCTCAAAATTAAATGGTGGAAACAAGAAAATTTCAAAAAATAATTGAAAAAAAATAATAATAATCAAATTTGTAAGAAACAAGAAATCCGACTAGTTTCAAATTTGTTAGAAACAAGAAACATTAAGAAAGTAACAGAATATAAAAATATAAAACTCAGGACGATAATAATGATGGTACGATGGTCAATGACATTGTCACGTGATCACATTTAGTGATGATTAGCTTATTCAATTTGCGTGGTTTGTTAATTCTTTCTATAATGAAAATAACTTATTTATCTTATTGAAACTCATTATGCCTCGTTGAGATCTTTTTAAATCACTGTTATCTCTTTTTCTAATAAGGACAATTATCGTCTTTTTTGGGACCCAAAGATATTAACAAATGTAGTTAAACCAGTTTCTTAATATAAGCAAATACAAAATTATCAATAACTCTAAAACCCCAGCCTTTTAACGAAAGAAAAAAAAAACTCTAAACCCCTAAAAATAACTAATCAGGTAAATAATCCAATCGTTTCGTTCAAACGGTCAAAGTTTTTTATTTACCAAACTATATTAGTTTATATCTAGACTCATAATATCCAATTATTACCAATCGACCTAAGAAAAACTAGAAATACTTTGGAATATACTCAATTCACCATCAATTGTTATGACTTATAAATTAAACTATTGTTAATTCTGTACACACTGACAATGACATACATTGATTACTTACTAATTATATATCCAAGAAATAATAATTACTAAGTAATCAATACTCCCTCCGTCCCACAAAGATGAATTTTTTAGAAAAAAAAATTGTCCCACAAAGATAGAAGTTTTGTGTTTCCAATATCAAATTTAAAACAGTTTGCCTATTTTACCCTTATTTAACAACAATAAATAATATACTCTTTAAAATGTGTTAAAAGTGAAAAGGTTAAAATTGTCATTATACATTATTTCTTAAAGAATGTGAAATTTCTAAAAAATCTATCTTTGTGGGACGGAGGGAGTATATAATTAGCTAATTAATAAATGAAATGAATAGCTCCAAAATCCAAGGAACAAAAAGACATGGTAACTTAAAAGACGAATAAGAGTGAAGACCATTTCTGACACAAATGTTTTTTAAAGTTTTGTCATTCTCGATAAATTTTATAGAAAAATGTGGAGGGAGGGAATCATTTTGTATCAAACCTAGTCACATAAAAAAAATATCTCTAATTTTCTTGTCACAACTTATTTTTAATCCTATCCTTAGTTCAGTAAACAAAAAGATGATTAAGACTAAGCAAACTACTGAGAATTTGTCAACTGTCAAAGGGTTAATTAGATCATTTTGACCCTCAAAAAAGTTCACAAATCCTGACTGTACATCTGTACCTCAAACACCACGTGTCACCATCTCACACTTTAGATTCCAGTAACTATACAGAGAGTGTGTACTACTATCAATTGCTAAAAGTATTCAATATGAGAGACATCAGATTCTAGTCTTCTACTACTTACTATTACTAAGATTTGCTTTTTGTGTCAATGTTCATGGAACTTACAGTCCCTACTCTCGAATCAAATTCGTGGGCTCACTTAGAACATACCTAGGAAGCTCATATCTAGCACCTGCATTGAATAAGAAATAAGCCATTAAGGTAACAAAACAAGAAACGAAAAAAAAATAAGATTGTGTATTGCAAACCTCTTTCATCCCAACACAATGTTAGGTCACGGTTCTGAACAATCACACCTGCACTGTCAACAATAGTTTGTGCTAGTTTCAAATCAGCTTCAGCAGCAGCTCGAAGTGCTTCCCATATCTCTGGTTTTCAGTAATTTTAACTCAGTTTCCAAATGTTCATAGTGCATTGCAGATTAGAAGAAGAGATATATATACCACTTTGACCACCATAGTGGGGAGAAGTATCCCAAAATTCCTCACGCATATTCGTAAGTTGTGCCCTTGTGATTGGCTCAGTATGTGCCCACGGTTTAGGTTTCCTGATTTTCTTCCTTTTCACTGTCTCAAACATACAAATTCACAAACAAAACTCATAAGAGAATGATACAATATAAACTACCACCAATCCTAAAACAGTTCTTTCAGTAACACCAATACTAAAGGCAAAGCCATCTACTTCAGATGATATAGTCTATTGTTCGTAGAACAAAATTTCTTGGTAAAATGGCCACTTCAATCACACCATTGATAACAACTTTCTCTGATCGAACATTCTAATTCTGAGCAGTAGAACAATTTTCAAGAGCACTCAACATTTTCTGCTAATTGGAACTAAAAGACACAAATGTCTTGAATTAGCTTCAACATTTTCAATCTTAACGAAGTTACCAAGAAAGATTAGCAAGTCCCTAAAATGAGATTTCGTTCAAAATCACTCCAAGAATCATAAAATTTGCAAGATTAGTTCAAGACTAAGAATTCTTTCAAAATATCTCCAAGAATCACAACGTTTGCAAGATTAGTTCACATTAACATCTAAAAACTAAGAACTCTTTCGAAATCTCTTCAAGAATCACAACACAAAGTATAAATCGTAGTCCAAATTCTGTGAACATGAACGAACAAACTCTACGAAATTCAGAAGGACGGAGAGCGAATTTAAAGGTTAAATGAGAATCGATTCCACTAACCTCCGCCTTCATTTCTGGCCTGAGAAGATCCGATACAACCCATTCTCGAACCGCGTTTGATTAGGTAAAAATTGGAAGTCGCTTCGAACAAGTAAGTAAAATGTCAGTACAAAATCGACCGCCGGAGACGAACGGCGGTAGAATCGCCGGAGCGGTCTTCAAGAGTCAATTCCGTTTTGACTCCGAAATTAGTTTGTTAGAGAAGAAGTGAAACAGATCTCCGATTTTATACTTTTTTTGGGTAGGCCGATTTTATACTCTTTTAATTGCCACGTCATATTATTTCGGATTAATATATTATATTTGGATTTATTCGCCACGTCATATTATTTTGGATTAATATATTATATTTGGATTAATTATTCGTCAGCGTCTGTAGTCCAACGGTTAGGATAATTGCCTTCCAAGCAATAGACCCGGGTTCGACTCCCGGCAGACGCATCTAGTTTTGATTTTCTTTTTGCTTGGGAAAAAATATGACATTAAAGATAAAGACAATAGTAAATGACGATAGTGTCCTCGGTTTTATCGAAGCAATGATCTAATTAGATCAGAACGCGTGAGAAGGGCGTTTTAGTAATTTCTGTAACACAAATGCTAGATTTTTGTGATAAAGACAGTACACAAGTCCTTTCTTTTTCTCGTTTGATATTTTCCAATTCCGCGTCTTTCTTTCTCTGTTGAAATCGAAAAGATCTTGCAAGTTTCAAATCTCATTAGGGTTTTTCATTTTGAAAAAATAAAGGAACCATTTTTATCTCTCTCTCTGTTTTGTTTTTTCGAATCTGAAGAAGTAAAGTTAAAAGCTTTGAAGAAGAGAATCAATGGCGGGTTACAGAGCAGATGATGAATACGATTACCTATTCAAGGTTGTTCTGATTGGTGATTCAGGTGTGGGCAAATCCAATTTGCTTTCACGATTCACCAAGAACGAGTTTAGCCTTGAGTCTAAATCCACGATCGGCGTTGAGTTCGCGACTCGGAGTTTGAATGTTGATGATAAAGTCATCAAAGCCCAGATTTGGGATACTGCTGGTCAAGAAAGGTCTCATCTTTTTCAACCACATTGTTCATTTCTCGATCTGGTTTTTTAGATTAGGAAAGTTTTGAGCTTTATGGTTTGTGTTTGATTGCCGATGAAAGTAAATTTTGAGCTTAGGTTAGATCTGTGTCAATTGATTTAGATCCATTGGTTTTACAAGAAGAGATCTGGATTGGTATGTGATTTTGAAATTTGGATACGATTATGATTATAAAGTTTTTAGCTTTATGTAAGAGAGCCTGATTGGTTTCAGTAGCTTCATTTCTACGATTCCTAGCTTTTTCTTTCTCAGATTTTGCTAAAGATTCTTCAATCATTATCGGTTTCTCGGATCACTGTCTAGAAGCTTTGCTTAGTCAGATTTCTTCTCTTGTTTTTGCTTGTTTATGTATGAGTGATTGGTTTCAGTTGGATTCTTAATTCTTAATTTGAAGCTTTACTTAGTCTTAATTTCGAAATTGAAAAGCTTCGAAGGGTATGCATTCGAAACTGAAAAGCTTCTTGCTTTTTTATGATTTTGTATTATAAATAGAACTCGGTTCTTCTTCGTATTAGCTATGTTCTGATGTATTGGTTAACTTTAATTCTCAGTTTCGTTAACATTGTTTGAATAGGTACCGAGCCATCACTAGTGCGTACTATCGAGGAGCTGTTGGAGCGCTTCTTGTCTACGATGTGACCCGACACTCAACATTTGAAAACGTTGAGACATGGCTGAAAGAACTCAGAAACCACACTGATCCAAACATTGTAGTCATGCTCGTGGGCAACAAATCTGATCTCCGTCATCTCGTGGCTGTTCAGACCGAAGATGCGAAATCATTCGCCGAGAAAGAATCTCTTTACTTCATGGAAACCTCGGCTCTCGAAGCCACCAATGTTGAGAACGCTTTCGCGGAAGTCCTCACTCAGATTCACCACATTGTGAGCAAGAAGGCAATGGAAGCTGCAAGTGAATCCGCTAATGTTCCATCGAAAGGAGACAAGATCGATATCGGTAAAGATGTTTCCGCTGTGAAGAAAGGTGGATGCTGCTCAAACTAATAAGAGAGTAGAATTATTGTTAACGACCTGAGGATCGGTTTTTGTTAACGGTTCTATCGAATATGAAGATTGCTTTTAGATTGAGTTATGACCATTTGGTGTATTTCTGTTACTTATATAAATTTATCAATGTTATTGTTTGAAAATGTTTTGTCAAATTTTCATAACCATGAATTATATCATCTCAAACAATAGGATTGTTGAAAAGAAAGATAAAAAGATTCAGCCTTTGATGATTTCAGTTCGGTTTAATTTCATTGTATCGGTTGAATTTGCTTAAGTCGCCCTAAAATCTGTTCGGTTCGAATTTTTTTATTTTTTCGATCAAACACTTGAAAATGACTCTCTTTGAAAGAGAGCCAAACGGTTACGGTCGAACTTATATGACAAAAACAAAATCCGCGGCTTCTTGCACATAAAGCCCTGTACGTAAAATCCTTCAAATCTGTAGAAAAAGTAGAGCACTCTTCGGGGTTGGTAGTCATTGCTAAAAGATCAGAGCAATCTGTCAACATGAGAATACTCATCATATGGATCGCCAATAAACACTTCATCGACCACAAGAGAATCTCTGCATGAAGGGGTGAAAAGCTTCTACGCGAGCCTTTTAGTCCTAGATGCAGCAATCGAGTTTTGAAGTAACAAAACCGAATGGTTTATGAAAATATCCGGTTTAGTTTTGGTACAATCGGTCTGGTTCGGTTCGGTTAGCTTTTTGTCCATCCCTATTTTGTGCAGCAATCGCCGGAGAAACTCACTCACAGTTAATGGCAATGGCAATGGAGGAGCCAAGGAAGCTGAGAGGCCACAAATCAACTGCCACCTGTTGTATAGCTTCTCTTGACCGGCCTGGACTTGTTCTCACTTCCGGCGAGGTTTCTAAAATCTCTAATTCCGATGAATTTAGGGTTTCGTTATTGTAGTTACTTCGCAAGATTCATTGTTTCCGATCATTCGATTGTAGGATGGTTGCGTTTGCTGGTTTGATTTGCGATGCAAAGATGCTCAATTCATCATTGACGTTGGAACAGAACCTGTTTCATCTCTTTGTTTCAAGACAGGTTCTTGTCTCTTTGTGTGTGTCTCTCTCTCAATTTCATCTCTTTGTTTCCATTTGGTGATAACTTTGAATTGGTTTCAGGTAATGAGAACATTCTCTATGCTTCTTATGGAAATGAAATCAAGTCTTTCGATGTTCATACGGTAATTTAAAAAATCGAAACTTTGATAAACTATAAACAAATTCTTCACTCAGTTAAAAGCTTGTCTCTTTTCTGCAATTTCATAGCTGAGTGCTAATTCATGGAAGCCATTAGAGAGTTTTAATTACAACAAAGATGAAGTAAACCAGGTTGAGATACTAAAAACCTCGACTTTACGAAAAGTTGTCATATTTACCTATGAAATCGATGTTGATATCTTTTGAGTTTCTTGATTTGTTAAAGGTAGTATGCAATGGAAAATCATCTTTTCTTGCTTCTGCAGATGATTCTGGCGATGTTAAGGTACCTTCAATGGTTGTTCTTAATACTTAAAAACTCGTAAAGATTACATAAACATGAAATTTTGTTGGACGTTTCTCTGTTTCATTAGTGTTCTTGAACACAGATCATTGACATTGGTCAGAAATGCCTTTATAAAACCCTTAGAGCTGGTCATACTAGTGTATCCTTACTTCGTTGTTTTGCTCCCTTGCGTCTGTGAAATTCTACTAACCTCGAAAAAATCTCTCAAGTCAATACCTTAATGTGACATTTAAGATATGTAGTTCTGTACAATTCATTCCATGGAGACCTTGGGAAGGTAACTAACTGTTGTGTTTTGTGATTGTATATAACTCGTCAAGGTTTCTAAAATGTCTAATATCTTACAGTTATTACTGGTGGACTTGATTCAAAGCTTGTTTTATGGGATTTCTCAAAAGGTCGCTCGCAAAAGATTATAGACTTTGGTAAAGACTATGCCAGTAATTCGGGTTTCTTTAGCCATATATATATGCAACAAATCTGATTTTGCGAGTCATTTCTGTAATCTTTCAGGATCTGATACAAATAATAACTCAGGACAATGCCTAAACCCTGCATTTGTCCACTCGATAGCAATCCCGGAAATGGACATGGTTGATAAGTTAGAAAAGATATGCGTGGTTGCTAGAGGTGATGGAATTGTCGATTTGATCAATATCGAATCAGAACTTTCCCGAAAAGGAACATCATCAAAAGGAAGTAGTAGCAGTAGCAGTAGCAACAATGTGATCAAAAGGGTTTGTTTAGATTACTCTGTTGGTGGACACAATGCTGCTGTTTCTTGTGTAGCGTTTTCTCTGTTTAAGGAGAAAGGTAGATTCTTGATCTCAGGTGGTAATGATAAGACAGTCAAAATATGGGATTGCTTTAAATGTCTTGATCCAAACAACAACAACAATAACAGAGATTTCCTCCATTTGAATATTAACCTAAGCAAGAAGGTAACTAAAGCTCACATTGTTCTTCTGCTCTTTCTCTATTGTCTGATTCTGACATTTATTGGCGTTTCTTAAACAGGTGAATTGGCTTTGCACGAATCAATCTGATTCTGAGAATCTTGTTGTCTGTGACACAACGAGAGTAGTTAAGGTTTACTCAATCTCTTAAATAGGCCTTATGGGACCATAAAAGATTCATCTTTATTTTGGACATTGTTATTATTAGTGGAGTTTCTCAAGTGGTTGCTTGATCTACAAGTTAGTTTATTTGTTCTTGACAACCAAATTATAAAGACAGAACCGGCTTCTAAACCAACAACAATACTTGGATCAAAATGCTATATGAACTTACTATATTGGTGTTGCTTTATATGATTTTCTTTTGTTTCATTGAATTGTATTTGTCTAAAATTATTACCCTTTTTAAGATGTTTACATGATTACATTTAATTTTTGAATTGTTAAATTCTTTTACTATCATCAACTTTATTACGTACCATTTGTTTGTTTTATACTTTTGTGTGTTTATATTCAACTTCTCCCAGTCAGATTTTTTCTTATTGTCCCCATTTACACAATTAAGAATTTGTTACGAAGTTAAAATCCAATTTATTTTTCAATAAATTATGTTATAATCATAACAAAAATACATAAATCCAAAAAATAACCTACCATTCTAACAATCTAAACTTGGAGCAACAAGTAATTTCTTTTTGGATACTATGGAGACTTTGGGAAAATAACAAATCAAACACTTCCCTCTTAAAAGTAAAGAAGTCTCTGAACTATCACAACGCACAAGACCCTTCTTTCAAATTCCAATCTTTCCAAACATTCCCTCTTCCGTCCACTATGAAACCGCAGCAACCGCAACCGGCATTGATCCTCCTCCTCATCCTACTTCTCTTAGCCACCGTCTCCGCCTCTCCACTACACCCAAAACAGCTCAAATCTCTCCAATCTTTAAACATCTCTACACCAACCAATGATCCCTGCAACAACAACCAATCCTCCTCCACCTCCATAACTTGCGACAACGCTTCTCCTTACCGCCACATTACCTCTCTTTCCTTCATAAACTGCTCCTCCACTCTATCTCTCCCTTCCAAAACCCTCAAACCACTCTCAAAATCTCTCCTCTCTCTCTCCTTCACTAACTGCCCTTCACTTTCTCCTCCATACCATCTCCCAATCTCCCTCCACTCCTTCTCCGCCGTCTCTTCCTTCCACCACAACAACCATACTCGCCTCTCCGGCCTCTTCCTAGCTCGTCTCAAAAACCTTAAAACCCTCAATATCTCCTCAACCCCAATCTCAACCTCTCGTCGTCTTTATGTAATCCTTGGAAACATGCATAAACTCACTTCCCTCACAATCTCAAACTCAAATCTCTCCGGCTTTATCCCTAAAAATTTCCACTCAAATCTCACATACATCGATTTATCAAACAATTCACTCAAAGGCTCAATACGCATTTCCATTACTCGTCTCACAAACCTCAAGTCCTTAAACTTATCTCATAACTCTCTCTCTGGCCAAATACCAAACAAAATCAAAAACTTAATCTTTCTAAAAAACTTATCTTTAGCTTCAAACAAACTATTAGGAACAATCCCAAATTCACTCTCGTCAATTTCTGAACTTACACATTTGGATCTAAGTATGAATCAACTAAACGGCACCGTTCCAAGTTTCTTCTCCGAGATGAAGAAACTCAAACACTTGAATCTCGCTGATAACTCCTTCCATGGAGTTTTACCATTCAACGAAAGCTTCATCAAAAATCTCAACTTTTTCGAAATTGGAGGGAACAGTGAGCTCTGTTACAACAAAACTGTTGTATCCTCGAACTTGAAATTGGAGGGTCTTGCTCCGTGTGATAAATATGGTTTTCCTTTATGGTCTCCGTCGCAAAAGGAGGAGTCTTTATCAGGAGAAAACGATTACGGTGATTACAGCGGTGAAGGAGGAAATGAGAAGAATAAGGAGAAGATGAAGAATAATGAAGAAGAAGAACACAATGGTTCCAACAAGACTCTGTTTGGTCTCGGCATTGGTCTTTTTTCGATTGTGTTCCTAATCCTCTTCCTCTTTTATCTTGCTAAAAGGTGTCGTTGGATTTGAGAAGTCTGATCTTTTTGTTTGGACTTTATTAGGGTTCTTTTGAGAATAACCAGACCGGGTCTTGAAAAAATTACTGTGTCCAAACCGGTACAAATCCGGTTTATGTTTTTGTTTGGTATTTTACCCTTTTCTTCCTCTAAATGTACTGTGTTTTGTATTTGTGAATTGTGATTATGAGTAACTGCAGTTTGTTTGTTTGTTTTTTTTTTCCCCTACAAATCAAACATATTATATCATGAAGAGTTTACAAAGTACAGAAACATTCCCAATACAACCATTAACGCAAAAATATTGTTTATTATTATAAATAAATGTCATGATAGCAAAAATATTTTATTGTGAATCAAAAATTGACTCCACAATTAAACGCATTTTGAATACAATACTTCTCAAGAAGAAAATAATGTGAAACGGGTCTTATTTGTAGCTTGAACCACATATCCGAAGAAAACATTTCTCTTGGTTCTCCGTAGAGTAAGATTCAACTCCTTTCAAATCGATTTACTGACTCAACAACTCATCTCCGAGTGAAATTTTATACGTTCCATCGATAGTTGTGTAATTTCTTTTTCTCTTATAAATAATGAAGCTTTTCAACAGTAGATTTATCATGTTAGTTTTTGTCATTTTAGTTGTTTTACGTTTAGTTTTATCTTTTTGATGTAGAATTTAGTTCGTAAAACTTTCGTACAAAATCTAAATTCTCCAAAACTATATATTACCAAAAAATACTATTTAAAATTTATTTGAAATAGTTCACACTAAAAGGTAGCGACATCAACAGGTGCACCAACACCATCTGAGTGAGCCTCGAGGAGATTTACGAACTCTGTTTAGATATAACCTGTCACGAAAAACTGAATTCTCTTTTATATCTTTTGCCTCTTTTTCGTGAACCTTCTTCATTTTATACCAAACCTTGAGTCTAAGTGACCATGCAGGAAAACTATTCACATAGTCTCTCTCTTGATCATCCATAGAAGATCGATAATGGTTCCGTCTATAGAAGTGAGAAATATAAACATAGATCACCAATCTTGAAGAAAAACATCATCTTGAAGCTTTGATACAAGATTTTGAAAACATTTTTTTTCTAGCCATTAAACATTTTTCTATTTACATTTAATGTGAATAATTCATAATAGATCCTTAAATGATAAGCTAGCGAATGTGTGTGTAAACTTGGTTCAGAGTAATCTTGGTAGATTAAAAGCCTAATCGGTCAAGGATATTCTTCATTTCATCAAAACTCAATAACAATGATAAATCTCTGGGGGCAATTTCTGTCTTAGTAAATTCTACCATTATCAGAAAATTAACTATCTTCTTGTTTTGAATATCTATAAGCTGCAGTGCTCAAAGGACAGAAATCAAAAGAGCTGCTTTTGATTGATTTAAGTTTTGATGATGACAATGAATAAATAAAAAACATATCTCCAAGGTTCTTGGAAGATTCAGATTCTACCAAACTCACGTCAAAAAGGTTTTACTACAACAAGAAATTCTTTAACATCCAAAGATAACAACTTAAAATAAGCTAGAATCAACAAAAATCTTTAAAGATCAAAAGACTTTTTAACCAGTGATGTTCTGAGACTTGTTGAGAATAACTCCTTCATACTTGACCTGGAACCATTTCATTGCATCATCCTTAGTTACTCTGTGCTGAATACCAACACGAGCCTTGCATCTTCGGCGACGAGCCACACGGTATCCTGGGCGTTCAAGGACAACGTAAAAGTCCATTCCGTAGATACCAGTGGAAGGATCATACCTAAATACACAAAATAAAACACATGAGAATATAAAAAAACAGTAATCACTTCATCTTTCATCAAGCACACATCTTACATTCCACAGAAACCAGTAAAGGGTTTAGTGTTAATCAGTTTCAAATCGAACATCCGACCTTGAAAACCAGTAAAGCATTCATCTTTTACTATACCCAAATCTAGCATTCAACAAAAACCAGTAAACGGCTCATCTTTAATCTATTCCAAACTGAACATTCCACAAAAGCCAGAGTAAATAAAAGATAAATCGAACACTCAACAAAAATAGTCTTCATCTTAAATCAATTTAAAACCCTACCCTTCTGACTAAACTACACAAAACCAAAAATTTGGAGACCAGTTATTTAGGCGCAACAGAAATACTCTTACACATACACGAAGAATCGAAGAACCAAAACCTTTATAGAAAGCCATTAATGTAACTTATGCAAGGAAACTTTTATTCAAAATGAACAGAGAACTTACTTGATTCCAAGATCAATGTGCTCTTGGATACCGAATCCAAAGCAACCAGTGTCACTAAAGTTCCTCCTAAGAAGCTCATACTCCTTAACTTTCAAACCACTCTCAAGAAGCTGCATTGCCTTCTCACCTCTCACAGTCACATAACACGCAATTTTCTCATTACGCCTAATACCAAAAGACCTCACAGTGTACCTCGCTGTCATTAAAAACACCACAACATACATCAGAATCAAGATCAACACAGAAACAAAATCCCTAAGAGATTTAGCATTCACATACCCTTAGAGAAGACAGGGGTTTGACCACTGAGCTGTTCCAACACCTAAAAATGATATTACCAAAAACAACAATTCAAATCTAATCACTTAAAAAGCCATTGATTTAGACTAAAATCAGAGATGGGTAATCATAAAGGTTAGATTTTTGATAACAAAAAACGAACCTTGGAGGCACGAGTGAGACGATCACCACTCTCACCAACGGAAATGTTGAGAACAAGTTTCTGAACCTTAATGTCCCTCATCGGGTTCGAGAGCTTCTTCTCCGACGCCTGAGAGAAACAAAACAAAGTTCAATCATAAACCCATTGAACAAAACACATTTTCATTGAATCAATCTACAGAGAAGTACGAAGCAAATACCATTTTAAGGAGATCAAAGTCGAGCAAGAGGAAGCAATGTAGAGTTTGCGAAAACGAAACTGCGTTAAGAGCGAAGTGAGAGGTGTTATATGTGTTGGAACTTAGGGTTTCTTCTATTAACGAAATGACGAAACTAGCCCTTTGAATGATCAAAATGGTTTGATGGGCCAAAATTATAAAGCCCATACTAAAACATAGTCTTAGCCCTTAGGCATATATTTGGCCTTCTTAGGCAAAAAGTCTTTCAATGGGTTGAAAAAATCGACATTGATTTTTACGAGACTTTTGTGGATTTAAATGGGGAAAAATGTCGTTTAATAGCCGAACTTTTAAAAAATGGCCGTTTAATACGTGAACTTCTTATATGGCCATTTAAACATGAAGTAAACGTTGACCGGCCAATTTAAACATGAACTATTCGTTGACCAGGCCAAAAACTACACGCCGTTATCTGTCGTTAACGGATCCGATAACAGTCGTTTAACTCTCGTTAACGATTCCGTTATTGCCTAAACGACGTCGTTTTGGGCTTAATCTAAACCCCGAAAATTCCCAAATTGATTTTCAAATCCCTAATTCTGAAAAATCCCCAAAATTAGAACTTTAAGGCCGATTTTCGAGGCGAAGCAGAGAATGTTGTGGATGCTGGAGTTGAAGCTCGAGGCGAATCTGAGATTGTTGTCGGAGACGGAGTTCAAGCTCCACCGGCAGAAGCGTTTCAGAGCCAGGTGACAGAGATGGAATTCTAGTTCAACCGAATATCGGAGACAAAGCTCGTGGCCGGCGTCAAAAACGAAGAAAACGACGTCGATTTGGGGATTTAGGGATTTCGATTAAGCCTAAAACGACGTCGTTTTAGGTAATAACAGAATCGTTAACGGTTATTATCGGATCTGTTAACGACAGATAACGGCGTGCGGTTTTTGGCCTGGTCAACGAGTACTTCATGTTTAAATTGGCCGGTCAACGTTTACTTCATGTTTAAATTGACCATATAAGAAGTTCACGTATTAAACGGCCATTTTTTTAAAGTTCGACTATTAAACGACATTTTTCCCGATTTAAATGCGTTGAAAAAATCGACATTTGCACTGCATTATACGAGTTTTATTTTAAGTTTTTTTTTTTTTCGCTATTTTTTTTAAGTTATAAGACAAAAAAAATTGAAACTTTCAATGCATTATATGAGTTTGAATTCGAATAGAGTAAATCATCAACGACGCTAACACAAGCTACTAGTATGTTACATTTTCTGGTTAAAAAAAAAACGATTTTTAAGGTTAAACTTTTTTTTTTTTTAAACTTCTTTTATTTTAGAAGAAAAGAATAAAAATGAGTTCTAAGAAAACCAGCAATTTACAGTTAATGACAATGACAACAAAACCAATTAATACACTATGAAGTCTCATCGTGGTCCAGAGAGCTCAATAGCTTCAACAATAAAGGAATGCTCTTCATGACCATTACTGTAATTCCTAGAGACACTTGGACCTCTAGCTTCATACCCTCCTTCACACTGTTCCACTAAACCTTCAAGAACCTTCAACACTTGAGACATCCTCGGTCTTAGATTCGGATGTGGCTGTGTACAAAGCAAAGCCAATTCCACAACTTCCTCCAATACCAAATCATCAAACTTTCCTTTCAAATCTCTGTCCACCATCTCTGCAAATCTCTTCTCTGCTTTCAATGTCCTTACCTGATCCAACAAAAGCCAATGGTTTTGAATTAAGTTTTGTCCTAATGGGTTCGGTCTAAGTCGAGTAAAGTTTCATACTTTATGCAAATGACTCAAAGGATATAACAGAAAGCTTCAATCTTTTTTACTTACCCAGCTTAAAATCATTCCTTTTCGAACTTGACCATTGCCTTGATCAATCATCTTATGACCTGTTATGAGTTCAAGAATTAGTACACCGAATCCAAAAACATCAGTTTTCTCTGAGGACTGTCCAGTGGAAAGGTACTCGGGAGCGATGTGTCCAATGGTTCCTCGGACTGCGGTTGTGACATGTGAATCTCTCTGGTCTAACAGCTTTGCTAGACCAAAATCGCCAACAATTGCTTCAAAGCTCTCATCAAGTAGAATATTTGCAGCTTTGACATCTCTGTGAATAATCTTTGGATTGCATTGCTCGTGCAAGTAAACAAGTCCTCGAGCTGCGCCGAGTGCAATGCTTATCCTCCGATTCCAATCTAGAGACGTCTTTTCTCCATAATTGTCTGAAAAATGTTATCTTTTAATGAACTGTTTGTGTTATATTTATATCAAATGAACAACAAGGATGAGAAATGTTAGTTAAAACCTCTCAGGCGATCAGCCACGCTTCCATTTGGCATATATGGATACACAAGCATTCTTTCTTCTGGTGTCAAACAAAATCCAAAGAGACGTAAAAGATTACGGTGAACTGCTAAGCCAATCATTTCGACTTCGGTTTGAAACTGAATTTCTCCAGTATAATTCGGATCTTTCAATCTTTTAACCGCCACAACAGTTCCATTTGGGAGATACCCTTTATAAACCATCCCGAATCCTCCTTGTCCCAGAATGTTTTTTGGACTGAAATTGCTTGTTGCGGTTTGTATTTCGCGAAAACTGAACCTCTTCAGATGCCCGATCTCAAATTCGTAGTCTTGCTGCACTAAAAACTCCATAAAAATAGTGCAGAGTTCAGTAAGTCTTGACACTTCCCGTAAATGACTGAAAGAGAGAGAGACTATGAGACTATGAGTGTGTACCATACGATCTTGAGAGACGTGATCGATGCCAAAGCACCCAGAAGAAGAGAAACATTAGAGAGATGATAAAGGCGACAACAATGCCAAATGCAAAAGAAAGCACTAAGCTGTGATGTTTGCTATTGTCTTTTTCAGACAAACCCGTCGCTGCAGATCAAACTACCGCAAGTTAACACTATTCACGTTCTACATAAAACAAGCTTAATTTCGAAGAGAAATTTTGATGCAACATACCATTCCTCACAGGTGTAGCATCTGAGCAAAGCTCTTGGGCAGCTGAACCACAAAGGAATGCATTTCCTACGATCCTACAGAAGAAAACATTATCAAGAAGCTTTCACATACATTGTGTAATGGCTTGTACTCATGAGTTTTGCGCATATCTTACCTGTAGTCTTTTGCTAATATATTCGGTGTTGGTCCGCTTAAATTGTTGAATGATAGATCCCTATTCAAGTTTTTCATATAAAACAATAGTCTTACTCTTAAGCATTATACGAAATCGTAAAATTAAGATAAACAGTAATGGTAGGTAGAGCAAGACATACAAGAAAGAAAGACCTGACAGGCTAGCGACGAGGTGAGGGACTTGCCCGGATAAAAGATTCCTGCTAAGCCGCCTATAAAACTTACAAAAGGCCTTGTAAGATGATAAGAATTACAACATTAACAAAATTAAGAATCATTAATATCAAACTCACAAGTAGTTTAAGTGAGTCAAGAACCCTAAAGAAGCTGGGATTTCTCCACTAAACCGATTCCCCGATAAATCAAGCGTTTCGAGCTCAGAAAGTTGGCCTAACTCAGAAGGAATCGGACCGGTTAACTGATTATTCTGCAGTAATCTACAAAAATAACAAAAGTAACCGAATTAGATACAACAAACACATTCTTGAACTCCAACATTAACCACAAATTCATATAACTCACAATGTATGAAGATGAGTTAATTCCCCAATACTACTAGATATTATCCCTGATAATCCTTTACTAGCCATCTCTCTGCATCAGAAAATTTCAATAAACTCAGCAAAGAAACGTTTCTCAGAGACATTTAGTCGAACAATTGGTGCGCATGCATAGATACTCACAGAGAAACCACAAAACCTTGAGAGGAACAACCAACCATGTTCCAAGTACAAGGATCAACAGAGTTTATATCCCAACCAGACAAAACATCTTTCTCATCTTTCATCTTATTCTTCACTGACATTAACGCAGCCACTACAAGAACCAAAAAATCGATAAAGTTAAAACCTTTTTACACAATTAAAAAAAAAAAAACTTTTGATAAATTCTTCACCTTCATAGTTAACACCCTTTGGAGATAAAAGACTATCCATTGCAAAAACAGAATCAAGAACAGAGTAATAAACCCAGATTCCTAAAAACAGAAACTTTATCAAAAAAATCTCCATCTTAGAGAGAAAGTATAAGAAATCTCTGGACTTCAATGTTATTTGTCTGCCCTTTCTTCTAGGGCAGACCATTAAAAACATTATAAATACATTAAAAAAGACAAGTTTTTTTGCATTAAATTGTGTACGAATTGAATCGAGATGAAGAAGAAGACAAATAAAAATGGAAGCGGGAAAATCCTCGAAAATGTCAAACCATTGTTCCCTTGTCTTCTGTTCTGTAAGACTTTTTTTTGTCTGACTTTGACAGTGTTAGTGAGATTAGATCCTCTGTAATCAAACCTACGATAACAATGGTATATTCTCAGCCAATTTGAATTCGGTTAATAAATTTCGGTTCGGTTTAGGTAAAAACCGTTTGGTTCGCCTTAAAACCGAACCCTCTAAACTCGTTCTTTCTCTCTCTCTGCGCCGCTTTTATTCTCAAATGGTGATCGATGTTCATGTTCGAAAAATGTTTCCTTTTGCCCAAAATTCACAGTAAAAAGATATGAATTCTCTAAAATCTTTGAGATACAGTAGCATTAGAGAAGCTTTAACACACCAAAACCTAATAAAGTCTCCATTTTTATGTCCTCTTTACTTCTACAATCAAAGAAGATGGTTAAAGCCTGTAGATTCAGCACAAACTAGGTTAGAGAATCGAACAAGAGATCATCGATTAGACAAACTCATTGCCCAGATTAGGAAACTAAACATCATTCTCGAGATTTCTAGACTTTGTTGTAGCAAAAAGCGTGGTCCTTTTGTGTCTTTGCAGCTTATGTCTCGATGGAAGAATCTCGTTGGTTTGAATGTAAATGTTGGAGCTTTTATTGGTAAGTATCCTCATGCTTTTGAGATCTTTACACATCCTTTTAGGAAGAATTTGTGTTGTAAGATTACTGAGAAGTTTAAGGTTTTGATTGATGAGGAAGAGAGTGTTGTTAGAGAGTGTGAGGTTGATGCTGTGATGAGGGTAAAGAAGTTGTTGTTGATGTCGAAAAACGGTGTTCTTCGTGTTCATGCTTTGAGGTTGATTAGAAGGGAATTGGGTTTGCCTGAGGATTTTCGAGATTCGATTTTGGCTAAGTATACTAAAGATTTCAGGTTGGTTGATTTAGAGACTTTGGAATTAGTTGATGGAGGTGGTGATGATGAGAGTTTGTGTGTGGCAAAAGTTGAGGAGTGGAGAGGAGTTGAATATAGAGAGAAATGGTTGAGTGAGTTTGAGACGAACTACGCTTTTCCGATTCATTTCCCTACAGGATTCAAGATTGAGAAAGGATTCAGAGAAGAGTTAAAGAATTGGCAAAGGGTTCCTTATGTGAAGCCTTATGATAGAAAGGAGATTTCTCGAGGGTTAGAGAGATTCGAGAAGCGAGTGGTTGCAGTTATCCATGAGCTTCTGAGCTTAACGGTTGAGAAAATGGTTGAAGTTGAAAGATTAGCTCATTTCCGAAAGGATCTTGGAATTGAAGTAAACGTAAGGGAAGTAATATTGAATCATCCCGGGATTTTCTATGTATCGACGAAAGGAAGTACGCAGACATTGTTTCTAAGAGAAGCTTATAGCAAAGGCTGTTTGATTGAGCCAAATCCGATATACAATGTGAGGAGGAAAATGCTGGATCTTGTGTTGTTGAAAGCGCGACATACGAGAAAGTTGTTACAAACGGAAGATGAAACTCATGAAGAAGAGAAGAGTAGAGATGTTTTGACTAGCTCTCCTGATGATTGGGAAGGAGAGAGAGATGGAGATTGGGTCTTACCAATTCTAGGGAAATGAGTTTTGTGCAAAAGTCTCATCTTAATGTATGAAAGTGTATTAGATTGATCTTGTTTGTGAATTAGATGATCCTCTCTCTCATGTCTCTGCAAAGTTTTGTTCTTGTGGCCATAAGTGTAATTATGATGAAATTGTAGCAAACAAGAAACTATTTGGTGGGTTTTGATTAAATAATTTAAAATTTCCTAAAAACAATAAGTGATGATTTTATTAATTAGGGTTATCCAAAGCCTTGTTAAAAACCAATTTTAGTTGGATTTCTTTTCGTGTAAGTTATCTTCTACCACTAAACCCTAGCTCTCTACGCGAGGCTGCAAAACCCTATGGCTCGACGAAGCGTTGGGGAACGACAAGCCGAAGCCAATCACGTTCGTTTTATCTCTCTCTATCTATATCTCCCATAATCACATGTCCTCTGCTTATGCTCGTTGATACGAAATTGGCCTTTGATTTTTCGTTTACAGGTCTATGTTGATAAGCTTGGTTCCTTTGAGAGATCGTTTAAGAGTACTAGGCAAAGGAAACTTTACCTGTTACGTCTGTTGATGAAGCAATTCAAAGCGGTGCAAGAATTGCTCAATGATTTCGCATTCCCGCATCACTCAAACACCGAGTTATATGCAAAGGAAACTTCATCTGGCAGTGCAAGAACAACAACCTCTTGGATGAAGAATGAGATTGTCATGCACAAACAACTCTGTTCTGTCTCTAGAACTAGAAGCTCATCATCAATGTCCTTGACCGCAAACGAACGGCTTTTAGAGGAGCTAGGAAACATTGTCTTCAACTCAGAAAATGATTCTACAAATAAAAAATCCTATGATTTATCGTTTCCTCTTATCGGTTTTGTTTCACTTTTGTTCCTATACTTTTTTTTTTTTTTTTTTTTTTTTTTTTTTTTGATAAACCCTATCGGCTGATCCGGTCGGCCTCGGTAGGAACGCACCGAAGTGCTACAGAGTGGACTTCTCCCGATCCAGGTAGAATTGGGCCACCACACTGCCTGATCCGAGTTTGGAATGCCTTCCGACTAATGCCAGGGGGTAGTCAGGCCGCCTGCATTTCTGACTACCAGGTAAACCAATTGGGCCAAGGCCCAACTGACAGACTTCCCAAACAAATGTGTTTTTGTTTCCAGGGAGAATCGAACTCGGGTCTGGGAGTTTCACCCTTCACCAAAGCTTCCTCTGCCACTAGACCACAGAGGCTTGGGCTTGTTCCTATACTTGAAATTTAGGACTAAATCTTTTTAATTTTTAAGACTTTTTATGAGGAGAGAATCTTCTGTTTAAACCTGAATCATAGACAGATGTTTCAATAAGGATGGATCCAAGGTTAATAACACTTGTGGAAATTGTTTTCCTTAGCCTCCATAAGGGTCGTATAACATAGAAACTAGAATGTTGAAGACACTTGTGATAAACCATGTTTGTGAATTAGATGAATCCTGTCTCATATAGTCATATCTGATTGCATATCTCTGTAAATTTTTGTTTTTGTCGCCATGAGTGTATTTTATGATGAAATTGTAGCAAACAAGAACTATTTGGTGGGTTTTGATTTAAGAATTGATCAGTAGGAAGAGGAACACGAAATGAAGATAACTTCATTAAAATCACTTTGGCTTTATGTGAAAATTCTCAGTAACAACAATTGAAACTAAGAGAAATGATTTTGGCAAAATGGGCTCAAAAAAATTTGGTTGATCTTGGAGGAGAGAATTAGAGTTAAAGAGTATTCTCCAACGGGCTATATTGCGATCAGGCCTCCATCAAATCTCCATCTCCATGTATAGGTTTTGTACGACTTAAAGCCCAATAAGCCCACGAAACTTAAGAACAGTATTCACGTAGTAGGCTCATAAGAGCAACATTATTGGGAGGTTGTTAACTTTGGTTCTTAGTAATTTTATAGTATTATTACTAAGAACCAAAGTTAAGATTTACCTCTTTTTGGTTCTTAGGTAAGAAACCTTTCTTACTTTTCTTACCAATAATAACCATTTGCCATTTAATTAAATACTTTTTAATACTTAAGATTTACCTAAGATTCTTCTAAGAACCTATTGATAATCATGGTCTAAACAACTTACTTGGTATATATCCTAAGTCCTAACAATGGTTTTGTGAACTTGTAAAAATGCTTTAGAAATATTATTTTCATTCAATTTTATGATATGCTAGATGTTGCAAATCGCAACAGATATTAAAGTGTTTTTGAATGTTAGAAATAGCCAGTAAAACTAAAAAAGTGGAGAGATCAAATAAATGTTTTGTTTATTATATAAAAAAGTGACAAATTTTAACCAAAGAAAGAAAGAAAAGTGAAAAAGAAGAAAGTCAAGAAGAGAATGAAAGGATGTGAAGATATAGACGTGACGAAAGTGCTAAGGATTAAGAAACTTTGGTTTCTCTCTTTTTGGTGAATGAGAAGAATAATATCCACATCGAAATATGATTTATAAAAAAGAAATTAATATATAAATAAAAAGTATGAAAGCGGAATAAAGTGGAATTCATAACAAAACAAAGAGAAAAATGAAAAAAAAAAATATGGATCAGACAAAACAAAATGAAGGCAGCCAAGAGAGTATAGAGGCATAAATATCAAGGGAGAATACTATATAGTATTTTGATTGAAGTGTTTAACGTAATCGTTTGTACTAGTATTATTACCCGTATAATATCATTAATTTTACACTGACAAAAAATGTCACAAGTATTTAAATTGCAATTATAATAAAAACGATTTTTTGTTTAATTTAAATCAAAATAAACAAAACTAGATCAGCTATGTTTTTATGAGTATGGTATCATCCAGATTATAGATTGGTTTAGCTTCTTTGTCTCAGCATTCAAAACCTAATCGAAGTTTGGTCAGTTCAAAGGTTTCTATAGAGGCGTTAAAGTCATTGATTTTGACATTGTTGCTTTAGGAAAAAATATGAGTACTAAACTCTTTGTCTTGGGTCTTTCTTGCCAGAATAGAAATCTAGCTAGGTTCGCTTTGGTTGGAAGGTAATATTTTTTCGCTATAGAAAATTTTGCTGATCGCGTTGTTATAAGTGATTAGCTTAGATCATTTCAATTTTAGGGAATTTAGTTGGCAAGTTTTCTTAAGAGATTTTGTCGTTAGTCGTGGTTTTTCAAATGCTTTGTTTTCTGTGGAACTTCGATATGTTTATTTGCTTCCCTATTTAGGATTTAATTTTCGTGAGTTTTATATATTATAATTGTATTCCACCCTTATATTTCTTAATCATATTATATAGCAGAAAAGATTCAGACCAAACAAAAAAAAGAAAAAAACTACATTTTATTGTCAAGTGAGTCTTATTCGCTAGAATCCGAATATATAATACTTGGACTAAAATAAGGTATGGATCGTAGAAAAAACAAACAAAAAAAACCAATAAGCTCTCACCAGCTTCTCAGCATTATCTTACCAATACTTTTCCACCTTACCCACTTTGTTTTGTCTTCCCCCATTTAACATTTTTTCCTCATTATTCTGTGATTCTATCACATGATGTAGTACGGCTAGAGAAAAAAAAATCAATGAATAGAAATGTCTGGACAAATCGATGACATATACTTCAGTAAAAGTTAGTTATTGAATCCAAGATTAAGATACTTCTTTGGATAATTTTTAAATGATACCATCAATATATTTAAGCAATGGCGATGATATCGTTAGTGGTTTGTTAAAATGCTTAACGTTTCATGACCTCATTTTTTATAAATCATTGTCAAACCCTGATTTAATTGGGACTATATTCTATATATGACTGACGTGTCAATGTTAAACTCTAATTTCATTGAGATTACATACAACTAACGTATCAAATATCAATGCCAAACTCTAGTCCTTTATATTGTGTTAAGTCAATTCAGAGTATCAAACCAATAATCAAGATCTCGTGTTAGTGATTATTAGGGCTTTTCGTCAATTGTAGTAAAAAAAGTAGATTTCAATTAAGTTTTTTTTTTTTATCAATAACAATAACAATTGTAGTAAAAACAAACCAATATTGGTTAACAAAACTTTGTCCATTTTGAAAATATCTTTCTATAATTTTAGAAAAACAAATTACAAAATACCTTGACAAAAGTGCATGTATCTCACACACCGCAAATCAACAACACCGGAATCTAATACTCACATGATTTATCTAAACCCATTCTTTTTCCTAACTCAACGTGAAACCGTACGTATGTCTTTAAGAAGACCCAAGACTTGTTGCATTGTTGGTCGCTTCCCTGGCGTCTCCGCCGTGCAAAAGTAACCAATCCGAAGACTCTCTACCATCTCATTAACCGATTCTCCAACCGCTAACCGCAATCTCGAGTCAAGAGCTTCCTCTCCTCTTCTCTCCTTAACCAACCGTCGAACTGATTTAACATTCTCATCCCTCCCTTGCTTCCCGGTTAATAGCTCAAATAAAATCACCCCGAAACTATACACATCGAATTCTACATTGTTGTTATTACTATCATCTCCGGTTTTCGCGATGTTGTTTATACCAAAATCAGAGATTCGCGGCTCTAGGGTTTCGGTTAGGAGGATGTTGGTTGCGACCAAATGTCCATGAGTAGTACCAACGTGATGAAGATAGGCTAAACCACGTGCAACTCCAATGGCTATACGGTGACGTATTAGCCAGTTTGTTTTCTCAGGCGATGAGTCTCCGACGTGACTTTCCCATGTATCGGCACTCCAATCTTCCACGTTGGTTTCTCCTGCCGGGAGCTCGTGTAGCCATCGGTGAAGATCTCCATTAGCCATAAATTCATATAATATAAGCTTCTCTTTTCCTAAAATTAATGATAAACCACAATATTAGTTAGGAACAAATAAATATAATGCTGATTTTTTTCACAAAAATGTTTTAAATTACGTATGGAAATTAATATTGCATTTCCCTAATTCACCATGACAATTAAATTCAATAAAATGTAAATCTTGGTTAAAATACTTAAATTAATAAACTGATGCTAAACTTGTTATTAAGTATTAAATTTTAAATTCACCATTTAAAACAGAGTTAATACTGCAAAACATATTATGGTGAACATGGTAAATAAGGTCAGAAAGAAAACATATTTAGCATATACGTAAAGGAAAAAGATTATAGAAACCCGACAAGCTAAATATAATCTCTACGAGTCCCAAAGCAAAGGATGTGACTTGTCTGCACATTTTTTAAAGTCGTCCCAGTCGTCCACTAACAAAAACAACAAATGAAACAACCCTAAAAACAAGTCATTGTAAGAATCTATAACACACACACTACTTTATTTTCTCTGAGAAACTTTTTGGAATAAGTATACATTTTTACGTTAAGATCACAAAAAATCATAAAATCTAGTAATCATGGCACAAAAAACATATACTAGATCTTTTTACGTGACGTATCATCACTGAACTGACTTCTTTCGTCTGCACAACAACGCATACGAAGATACTACTATTGAATACGACACCGTTCAGCATTTAATGCCTCATTAATGTGTTTATCCAAAAACCCGTGAAAGTAGAGACAAAAATTCATTACATGACGTCTACGCCTTCATATTTTATTGATTTAAATTTCAACCCCATCAAAAAATGTTTTTCGGAAAAAAAAAAGTCAAGTCCTTAATATTTTTGGTTCTAAATTAGCTTATTTCACTAATTATAATAATTGGCGAAAAAATTACATGATTTTGGTTATCTTTTGTTTACAAAAATAAAATTTTATCCTATTTTCTAATTTTTTGGTTGTAAGATACTTTAATTTATGAGATTTTTAGCGTTTATACTTAGTTTAGTAACTTGGTTAAAAACGGAAATACTTTGTTCCGTTACATATTTTCGAAAGTTATATATAGCATCAAAATATATTTGCTACATAAGCATATCCTATTTTTGGGTTTGAAAGTCGATTTCAAAACTTTAGGTCAAAATTAAAAAGAAATTATAAATAATGGGAAAGATTAGTTAAGTACCTGCGATGCAATAACCGGAGAGAGTCAAAAGATTTGGATGTTTAAGCCGAGTTAATGCTTCAAACGCAGTAACGGCGTCGTTTTGATCAACGTCTCTGATTCTCTCAAGAACTTTGATCGCCACGTGGAGATCTCCGGGTAAAACGGCACGGTAAAGTGGACCACAAGTACCGTCAGATATAACGGACTCCGTTCCGAAATGTGACGTGGCAACAATCAGATCCTTGAAAGTCAGATTCATCAACGGCTTAGATGCCATCACAACCGGAGCCGCCGTTGGCTCTTTTATATCGGCGACCCACGACGAACCTGACTCCGTTCCGAATTCGAACGGTCCAGATTTCTCCATTTTGAAATCTAACGGTGTAGGATTCGAAATCGCCCATCTCGATTTCGTCCTCGCCGATTTCATTCTCCGGCGGATTAAAATTATAGCCACCGCGAGGATTAGGATTATCAAAGCTCCTAATGAAGACGATAAACCAATCACCAAAGGAGCGTGTTTTAAACGATGCGTTTTGACGTTTCGATGACGAGGCGGCGGTGGAGGACTCCGGTGAGTGAGATGGTGGAGACGGTGGTGATTAGGGATTTTGGAATCGTTGAAGACGAAATCGCCACCGTGTAAGAAAGCCGATTTGCCGAATTTTCGGTATTTGTCAAATCCGACCGAACCGGAAAACCGGTTTGCAGATAAATTCAAGAACTGGAGATGGTTAAGATTCGGAAAATCAACCGGGAACGAACCGTTCATTGAGTTCTCCGACAAATCCAAGTAATTCAATGACTTTAAACCGGAAATCGGTTTAACACTACCATTGATTTTACATCTTGAGATATCAAGGTGGCGTAAACCGGAGAGAGAACCCAAACCAAGAGGCAAAACACCGAGATTGTTGTGCGAAAGGTCGAGAGATGTGAGGTTTGTAAACCCGGTTAGGTTAACCGCGTTGGTAAACCGATTGAACGAGAGATTCAACTCCTTAACCGAAGACAAAACCGAACCGTTAAATGGAATCACTCGGATAGAGCCACCAAACCGATTCCGGGAGAGGTTAACGTTGAGAAGACCTGGTTTAGACCAGAGCCAAGTGGGAAGAGAACCATCGAGAGAGTTGTTGGAGAGATCAAGAACACGTAAGCGCGTGAGATTACGTAAAGGGTTCCAAGAAACGGTGCCGTTTAGGTTTCTCGACGGAAGAACGACGTGAGTGATGACGGCGGAGCAGTTAGAAGAGAACCAAGAAGAGTTGAAACCGGAGACGTAACGGAAAACTCTGGTTAATTGACGGAAGTCTGTGCCGTTAGGACAAGAAACTGTGGAAGAGTCTGAGTGTGAGAAGGAGACCAAAGACAAGAGAAGAAACAACTTTAGAAACATGTTTTTAGTTTGTAGTTGATGATTGTTTTTCCATGGAAGATAAAGAAATGGTGAAGAGAGAAAGAGAGAAAGAGAGAGAGAGAGGGTTTAGTAGTTGCAGTATTTGAGAGGAGCTGGTGAGGTTTATCAGAGAAGAGAGATAGAGAGATACATATGGTTGATAATTTGCTAACGATGACGTGGATTATGATGCAAAAACTAAAAGTCAAAATGTTATAAACTAGCTCGATAATAAATTAATCAGTGGAATGATGGCAAATAATATTATGTTAAATAAGTTTTTTTCAAAAATAAAAGAAAATTATTGTGTGGTAATACCGTAATAGTAAATTTTAGCTATTAACAATCGATTTATGTAGTAACTATACGTTAAAATGTATTATTTTGAAGGTTATTTTGTTTGGTCATCTATTTCATAACGGTGAAATTCTACATTTATAAAAACCATTCCCAAATAATTATCTCAAAATTTTGCATGAACATTATTTGTTTATAAAAAGTTGAATTGAATCATTTATCTTTTGGATTATAGGATTCTGTAATCAAGTGTTTATTATCATCATTATATTTATAAGGTACTTTTTTCTTTTTCTTTTGGAAAAGCGAAAGTTAAACTAAACTTCATGTAGGAAATAAATAATTTTAATTATTTTGAATCATTGAATTAATTTTACTTTGTGGTAAATTGAAATTATTTTCTTCAACAAAGAAATGTGTATATATTCAGATTATATATACTTAGTGAATCCAATCATTTTAGTGATTCGGATTATTGATAAACTATTTTTCCTTAGAAACCTTTATTTTTACCTTTCACTTTTTCAAAAGAAAAGAGAGGCAAAGAAAAAAGTACCTTGTAAAGATAATGATGATAAGTACATGATTGGTATCCTATAAATCAAAAAAGAAATCATGGAATTCATTTTTTTCCGATCATGGACAAATCTGTTTACTTCAAAAAAGGATAATCTCATATAGGCAAGAAACTGATTTTAGTGTAATAATACGAAAGACATGCATCAATCATTATACTACTATGTAATTATCCATTAGTATGGAAAATCGGTGCATTGTATGGAATTTGATTTTACAGTGGAATTTGACTACTAGATTGTCATTTATATACAGGAAACGTGTTTAAAACTCAAGTCTCGTCAAAATAAACAAGTAAAGAATAGTATAGTATAAGAGAGATTAACTATTCTATTTATTTATAAGAGATTAATTCTTTTATATAATTTTTAGACAAAACAATTTTGCACAAAACTACAACATTTAGTTACCACATGTCCACACTTGTAGTAACTAAAATTCTTAATATGAGTCTATTATAGGTTGCATATGATATTAAAGTGAAATAATCAAAAAATCAATTTTATCAATATATATGCAACAATTTGCATATTTATAACATTACTATAAAATGAAAATCATATTTTAATTCGCAGTATGTATAGTCTGTTGTTGTTGTTTATGGGTTTGAAACTCAAAGTGAAGTAAGCAAAGAGGTATGGTTGGTGCGATGACTTTGTGTGGTAGTTTGATGCAGATGATGCGAAATAGAAACGTGGACCCTATCTTTTAACAAAAATTCATTTAATTTTCTAATTTCATTGGATGTTGTATCCTAGGTGTAATTTTGCATATCCTATAAATCTTTAAATTAGTACAGTAAATAAAAAAGTGTTTTAAGAATTTTACTCATGTCTTGTAATAAATGTTTATATTTATTACTATCGGTTATTTGTTGATGGGTTTGGTTGAAAAGTAAATAATGGTGCAGTTGAATAAAACAAAACAACAGTGTACTTTTTGAATAACAAGATTTATTCGAGTCTACTGTTTTGATCTAACATTTCGGTTATTAAAGTAACAAAATTTACATTTAACTTATTTCAAGAGGACTAACTGTTTTATTAAATTAGCTACGTAAAGCTTGATTATATTGATAATTGTGTAGAGTATATATCGCTGTCCAAAACATTCCCATGAGAAACCACACAAATTCAAAGTTGCGTTGAATGATATGAATATTATACTCTTTTTGGTGTTAAGTGTGTTAACATTTGCAAATTTTATGACTTAAAGAAATGTCCGCCGGAGAAAAGACTATAGTTAAATGTTTTAATGGACATAAGTCCGTATATAAATATATGGTACATGCACCAAGGAGATCGGTTGGACCGGATTATGTGGAAGCATATTTTATCAAGACATTATTTATTACCTAGAAGTTTAAAACTTAATCAAATATCCAAAATATGCACACACACACAAAAAAACACTGGATTTTTAAAAATGTTAAAGCTTAGCGACTTAAATCGTTTACAATACAAAAACGAAAAACTAATAATAAAATTTGTAGATTGGAGGACTTGCATGATTGATACCCACCGGAAAATTTCTTCACCACTAAAAATCGAAAATTCGTAATTACATAATTCTTTAGTTAAAATTTCTTAAACTTGTAAGAGTTCTAGTCAAAATGTATATCTAAATGCATGTGGTTGATTGTGCTTGTAGCTGTCTAAGAAAAACATATACTAAACCCCATACTCCTGTTTATTTCATTGTGTTATGACATTGGTGTTGACAAAAAAAAAGATCTTTTGGTATTAGATCTCCTAAAACAAAAGTCTAGATTACTTCAGGACATTTATGTATTAATTACATAAATTTCATGATGACTAAAAATTGAACTCAGCCAACACTATTAACCCATTAAATAAGAGCAACAGGTTTTTGCTCCTCTTTTACATATTGCAACAAAATGTTTTTGAAAACGCAAAATGATTGATGTACGTAGCTTGGTGTGGCCATTTGTTCTCGTCATGATGGTAGGAGTAAAAATTTCCCAAAATTTAATTCACTTATATATAAACGGTTTTATTTCAGATCCATCCAATTTTTGTTTTTCAGTAGTAAAACACTGAACTTCCTAAAAACTCTCTGTCGGAGTCGCATCTTCTTCACAATTAGAACATCACAGTGTATATATTTAAGTCTAGCAACACGTAATTATTGTGAAAGTAATGTGCTCCAAAATGGTTTATGTTAAAAATTCCTTGTCATAACAACTAATTAAAAAATGAAGAAAGAATGACCTTGGGAAATTCCAAACAAATCCACTAAATCCCAAGACAAAAAGATCCATAAAATGCCAACTAATATTCCACAAAGTATCTAACACATTCACATTCTCCTTGAGCAACCAGCCAACCTAAAAGTTAATCCACATTCTTTATTTTATCATTTTAACCACTCACCCCACCAACATGGTTGGTCCATGTGCTTGCTTATATGTGTATGTGCGATCTCTTTGTTCTATTTTAATGTTATTGGGTTATTCTTATGTTACTGACTGGATCTTTGACCGGAGCTTATGATTTGATAGTTTGTATCAGCGTTGCCTCTGTAAAAATAATCAAAATTTAAACTGATCGGTATATGTATGTTTTACAATGGCGCAACTATGATTTGATAAGTTGTATCAGCTTGTAACATCAATCAAGTTTTGAATCTGGAGTTATCTGATTAAGGTATAGATGTATATTTTAAATTTCTATAGAGCAAAAATTACACTTTTGCAATAGATAAATTGTTTTAGATAAAAGACAATATTTAGGCCGAATTCATTCATTTTGGACTTGCAGGCCCATAATAAAGCTAAAATCCAGCCCAATGTTCTGGTCCATGATTATATATTGACCTAAATCCCTCTCTTTTTTTGGGGCAAGCCCAGTCTCAAAAGAGAAAAGTTTACATGATTTTTTTGTTTGTTCACTTATTTTAAAAGATTTCAAGAGAGAAAATAAACATGACTTAATTTGTCAAAAAGAAATGAACTTATTGCTCTATTTCACACGAATCACACCTGTCAAAAGAGGTTAATTCACCTAACTACGTGCACGTTATTATCAAAACGTACGGTATAAAAAACCTTAGACTTAAATATTGTAACACTCTCAATAATATTAATAAGATTTTTTAGTTGGGTTGGGTAATCTATCAAATACAGCAATGAGTTCAAATTCACGACAAGTGGAAACTTTTCATTTTTGCTTATATTTAAATCTTGACCGACCATTATGTTACGTTGACTTAAGGCCCCACCGACTTCCCTTAAACCTTTGACTTATATTTTGGTTTTCTAATAAAAAACAATTAATACGACCTGTAATATACAATAGATGATTGTGGGAATGAAAAAATATTACTTGTTATTTTTTATCTTATTTTTATCATTTTTTTAGATATATTGTGAATGATATATAATCGGTGGAATTATATGAAAATCTGAAAGAAGTTATATACCATATAATTATATCATCAGTGTTGAGTTTTCTTATGAGTTAATTAGGTGATACTTCAATTTTGGAATTAGTCATGTGTTAGAATTAAGTACTTGTCTACTTATAGAGTTATAGTCTAATATAATTAGCCACTTCATTATTTGTTGTGTAAGATTTTAAAACTATATAATTTCTTAATTGAATATTATCGAGTGATCTACACCGTACAATATCATGCATCTAATGGTTATAATTATTCACAGCTGTTGATTCGTTTTTGAGAAAATGCGTAGGCAAAACACGTACAAGGTAGAAACTCTGAAAAAAAAACCATTACAATGATAATGACATTTACGATTTGTAATTGAATATTCTATAATGCCAAGATGTGATCATTTTCGTTTTTTGCTCTTCAGATAGACTCTGCGTTTCAATGTCTTAGATTCGAGTCTTGATGCTTGGAAATGCTCTAGTTACGAGTCCAAGACAAAACTTTTGGGTTAAAACATTCTATTTATTTCTACTTATATAGTTATATCCCATTTCCATTGTTTCTATATATATATGTTAAAAATTTTCGTTGTTACTTTTCTATTTATATAAAAATTTACTCCTGTTTCAAATTATTTTTACTGTTTTAGAAACAGTCAAATTCTCAAACATGGTATTAGTAATTAAAGCATTTAAAGCAAAAAAAAAAAAAAAACTAAAACAGTTGACCAATAGGCTATATATATGTGTCGGTGTACATAGCAAAAGTGAAATTTATTTGCATACCAATTCTGAAAAAATTCCAAATATACACAAGAAAAATCCTATTTCTGGAAAAAACCCTAAAAACAGAGCAGAGACAGAGAGAGGAAGACGAGAAGAACAGAGAAAAAGAGAGATAGAGAGAGAGATCGTCTTCTTCTACAACCTCTCAAGAATCAACCCAAAAAATTTGATTTTTTTTCTTCGAAAAATTCGATCTCCGATCAAGAAGATCTTGATCTCAAAATCCAAACTTTCAATGGCGGATTTGCTAAGAAAAGTGAAATCGATAAAGAAGAAGCAGGAACAGAGCAATCAACAAGCTCTGATCCTTGGCAAATACGAAATGGGTAGGCTTCTTGGTCATGGAACCTTCGCTAAAGTTTATCTCGCAAGAAACGCTCAATCTGGAGAAAGCGTAGCGATCAAGGTAATAGACAAAGAGAAAGTTCTCAAATCCGGTTTGATCGCACATATCAAACGCGAGATCTCGATCTTGCGTCGTGTTCGTCATCCAAACATCGTTCAGCTATTCGAAGTCATGGCGACGAAATCGAAGATCTATTTCGTAATGGAATATGTTAAAGGAGGTGAATTGTTCAACAAGGTAGCTAAAGGAAGGTTAAAAGAAGAAATGGCACGTAAATATTTTCAACAATTGATCTCCGCCGTATCGTTTTGTCATTTTCGTGGTGTTTATCATCGAGATTTGAAACCGGAGAATCTTCTTTTAGACGAAAACGGAAACCTAAAAGTCTCTGATTTTGGTCTTAGTGCTGTTTCTGATCAGATTCGACAAGATGGGTTATTTCATACTTTTTGTGGGACCCCTGCTTACGTGGCACCGGAGGTTCTTGCTCGGAAAGGTTACGACGGAGCTAAAGTCGATATTTGGTCTTGTGGAGTGATCTTGTTCGTGTTAATGGCGGGGTTTCTTCCTTTTCATGATCGGAATGTTATGGCTATGTATAAGAAGATATATAGAGGAGATTTTAGGTGTCCGAGATGGTTTCCGGTTGAGATTAACCGGTTATTGATCCGGATGTTGGAGACTAAACCGGAAAGACGGTTTACAATGCCGGAGATTATGGAGACTAGTTGGTTCAAGAAAGGTTTTAAGCATATTAAGTTTTATGTTGAAGATGATCATCAGCTTTGTAATGTTGCTGATGATGATGAGATCGAATCGATTGAATCGGTTTCGGGGAGGTCTTCTACCGTTTCTGAACCGGAGGACTTAGAGTCTTTTGATGGGAGGAGAAGGGCGTTTTCGATGCCTAGACCCGCGAGTTTGAATGCTTTCGATCTCATTTCGTTTTCGCCTGGTTTTGATCTTTCGGGTTTGTTTGAGGATGATCGTGAAGGCTCTAGGTTTGTGTCTGGTGCTCCTGTTGCTCAGATCATATCTAAATTGGAGGAAATCGCGAAAATCGTGAGTTTTACGGTGCGAAAGAAGGATTGTAAAGTGAGTCTTGAAGGTTCAAGAGAAGGAAGTAAGAAAGGTCCATTGTCAATTGCTGCTGAGATATTTGAACTGACTCCAGCTTTGGTTGTTGTTGAAGTTAAGAAGAAAGGAGGTGATAAAATGGAGTATGATGAGTTTTGTAATAAAGAATTGAAACCGAAATTGCAGAATTTGTCTTCGGAAAATGGCGAATCGGTTTCTAGTTCGCGTTCTTTGCCTGATTATTTACTTTCTGATACTGATTAGGAAGATGAAAAATGAATTTTTGTTTTTGTTTTAGATTTGTGAAGTATATGTGTGTTTAACGAATTGTAATGTTCTTGTTCTTTGAATGGTGTGTGAGAGACATTAGAATTTAGACCTAAAGAGAGTGGTGAGATATGAATCATTGATGTGTATAGGTGGAAAACACAGATTGAATAAACAAGTTTGTTATTTTGCATTTCATCGTTTACGATCTTGCTTTTTTCTTTTTTAATAATCTTTTTTCCGCAGAAGTTTGGTCCTAATCTCTGCCATATTTCGAAGCAGTAAAATTCGAAATATGGCAGAATTTACTTAGAAAATTATTGTGGGATTTTGTCTCTACTGATAAACTTCAGTTAACCTGACGGTTTAGGAGATCAAATTGAATGTGTAGAGTTTACAAATTAAAAACACATATTGCAAGCCAAACAATCGATTTTAGAATTTAAAGTATGAGTGATTATCGATAAAGAGACATAAGTGTACTCTCTTTTGAGGCGGAAAAAATAAACCAAGTGTGTCGCAAAAGCTGGCCATAAAAAGAGAATGCCGTCAAATTCACCAACTCTAAACAATTTTTCTTTGGAATGTGATAGAATTTGCCTAACAAGAGATAGTCATCTGGCTCCTAAGAGATGTGCCACACCATTAAGCTACTTCAAATTTGTGTTGTTCTTTCAAATATGTTAAATCCTAGTTGAGCACCTTTAACTATACGTCTATACACTATATTAATCCATCTTTTTTTTTCTGTCACTTTCCTTTACTTCAAATCTTTGTGTAACTATTGACCCGAAAAAGAAAGAAAAAAAAAACAATCCAAGATATGTGATGATGATTGCAGCCATTATCATAAATCTCAAATTTTACACAGATTAATTAAAAGAAAAACAACCAAATCAAGAAAATCTTAAGATGAAAAACAGATTTAATTTGTTACTTCAATCTTCTCATTGTTGCTATTGTTGTTGTTTCCTTGCCATTTCCAAACAATATCTTTCAAAGAAGGCTTAAGCTCACGATCACAAAATTGCTTATACTCCATTGTATCACCTCCACTTTTCTTAAACTCTACCATATGAAAACTCTCTGTCACTTCAAATATCTCAACATCAATCGCTAGCTGTCCTTTTCTTCCTTCTCTTTTATCTTCCATCTTCACTCCTACATTGCTCTTCGTCAAATTGAATCTTTCACTACTTAATGCTATCTCCTCGAACTTTGACACTATCTCTTTCGCTTCTTTCTTCGTTGTAAACTTTGTTTCTGATCTCTCTTCTTTCTCAAACAAACCAGAGAGATCGAATCCTTGAGACAGCGAAGAGATTAAGTCAAACGCGTTGTAAGACATGGGTTTTACGGAAAACGCTGCGTGGACATCGCTGATCAGTGAGTCGATCTGATGACTATCGGGAGATTTAGGCGTTTCAATCTTCTTGAAACCCTTTTGAAACCAAGAATTCTCCATGATTTTGTCGATCTTGATTCTTGAATTAGGGTTAGGGTCAAGAATCCGAGACAACAACTTCTTGACCTCGGGAGGAAACCAATTCGGACATTTGAATTCGCCTTTTGTGATTTTCCGATACATTTCCACAAGATTTTGCTCGTGAAACGGAAGAAATCCAGCTAATAACACATACAACACAACCCCACAAGACCAAACATCGGCTTTAGCTCCATCATAACCTTTCTTGCCGATCACTTCAGGTGCCACATAAGCAGGTGTTCCACATGTCGTGTGAAGCAAGCCATCTTGTTGCTTCGACTCCCTCAAAGCGCTAAGCCCGAAATCGGATATTTTCAAATCGCCGTTTTCGTCTAGAAGAAGATTCTCCGGTTTGAGATCGCGGTGGTAAACTCCGCGGCTATGGCAATAATCGATTGCTCCGATCAATTGCTGGAAATATTTTCGAGCAATGTCTTCTTTAAGCTTTCCTCTAGAGACTTTATCGAAAAGCTCTCCGCCTCTAACGTATTCCATAGCGAAATAGATCTTTGTTTTGCTTGCCATTACTTCATGGAGGAAGACGACGTTCGGGTGACGAACGAGACGCATCACTGAGATTTCTCGTTTGATTTGATCGATTAATCCGACTTTCGCGACTTTCTGTTTGTCGATCACCTTGATCGCTACGCTTTCTCCTGTTTTTATGTTGCGTGCGTGGTACACTTTTGCGAATGTGCCTTGACCTAGAAGTCGACCTAATTCGTATTTTCGCATCAAAACGATGCCGTTTTTATCCATTGTTTTGACACTTTTTGGTGAACAAGGAACTTTGTGAAAAATCAGAGGATGAGCTATTGAACAACTTTGTCTTGGAATGTTTCTTCCATGGCTTAGAAGAGATAGAGCTCAAATTCTGGACATGTTCATGAAAGGAGAAAAAAGACTATATTTCATTAATAATTGTTTTTTATTTTTTTAAGTTGGGTCTAAATCTTGCTTATATTAAAATAGTAATGCTAAAAACAAATACAAGAGGAAAAGATCTTAGATTTGTGTGGTCGTGGTGATGCTTCGAGTGGGCCTTCTAAATATAGTGGAGGCTAGTTGTTGTTACTATTGAATATCCCAGATTTTTTGTGTGTATTTAATAGATTTGTAATTACAAATATATGTGGACTTCGATGACGGTCCTGTCCATAAATCTTGAGATGATTTAAACTAAGAATTGTTGCATAAAATGTCATGATTTGAAAATAAGTGGAGGATAAATCTTGGAGTTGCAAATACATGGAGGCACCGACATGATATCTTTTTTTTTTTTTTTTTTTTTTTTTTTCTATAAACTTCTGACGCTTAAATCAAAATAAGTTTTTTTAATAAGTGTTTGTATTAAATGATTAGATTTGATCTCTTGCCAAATTGTACGTAGAAAAACTAGTTTATAGTGACCATCAAATGGCATTGAACAGACTCAAATCAATATAGGGCTATATTAATTGATATGCATAGAGGAATGCAAAATTAAAAATCTATCCATACTTATTTTTTTATTAGTTCTCTTTCCTCTGACCCAATTAATACCAAAACTACCCTTTGTTAGAATTAAATGCTAACAAAAATAATAACAAGATAAATAATTTAGTGTTAACAGTAAAAATAACATTGTTCATTTGTTATCAGAAACACTATCTATCATCTGAATCAATAAGGAAACAATGATTTTTGTGGTTATCAATTTGATTAACAATGTAAATCAAATTGTATCGCGATAAATAAAAACTAAAACACTGTTCGGCCAACATCAAAAACACTATTCATCACGAGAGAAAATAAAAAGATAATGATTTTGGTGATTATTTATTTGATTAGCAATATAAATCAGATTGTATCGCGATAACTTTTCAAGTTATATGATAAATTTATATTTATCATGTTAAATTATTTATTATCTGATTGATATCAACTAACTTATATATTGACATGTTTATTTATTTCAACAATTTATTTATTACCGTTAACTTATGCATTAGCATCGTTAACTTATGCATTAGCATATTTATTTATCGTGATAATTTGTTTATCACGGTTAACTTATGTGTTATCGTGGACGTAAAAAACAATAAAATTACATTCTCTTCTCGGGTATCCTCCTCTGTCGTCATTCTTCAAAATTTTCTTCTTCTTTCATTGTCACCTGCAACTCCAACTCATGTTCACCTCACCACTTTCTCTTCTTCTTCTCTCCTTTTTATTTCCTTTATCTCTGTCCTCTCCATCTTCACTTTAAATTACAAAACTATAATTTTCATCCCCAAATTCTTCAAATTAAAAGTTTAATCCATCCAAACTCATGTAAGTTCTCTCTATTTTTATGAATTGTTTGGTGATAATTGTGTGTTACATATAAAAACAATGAATTTTATTAACCAAATGGAGAATTGGATATAAAATCTGTTTGAAAAAAATGGAAGTGACGATGAAGAAAGAAGATAATTTGGAAAGAGGAGGATTGGGAAGAAAGACAAATAACCAAGTGTTTAGAAAAAGGGTAAAATGGTAAAAACATTATTCTCTCTCTTGCTCACTTAATTATTAAAAAAGCATGCATACATACTTAATTCTTTGGTCTTCTGAGCATAGATACTGATATTTCCCATCAATATATAGGATGAATCATGTAACCATTATACCACCATGAATTGGCTGAGGATTAGTTAATGATTTAAAGAATTAAAGTTAAGAATTTGACCACTATGAATACTTCAAATTTTGTGGAATCCTATAATGTATTTCTGTTTCACCACTATGAATACTTCAAATTTGGTGGAATCTTATCTTAAGATATATAGAGCTTGGTTAGGTTTTTTGAAACTAAACTTATGTTTACCAAATCTACTAAAGTCTATAACCGCCATGTAAGTTTTCGAAACGTATAAAGATTAATTTTCTCATAATAGTGGTTATTTGCTTCCAACAATTTATTTATTAATCATCTATTTATATCGCATTAGATAGTAGATACTCCAACAATTTTCTTTTTGGATATTCCCTAACATACAAAATAAAATTAGAGAAAAAATCTACTTATTTAGAATATAAAAATCCAATGCTTGGATAAAAATGTCCTAGCTGACTTGTCGAGACGAGATCATGTTGCTTCCACGTAAACACACAAATATTTTTTTCTCTCACTATTTGTCGTCTCCATGGGGCGTGGGCCATTTATTTACAGCTGTACATGCATCGAATATTACTGTATTTCGTAAAATGTCACGTGAATAAACTCTAAAAAAAATTCAAATATTTAATTTTGTCGGCATTCAAATATACTTTGACAAATAAAATATTTAAAACATCAAAATGTATCTTATAAATGTAAATTTATTAAACAATAATTTTTAGACAAAATTATATATAAAACTATATTTCTGAAATAATAAAACTTTTTTGTTTGATAAATTTTACATTCATTAAAAAAAAACATCCATCTCTATCTTATACAAAGTAATATTTTAACTATTTATAATATAAACCAGCATATATAACGCATTGCAACCTTGCTACCATAAGTCTTCAGAAAATAAAAGTAACATATATAAGGGTTATATCTCCCTAAAATATATGCCATATATATAATTTTATAATATCAAGATTAAAAATCTTGTTATTATGTAATTTTATATATGACACGTACCTATAATATATATATTTTTTTTTGATAAAGTCGTACCTATAATATTAAGATCATCTCTAATATAATAACGACTACTTTTCTTCCTCTCCTCCGGTATCGCTTTCGGCGTCAACCATACATTCACGACGGCGACGATCTCTCATAGTTCCCCCCCACTCATGCATCGAAAGATGAAGCTTTTTCCCGGCGAGTAAGAAATCCGCTGCTTGTACCGGCGATAGAATCTCGACGATCTTTGCTAAAGTATCCACCCTTAGATTATCGGCCTCGGCCAATAAACCGGCCATAGCTTCTTCTTGCTTGTTGATAGCTTGATCCACCACCATGTTAGGCTCTCCGATGTTCTCCATCTCGTAAGCCACAGTGGCGATGGGAATATCCGCCGCGTCTTCTTGTAGGCTTGAGACTTTCTTGGTCATCTTCTCTTCTTCGTCTATTATTTTTACATGTAACACATTGATTTTTGCTAGCTGCTCCGCACTTAGATCGCTAAGTGATGCGCCACCGCCGCCACCTGTCAAACCAAACCAAATTGAACCAAACCCGAAATACCGGAACCGAAACCAAAGTAAGTTTGGTATAAATCTTTGGTTTCATCATTTTTATATTTAAAAAAAAAAAAAAAAAAACATTTTTGTTTGAAACAAAAAATGAACCGAATACTAAATTCTTCAACTCGGTTAAATCGGAATGATCATAAATCGGATTAAAACCAAACCAATCTAATGTTAATTTCATTTTTCAAAATTCTCAAAACTCTTTTTTGGAAAATATGAAAAATCGGATAAACCAAGCCAATCCAAAAATTTGCTGCACCGAACCAAAAATTTGTCTTTTTTTTTTTTTTTTTTTTTTCTTAAATTCCTCATAAATTCTTGAAACCGAAATAACCGAAAACGTCCAAACCCTTACCTGAAGATTCGTAGCCGTCGATGTTGCGGAGAAACTGAGTCACACGTATCTCAGTTTGTGACCCACACAAAGCATAAATGAGCCTAAAGAAAGCAGATGGTCGACAACCACCCATCCAAATTAGAGCGTTCTCCAAAGGAGTGTTCCACGTCGGTGCATAATAGTTCGAGCTACATCGGTGAGCAAGATCTGCTCTTTTTCCGGCGTAATCTTTAAAATCTCCAAGGATCTTTCCCGTTAACTCACGGAGCTTCTTATCGTTTTCTTCATCGCGGTGAGATCGTCGTTGAGCCAAGAGTTGTTTGAGCTCAGGTATGCGTTGAGACTGCAAACTCATCCACTCCTGATAACAACTTTCTTGAGCTTGTTCGATGTTCTTCGTTGAAGACCCCATTTTTCTTTTCCTTTTTTGATATTTTGGTTATTGGTTTTATTTCTTTTGGTGTGTTTGTGTGTTTTGGTTCCATCTCGTCGGGTTTATATAAAGTTGTTAAATGGACCCGAACCATCTTTTATTTCTAATTAATGATTATCTCTAAAAAGAATACTATACAACATAATATTAATGGATAAAAATGTCGAATAAATTGAATATAATGAAAAACAATTAATGTTTCTTCTAATTAATTAGTAATACCTATTTAGCTACAAGCTCAATTCAAATTAAAACATAAGTTAAATGGAGTATTATTTTCGCAAAAAAGGGTTATCGAACAGAATTATTATCGTTTTAAATTTTATATATGGAAACATTGACAAATGCCAACAAATTAAGAAAAGTGGAAACATTGACAACTCAAACGTCGAAAATGAACTTGGACAGAAAATGTTTAATTGGACACATTTTAAAACGAGTATTATTAGTATTGAAAGTTAGAAGATTACATACGTGCTTTGCGAGGAATAGAAAATAAATAACGCAAAAAAAATAAAATAAAATAAAATAAAAATAAATAACGCATGCATGCATTACGTGGAGGACTAATAGACAAAGTTCGACTTGTCGTTCCAAAAATAGTTAATTTGCCATTATGTTTGTGTAAATTTGGTTGTATATTCTTTTTCTTCGTTATCGGGAAAAAGAAAAGTGAAAACCCTTCATCTAAGTAACGGAAGCCGACACACTCGTTCAGAAAGAAAGAATATATCAATTCACATTGACAAAAAAACAAGATTTTACATGGATATATTATATATATTAGTTAGGATAAAACAACAAGTATGGTTCTTCTAAGTTCTAAATCGATCTAAGACTTCCACGAGCAGATATGATACATCGTTCCGGAATTCAGAATGGTGTTAAATATTCCGTGTGCCAACTTTACCTCTTTAAAGAGGAAAGAAATTGGAGATTTTAGCATATAATTATAAATCATTTATAAATTATAATATTCACCAAAAAAATACTGAATTAGTCTTATAAATCAGTGCTGTCGACAATAACTCGTTGGTATCCTTTGTTTGTGACTTTTTTATTTTTTATTTTTAAGGGAACTATAAGTCCTATACTTATAATATAAGTGTACGATGTATTTTTTTTTTTGTTTTTGTTTTATAATAAACAACTAGATTTTAACCCGCGGTACACCGCGGGATGATTGAATTTTAAAGTTAGTATAAAAATATTTTATAAATTATATCTCCTTATAACATATTTATTTATATTATAGTTTACAATTGTTATTAAGTAACGGTATACCACGAGTCCACGAGACAATTATTAATAAACTGAATATTTAACCCGTCTTAAAGCGGTATATAAATATTGATTCAAATTCGTCCGCCATATAAATCGTTTCCGAAATATAACCCGTTCCATAATTTCTTAACCCGTCCCGTGATTTGTTTTTATTTTAAAATTTAATGATTATTTATTATATATAAAAGTTTACAAATCATATCATTCTCTAAGACATTTATATTTTAATAAACTAAAGATTTAATATGCATTAAAGCGGCATGTTAATGATATTTTAAAATTTTATAAATATTGTTATTAAGTAACATTATACCACGGGACAATTTTTAGTTTTATACAATCTTTTCTAAATGAGACTGATTTAATATGTCTAATATTTTTGGTATTAAAAAAAAAGAATTTAATCCGTATTGAAGCGGCGGACTAATGATATTTTAATTTTTTTATTATTGTTGATTCAAAAACCCGTTCCGCCAAACCCGTCAGGCCAAAAAACTCATTTATTTTATTAATGTTCTTATTTATGATATGATTCTGAATCATTATCTAAATATTTTAATCGATGTAGAACGTTGAACACATATTTTCTTCAATTTGATAATATATGTCCGTTTTTAAAATTTCGAATCATAGTATATGCAAAAAAAATTAATTTTTTTTTTTACTTTATGTATTATATGATGATTCAAAACAGTTAAAAACAAATCAAACAAAGATGATAGGAGAATCATAATTATAAATCTTAATCAAATCTTCTAAATATCTAAATTATTAAATATGGAACTAGGGATTGACCCGCGGTACACCGCGGGACGATATTTTCGTTTATAAAATAATATATTTTAGTTAGAATTTTTTATTTTATTTTTTGTTACATATAATAAATATATATATATATATATATATATAACCTATTTACATGTGTAATTAGAATGTATATATAGAAATCTATATATATATTGTTCATTGTGCGATAAGTATTTTTTATGTTTGACTAATTCTAATTATACAGAAAAATGAGATGACAATTTAGTAAGCATCAATGTACCCCGTGTGTATATTACGTATCATCTTATTGTGTTTGTTTTATATTTAAATAGTTTTGAAAGTGTGTAAGTACTTTATATATATGTGTAAATATTTGTGTTGGTTTGTAAATTTTGTATATTGTTAGAAATATTGAAATATGATATATTATATTTTTTGTTGTGTAAGAATTTTAAAGTTGTGTGATTGCAAAATTTTGTATGAATTATATCTTTTAAGATTTTTTATATTTATTTATTGTTTCATATTTCATAGAAATAAGTGTGTTTATATTGCTGTAGAAATGAGAAGAAATTTTTTAAAATATGAGATTATGTTGAGTAAGAAAATAAAAATGAACATACAAATTTTAAAAACTTGTATGTAAGAATTATATAATATGAGACTATTAATTTTTTTCAGTTCAACCAGTAAAAGAAATTTGTTTGGTTACTGATTACTTTGGTTTAGGTAAACGGGGCTTCAGAAAATTCAACATAAACGTTGAATTTCTTCTCTGACGATTCTCTTCTTTCAATCGAAGAATCTGATTGCTTTCTTCCGATTAACAGATTTTTTATGACGATTTCTCCGACCAATTCGTCAAACTTTGGACCTGAATTCTTCAGCAATTTCGGAAGAGAACCAACATCTCTGTTTTCTAAATCTGTCGCGATTTGAGATATAAAAAAAATCTGCAAAACTCTAGTGGTTGAAGAATCCTGGTGAGCTGATTCGACGATGCAATTGATCAACGGAGTTCCAAACCTAGCAGATCGAGATCAGGAATCGACTAAGCTTCCATTATTGAGGTAATACATATAGTTTTTGATCTTCTTTAATTTTTCTATGAATTCGTAACATATATGAGTAATTGATCGCCAAAAACAAATAGTTTTGTGTCTGGTTCATGTTATTATTGTCTACGGTTTTTTAGTAAATTAATAGTGAAAGTGATTGTGATATCCATACTTGTATATCTATGCATGTAATTAGAGTTCACTTAGCTAATGGAAATTTATATATAGTTATTCAATCTGAGTACATCTTAAAAGAAAAAACTAAAATTTTGAAATGGAAGTGTAATGTTTAAGTAAGATACTGCTATAGAAAAAATTAAGAGATCAGAGTTTAAGTGAAAGAGTAAAAAAAAAAAATGTCTGAAATATTGTTTAATGAATTGATGCTTCTTTTTTTGCTGTTGAGTTACTTGATTGAATTTAAAATTTATAAATATTGAATAACATAAAAGTATATTCTTTCATTTGCTTCTTGGTTAGTTTTATGTTTGGGAATTGCCATACCCATCATGTATTATGTCCCAAAAATTTTTATTTTCCCACTTAAATAATTACCTATTTGGGACATTTTAGTCTATTCTATAACATGTCAAAAAAAAATACGGAGAACCTTAAAAGAATAATCTTGTTTGCATTCAATCTTATATATTAAAGGAGAAGTCGAAAGTGCTCACATTCGCTCTCAGAAATTGAAAATACGTTGTTGCCCCCCTTTAATAAAATTGCCTAATTTAATTTTTTTAAATGTTTTTTTTCCGTTTTTAATCTAATTATATTAAATGATTTTCGTTTAAATAAAAGGCCACATATTGTGTAATCCGTTTAACCAATATGGGCCGAACAAAATATACAACTACACCGACTTTATGTTAAATCGTAAACCCTAGAAACACATATTTAACCTCCTATAAATACATTAACTTCCTATCGTCACAGCCGGAGACACCGCCACCGCCGAGTCTCAACTCAAGCAAACCCTAAGCCATAAAGTTTCAAGAGAGAAACTGAATCTGATATCCATTGTGCATCCAAGCCGCCGTCGTTGAGATCATCACCACCACAGCCACGTTGGAGATCACTGAAATTTGTGAGCCTTCTTACGTACGTTATCGCCAACGTGATCACGTTGGCACCGTAGCTTGCTACTTCTCCACTCCTTTGTGATCTAGAGCTGGGAAAAGAAAGAAGAAGTAAAGAAGAAAAGAAAGAGCATATTGGAGAAGACAAAAGAGAAAGAAAAGGATATATTGATCAGAGAAGGCTTATAGGAAAAGAAGAAGGAACCATGTAGGTAGAATCAAAACTGATATTATTTCGATTCATGTTTTCTATCTGTGTTGTTTGTTTTTTAACAAGTTGTTTCGTACTGTTGCGTTCCTAAACTGTATGAGTCTCTTATCTCTATATATCTCACACATATAACATGTGAGTCGAATTCTTTTTTTTTTTTTTAACCTCAGGAGGAGTACCATCTAGCGATTATAACTACACCAATAGCTCTTATCAAGTCTCCCTTTTCTCTCTTCATCTTCAAATCACGGTTCCATTATCCATGTTCAAGTGAGTTAATTATAATAAAGTGGGTTAATTTTTGTTTTAAAGTTGTAGAAGAAGGAAGCAACGGAAAATTTATAAAATAAAATAAAAAGCTTCTTTGATTTTCTCTTATATATGTTAACTGTTTCTGTTTTCTAAGGTTTTTTGTCTCACCTATTCGGTTTTCAGAAAAACTGTCTCTTTTGTTTTGGTCAAGGATCTTTGGGATTTCTCAAAAAGGTATTGATAATTAAGAAGCAAAGGTACGTATATTAGGTAAGAAATTCGAAGATTTTATGATGTATAGGATAACCAATGGATTTTTATTTGAAGAATTAAAGTTTTAGAAATAATTTTAGAGGATGTGAAATCCGGTGACCAGGTTATTTTGAAGCTGTTCACTTTGATGTCAAGTTCGTATGCTGGTGTTCCTCCGGTGCTGGAAGACACCATGGATCAGCCTGGATATGAATCTCTACGATCTTCTTTTGGTGGGATTTGTGTTGTCGTCTATTTGTTATATTTTAGATCTGGTATTATCTAATATTAAATTTTATTGTTTTGAAGGATATGTCCACTTCGTTATTTCGTTGATCATCGCCATGTTCCAGCAAACATGTCATCGGGTGAATACGAAAGAGTAGGTTGGATGTGTGTAAACCCTAAGTTTTTATGAACCGGTTGGATAGGTAATTAATATTTTCATTATGGATTTAGATTAGGGTTCCAATGTTTCCCTCTTTAAAAGTTTGTAAACGTGGTATTTTTCTCCTTTTAGTCAAGCATACATCATTATTGGACTTTTTAAACCCAATCCAACTCCCATTAGTATGATATTGTCCGCTTTGGGCCTACATGCTCAAGCCCGCACGGATTTGTTATTGGGCTCCTTCCCAAAAGGCCTCATACTAATTGGAGTTGGACTTTACTTATATATTAGAAACTTATTTTCTAAACTTCCGATGTGGGACGTTGGTTTGTACCCAACAATCTCCCCTTCAAACCACGGACCACGAACATTGGGCCTCCTCTTCAGCGAAACCTTAGCACCCTAACTCGGCACCTTCTTATTCGTGAAAGTTCTTAAGGCACCTTCTTATCATGTCACATGAGGGCTTCTCCCACACCGAACTTTAGCCCACACCCCTAGGTCCACATTTGTCAACCTAGGCTCTGATACCATTTATTGGACTTTTTAAACCCAATCCAACTCCCATTAGTATGATATTGTCCGCTTTGGGCCTACATGCTCAAGCCCGCACGGATTTGTTATTGGGCTCCTTCCCAAAAGGCCTCATACTAATTGGAGTTGGACTTTACTTATATATTAGAAACTTATTTTCTAAACTTCCGATGTGGGACGTTGGTTTGTACCCAACAATCATTTCATGAATAAATTCTCCAAAAATATTAGGATTTGTTTCATTTGGGTATCAAAGGTTTCTTTTGTGATTCTTATTTGGAGGAAGCACTCGAATCCCGAACGTTCTGTAGATGTTAAAGGATTTCTTCGATGGCAAGGAACCCAACAAAGGAACTAACCCTGATGAGGTTTTGGCCTATACAACCGCCGTCCAAGGTGGAGTATTAAGTGGTGAAAGTGGAGAAGAAACGCAAAGTAAGTGACTCTTTTTAACTCTCTTTATGACAATAGTTTAGACCATCTATAGTGTTTTCATGTTAGTCATTGTATTTGAGTTGCAGAAAACCTAAATTTATTGAAAACAGATATTTTGCTACTTGATGTTGCGCCTTTGCACCTCGGTATTGACACTGTCGGAGGCGTGATGACAAACATTATTCCTCGGATCCCAACGAAGAAGTCTCAGGTGTTCACTACTTACCAAGATCAGCAAACTACTGTGACTATCAACGTCTATGAAGAGATAAGCATGACGAAAGATAACCCCGAGCTCGGAAATTTCCAGCTCACCGGCCTTCTTCCTGCACCTAGGTAAACTCTCTAATTCAATATTGGCTACTAAACCATTTCGGTTCTTGGTTTTTTAAAGACGCAAGGAACAGTTTTTCATGGGGGTGCCACAGATGGAGGTGACTTTCGAAGTGGACGCAAATGGGATTCTGCAAGTGAACACCGAAGACAAAGTTCCAAAGATGTCACAGTCAATTACAATAACGAACGATAAAGGTCGTTTGACAGGAGAAGAGATTGATGAATTGATTATATTAATTAGCTACGTATGAACTAGACACCGTTATACACATACGAGGACTTATTTGGAGAAGACATCTTCGCTAATACGTGTACGAATATGAACTTTGGCTGGTATTCGAGTAAGACGTGTTGTGCATTTTTTTACTTTTGTTTTGTTCTGAGTTGTGCGATATTTTAATAAATAGTTTATTGTCCATTATTAAACGGAGTCCATAATAATTTTTGTGATATATTTTTGTTTTGATCTTTAGTTTATAAATAAATATGCATATATATATTATATATAATGTTATTATTGGTCATATTAATTACTAACGATAGTAGAATAAATAGTTTATTGAGGAAGTAAACCAATTTTTTTTTGATAGTATATCGTAATGACTTAACCTTCCTTTATTATAAGTTTCAACTTCTTTTGTGTATTTTATAATTGTCTTTTGTAGAGATAATAAGAAATCCATTGGCATATTATCTCTCGCATTATTGTACAGTATTTTAAATTTTAAAATTATTTAATTAACAAATGTATGTTTCTTTTGTTAACAAAAAATAAAAATTTAATTTTTGTGTAATAGAAATACAGATGGGTTAAAAACTATTTTGCTCATCGTAAAATTATTATTAAGTAGTAAAAAAATTAAACCATATTAAGTTCTATTAATTTTTATAAGGATTATGATAGTGCCAAATATAAATGTTAATCTTATTAAAAATTAGAATCATTTAATAAAAATGTCATTGATAATCATTATCTAAAGATTGACTCTCTTTTTTTCCGTAGATTTGTGTTCACTGATATGAAAAAAAAACAGATGAAAAAGGGGGTTAACATTCAATGTAAGTTACTTGAGAGGGTTAAAACTTGATGTTACGATGGTAAACATAGAGCATAATACTTTAGCTATAACTTTGATGGGTGTGAAAGTTGTATTAGTGCTTCTATCAAGCGTCGTTTTAATAACTTTCATGAGTGTTTTTTTGTGTTAAATGAAATACAAAAATTCTTAAATACTTCAAAGGATGATCAAAGTCAAAGTTATCACGAGATTTATGTGCATTGTTTCGTTGAATGAGATGGTAGAATTAGTCCTAGATCTTAAAGATTTGGTCTTTAAGAATGCACGTATATCATTTGTAGTTTTATATGGGATCATTTCGTAGAATATATTTATCTAAATATTATAGAAGAATGTTGGAAACTTTTAATTTATCTCGATGATTCCATTCGGCCGCGCCTTGAGAAGAGTTGAGAAGAAAGGTTTTGTAAAGAATCAGAGAGTTGAAAAAGAAAGAGACAGAGATATGGATAGAAATGGAAAGAGGAACGATATTCAATGTCATGAATGTCAAGGATATGTACATGTCAAAGCTTAGTGCCCCTCCCTGAAGAGAAAAGAACATATGCTCTGAGTGCAAATGCATCATACACTCGAAATTTGACTGTGTGGGTTCTAGATCCAATAAGGAAAGGTCCTACATTGTTGAAAGTGGAAGTAACTCTGAAGATGATGACTCGAAGAAGAAGCGAAGGGTTTTGTATCTTTTGTGGGAATCATAGACGACAAAGATGAAAGCTCTAACAGTGAAGCAGAAAAATTAATTGAAATGGAGCCAGCTCAACTGATGATGAATCAGACACTGTGAAGGATGTGGACATCGATGGACAGTTTAGAATATTGTATGACAACCGGTTCTTAATGAGTAAGGAGAAGGTCTCATGGATGGAAGAAAAGTTAACACTTCAAGATTAGAAGGAGAAGCTCAAAGGAGGCCTAGCTCTGGAAATTAAGAAGAACAGTGAGCTGACTCAAAAGTGTGGTTTAAAGGGAAAAAACAAACAGAGCTCTCACACAAGACTTAAGTGATACTTGGAAGAAGATACACATACTGAATAGTGTGACAAAGGATCTGGATAACATATTAGTGTAACACCCCGATTTCATGAATATGGTGGTGCATGCAGAGAGGTTTAAAAGAATTGATTTGGCCACCTATGTCACAAAAGTGCACTTATCTTTTCGGTCAACTGTCCAGAGAGAACTCCACAGTTAAGCATGCTTGAGCTGGAGCAATTTTAGGATGGGTGACCTTCCGGGAAGTGATTGTCGGAACTATGTGAGTGAAGACAAAACACAGGGAAAGATCATGTGGTGATTTGTAGGGTCGGTAAACAAGTCTTTAAAGCCTCCCGAACGTAGCAAAACGGCCGTCGGAAGATAGTGGGCCCACATGCCGAGAGAAAACGTGGGTCCCATTAAGAGAGGTGGCGGTCGGAGCGTTACAAGTGGTATCAGAGCTGAACCCAGTCGAGTGTGGAGTCAAGAGAGCTCACACCGTCGGGGGTGACGGTCTTGGTGCGCAACGAGGATGTTGCGATCTGTTAGTAGGGGTGAATTGTAACACCCCGATTTCAGGAATATGGTGGTGCATGCGGAGAGGTTTAAAAAAATTAATTTGACCTCCTATGTCACAAAAGTGCACTTATCTTTTCGGTCAACTGTCCTGAGAGAACTTCACAGTTAAGCGTGCTTGAGCTGGAACAATTTTAGGATGAGTGACCTTCTGAGAAGTTATTGTCGGAACTGTGTGAGTGAGGACAAAACACAGGGAAAGATCATGTGGTGATTTGTAGGGTCGGTAAACAAGTCTTTAAAGCCTCTCGGACGTAGCGAACCGGCCGTCAGAAGATAGTGGGCCCACGGGCCGAGAATGGTTCTGGTTTGAAAATTAATAGGGGATTGAGAGTGAGATGTTGCGCGATAGGAGATTTAGCCGACTATTTTATGAGAGTATGGGTAAACCGAGAATATGGTCATTCGTACCTTCGTGATCCTGTATTTTGTGTTTTGAGGTTTTGGCATGTTGAAGAGTATAAAGGTATTGACTTATATATATTCATCGTATTTTCCAACAACCAAAATTTAAGCCGGTTATTATCTTATTTTCTCTCATCGGATTGAATATTTTACAGGAAAACCATGTCTCATGAATAGGGTTGGATGCTCTAGATTTTATCTTGACCCGGAGTTTGACGAACTTGAGGAGATCAAAGATCGGTAATATTCAGTATTTCTAATCATATATTTGTTGCATATACTTAATTCATATGTTTAATGATCTGTTAAATTTTATATATATAGTACACTCTCCACCGCTTATGCTTGGGCCACTACGAATTCAAGATGTTCCGATTTGGATGATTGAGTGATCATGGAATTTTCTACAAATATTATCAATGAGTCTTGTGTTGTTATGGGTTTTAAGGAATGTATAATTACTTATTTTTAGAGACAGTATGCTTCATCTTTTGTAATATTATGGTCGAATTTTGAAATCTCATAACTAAATTTTTATCATCAAAATTTCAATGTTTCCCGTAGTTTTACGATCTTAAAGAGATCAAGGAACCGTAATATTCAGGGTTTATCATGATATATTAATTGGATGTTCGCATTTGTTTCGGATAATAACCTAGCAAGATTTTTATACATATTACACTCTCGATGGCTTTTACTTGGGCTACAAAGAATGCAATATATTCAGAGTCGGATGATTGAATGGGTCATGGATAAGTCTACAAAAATGTTTGATTAGTTTGGTGTTCTTATGACCGCTTATGCTTGGGCCACTACGAATTCAAGATGTTCCGATTTGGATGATTGAGTGATCATGGAATTTTCTACAAATATTATCAATGAGTCTTGTGTTGTTATGGGTTTTAAGGAATGTATAATTACTTATTTTTAGAGACAGTATGCTTCATCTTTTGTAATATTATGGTCGAATTTTGAAATCTCATAACTAAATTTTTATCATCAAAATTTCAATGTTTCCCGTAGTTTTACGATCTTAAAGAGATCAAGGAACCGTAATATTCAGGGTTTATCATGATATATTAATTGGATGTTCGCATTTGTTTCGGATAATAACCTAGCAAGATTTTTATACATATTACACTCTCGATGGCTTTTACTTGGGCTACAAAGAATGCAATATATTCAGAGTGGGATGATTGAATGGGTCATGGATAAGTCTACAAAAATGTTTGATTAGTTTGGTGTTCTTATGAGCTATAATTGATGGATAAATCATTTATACTAGACACGTTATGTTTGATCATTTGTAATAGCTTGATCGTATTTTTAAGTCGGTAAACTATTTTTAATCTTCATAATTTGAATTTTTTTTTGCAAAATAACCTTACCGCGCAAGGCGCGGGTAACTGCCCTAGTTCAAAATAAACAGATTATTCCTTTTTTAATACACTAATTCAATTATTTAGGTAAAAAATTCTTGAAACATATACGGAAGATATTAGTATTATTTAATTGAGTTTTAAATTTAGTTCTAAATACAAAGGAATAAAGGTATTTATGGTTTTGTCCTCTTTGATAAGAAGAAGTTATCAAGTAACTTATGAAACATATATGAATTTCCAAATAAACAACATATACTCACGTAAAAAAAAATCAAATTCCACATATATGCTATTTTTTCAGTTATCAAGTCACAGCGAATTTCCCTTGACTTCCTCCCACTATCCTAAGCCGGTGAGAATTCGATGATTTGATCAAATTTCTTATAGTGCATTTACAGACTTTATGTCTGATCGCTGAGAAGAAGTAAATTGCCATGGCGATCATGATAGCAATTGTGATATCATTGAAAAATAATATTGATTAGGCCGACATGATTAAACCAACGATTTATTTGATATGTGTTGAACATAGTGTGATAGAATGTCTCTTACCTGTGAAGTTAAGATCAAATCCCAAAATATTGTTTAAAAAAAGAAAAAAAGAGGTCAAATCCAAAAAACTAAAGTTGTGAGTTAATGAGAGAGATGGAGAGATATGAAGAGAAGAAGTTAAAGTATACCCAAACGTAAATTTATTGATAATGCGAGACAAATCTTTAACTTAATTGTGTAAAGATGAAAGAAAAGTCGTTGCAGTGTACTCATCCTGATTCACCTTCCATGGGTTTTCTTCTTCCACACAACCTGTAGGTGCAACCTTTTCTTTTACAGTCTATGCACATATGGTTGGAGTTAATATATATCAATTTGAACTCCACATTCTTTAACGCCTAAAAAAAAAATTGAATCCATAACAATTATAATAAGGCGTTGAAAAAAAAAACTATATTAAGGAAGGTTAGAATAAGCTTTACTTTTGCCTAATCTTGTAACGTCTG